TTCGCTTATTCAGGTAGTTATAATACTGTTGAAGCTTAGAGTGAAAAGATATGACCTATTCCTCCATGCAGAAAAAAATCATTGAACTCTTTTTTCATTACCATATCAAAATATCTAAACTAATCATAAAACAAAGGCATATCTTTACTGTTCAACACCATCGGTATAATAAAATACAATAAACCATGTTCTCTTTTTATTTTTGTTTTTATATGTTTACATGACTTTTAATATCTAAGTTTTAGCTTAAAAAAAAAAAAAAGTGAAATAAAAATAACTTATACCACTACAACCCATGAAGGGTCTTGCGTTCAGTAGTATGTGAGAAACTACTGTTACAAGGCCAACGGTTGTGCAGGGAGGTGATAGGACTGCTATCACATTCAACCGTCAGGTTTTTCCTCTTAATTAATTATTTAATTAAGAGTACCCGCTTTATAGAGGCTAAGTGTGCCCTAGGAGGGTCTCTCGACCCAAGGGTCGATCCACGGCTGATGAAAAATAACTAATCATCAGCCGGTCTCTTAACCTGGGACCTTCAGCTCTATGAGTCAGTGCTCACCCACTGAGCTACCCTGCTCCCTAGGTTTTAGTAAATATCTCTTGAAATGAATTTCTATCTTTTTAAAATTGGAAATGCTCTGCTCAGAAACAATGGATATCGATGCACGTATGAAGAGTTTGTACTTCTATAGATCTACTAGATATTAATATTGTAACATCTCTCTTATATTTTACAAATAATAATAATATAACCTCGGACTATCACTTACTACTATTGGGATATTTCCTAAATAAATAAGAGGTTATTAAATAATAAATAAAATTATAAGAATATTTATATATTTATTTATCTCAGGTGTGGGTTACTGACAATCACATCAAAACACTAGGACAAACTATTATTACTTACAATAGACACTGTTTGATTTTAAACTAAAGTCAATTATGGATTGGCAAGCCAACTTTTTTTCTATATATACTGTTCCCTCTTCCTTTTTTGCACTAAATTTATTTGTCTTCTAACATTTTTCTATGTTCTGCCAAACACACCTTCCAAAATCGTAACACTTTCTTCTAGTCAACTCAAGCTCCCTGGTAGATCCTCTCTCTTGTATTTCCAAACAACTAGTCTCTCTGCCAAACAACTTCCAAGATTATTATTACTGGGTTTTACCAAATGGAGCCAGGAATCCTTCTATACTCTCTTCACTGCAGCCACACAACTGCTTGCCAAAACAAATCCTTTGTTCCATCCCCTCTTTGGGATTTTCCTTTTTTGGGCAAACTACAGAGCAGTTATTTTCCTATCCCTGAACTAGTAGAACTAGATTAGCTTGCCTTTTAAATGTTGAACATTAATTTATGAAACCCTTTTTACCCACTTCCAATAAAGCTGTACATTACAATATATACATTTTATTTAATTTAATTTAATCATTATCACCAGGATTAATAATCTGCGTTTCGGGTTGAATTACATTCATTGTTTCATTATAGGTACATGAAAAACTCAAAAATCAATCATAAAACAAGACCATGTAAACATACAAAAATATAAAAACAAAAATGAAAAGAGAGCATGCTTTATTGTATTTTATTATACCGATGGTGTTGAACAGTAACGATATGCCTGTTTTATGATTGGTTTTGAACTTTTGATCTGGTGATGAAGAAAGAGTTCAACGATTTTTTTCTGCATGGAGGAATGGGTCATATCTTTTCTCTTCAAGTTCTTTAGCAGTATTATAACTAACTGAATCTGTTCAAAATTTGAATTATTGTTTTGATATCTGTTCTCTCTTTGCTGTATTTTGATTCCAGTAAACATAGGAATTATTCTAGCCGAGACCTGTGTACAGATTATTATTCCTGGAGATGAAGAAGGAGTTCAATGATACTTACAATATATAAAATATAGTTATTAAAAATCATGTAGATATTCAACAGTATCAATTCTTCAAAATATAATGTCCATCATATTTCTGAGAAGGGTGACATTTCCTTAAAAAAAAAAAAGAAATACATTTCCTTTGGCAAGGCTTATACTTCGTTTAAAATCAACATTTTAAAAATAATTTCTTCCAGCTTTTGTTAGCCACGAGGTTTGCCTAAATTTATATCGCAAAGTTGAACGATCGCCGTACATTATTTGAGGTAGAAAAGTTATTCTTGTTGAAGGGTATGAATTCATGCAGGGAAGAAATGTGGGTCATAAATATGATACCTAATAATATACATGCGCAATAAAAAGTTACAATTATCCTATTATTAGGTAATAGTCTCATTTATTTGATCTTCCATTTATCTTGAGTAAAATTTTGAAGCTAGTGCAGTGGTTTTTGAATTACGTTTGCCGGCGAACGTGGCCGCTTTCAGTAGGCGGATTTCATTTTTTTATCAATGTCAGCGAATATTATCATTTTATTCTTTTCGATCTTTGAATGGGCCAGTTTTAATTGGTAAAGATTTTACTCATCTTCAAATGGGTCGAGGTTTGAAACAAAAAACTGGATTTTTGACTCGCATCTGCCACACGCATACCACCATTGCCAGCGGAACGCGGGTGTTTCCGGTTGTCAGATTTCTTCTTTTTTTTTTTTTTGTCTATGGAGATGCTAGTTATATTTAGAAAAGATTTCACACACCATCAAATTAGTAAAATTATGATCAAAAGAGATTGGTTTTTGACTTACCTACGCCTATCGATTAAACGGAATCACTTCCGGTTTGAAAACAAATTTTTTGGTCTCTGAGTGGAATAGTTTTATTTAGAAAAGATTTCTTCCATCATAAAATTAATAAACTTTGAAGGAAAAGGGGTGGTTTTTGACTAACCTACGTCTACAGGTGAAACGCGATCACTTCCGGTTGGCAATTTTTTTTTTATTCCTGAGTGTTCTAGTTTTATTCAGGATAGGTTTAAACCATTTTGGAATAAGCCAAATTTAGAAATAAAAAGTTTGTCGCTGACCAATTTGGTCTTGAATCGCATCTGCCGACGAAACGCATCCACTTCCGGTTGGAAGACTACTTTTTTTTTTGGTCACTGAGTGGACTAATTTTGTTTAGAAAAGGTTCCAACCATCTTCAAAGAAGTCGTGTTTTAATGCAAAAAAGTTTCCATTAAAAAACCGGCATACGTCGGTTTTTTAAAGTTTGGGGTGGTCTAGTTTTGTTTGGAAAAGGTTCCATCCGTCTTGGAATAAGTTACTTTTTTCGAAAATGGGACGACTTTGATGACCCATAAAATTTTATTGCATCCTATCTAGGGTGGCAGACGCCCATATTTGTAATCTATAGCTAGAGTACTTTCGAAATACATGGTCAAAAATTTTCTTTAAGTCAGACCACCTTTTTGGTCTCAGCTCCTGGAATATTATTAATATTACACCACATGTTCGTAGCTAAGTGTTACTCATCACTCGTTTCATTCCACTTAATTGTTTGAAATATTTTAAATGGTTGAGATACTGTGGAAATAACTCCAAATGTTGATTGGGAGGATGGGTGCGGTTAGCAATGAAGAAAAACATTTCACAATTAAAAAAACAAAACAAAACTTACCAAACTTGTATTTGTAAATAATGAAAAATTAGATGAGATATAAGTACGACGATTAAGTACGATGTTAAATTAACTGGTATTAATATAAGGTAGGTCTTATCCTCATTGATATTGTCTGACAAAGCTTTAATGCCAAACTTTCAAAATGGCTTCCTCTAAAGTATATTAAATATGATTTATTTGAAATAATTAATAGTCTCTCATGGGTCAATAATAATAAGAAAAAACTAAATATGAACTATTATAAAATTTTATCGTTAACAAAAGGAGAAAAACAGGAAGAACAATTTTCCTGATTGAAAACAAATTTTCGACAATAAGAGTAGTAATGTATTTGTATAATATATCCTAGGAAAATATTAGAAAAATCAATATTTAACATAAAAGTAGTAGAAGGTAATTGAGAGTGATAAAAAAATATGAATAATAATTCCTGTAAACTAATATTATTTAATGAAAAAAAGATGTTTCCATGGAAACTAAATGAAATTTCCAAACTAAATTCAAACTTTTTAAGTTTGACAACTAAAAATATACAATGCATTGAATGGTCGTTATGGAATTGTTTAAAAACATAAGATGTTTAAAAGTGGACGCCGCTGAAAATATTTCCAGCAATGTTTAAGGGTTGGAAAAACAGTTGGTAAAAATAATAAAATATTAGTTTAATAACTTTAGCCACAATAATTGATAGATTTAAATAAGGAAATATTTACTGTACAGAACAAAACATATGAAGGCAGCCAATTTTTCTATTGTAACCACTAACTATTATTACACAGATCTGAAATGGGATTTGATCCTTATCGTATCAGGTAATTAGCAGAACCTAATCCTATTTATACTATTTATGTTCATTACGTTCATGGGCAGGTTAAACTTATTAAGTATAAGTTGGAGATAAAAAAAATTTTTAGGAGACAGTTGAGAAACTAAAAGTGACTATTTATAAAATAATAGTGTGTTATTTATACTATTATATAATTTGATTATTGTTCAGTGGTAAAGGATATGAAAATTCAGTGTTTATTTTTAAAAATGTATTATTATATTTATAAGTTAAATTATAAATATAAATGTACTAATTATGTATTTAAGATTATTGAATGATTGCATGTTAGTAAAAATTTAATGTTTTTGAACCAATTTTTCTTATTAATTATAATTTTTTTTAATTATTTATATTGTTATTCTCTCTTACTGATTTAATGAAGTTATTGAAATAATTTTTTCTAATTATTTAATTTTAATTTGTCATCAATTTTGTTCTAAACAATTGTTGTATGGTAAAAAGTTAATTTTTATTGCGTCATCCATTAATGTATATTGCTGGAGTTCTTTATCTTGAACCTTGTGTAGTGTCATCTTTTAATTAATATTAAAACAATTTAAACCCAAAAGTTGAATGATATTAAAATGTGTCTATATTTTAGGCATGGGAAGAAACATTCAGAAATTGGGAAGTACTCACTAAGATCTTGACCTCTTATCCTAAAACAAAGATTGAAGATGGGCAGCTTGAACCATTTCATCGCTCAGTTGGGAAAAGAAGAGCTTCTCATCAGAATTCTGAACATGAATTAGAAGTAGGTTTATATATACATATATATATATATATATATATATATATGGTTTATGCGAGGTTAAAGTGGCTTTAGCCAGTGCTGCCCTTAAGGTGAGGCAACCAGAACAATTGTGCCGGGACACCGACATGGAGGGCCGCCTGTTGGGGTTCACTGGCCAGTCTTCAGAAACGCTTGCCACTTGTTAGAATTAAAAAAAAAAAATACAAAACATACTAAAATAATTAATTTTAGCCTATCAATAAAGCTACTGTATTAGAAAAATGTTGAATGTAATAATATTTAAATATTACATAATTGAAAACAGCTTAAGAAATAAATTTAATTTTTTTAGTGGGGGAGATGATGTCATTGCTCGGTGACACCGAATGTCTAAGGCCAGCATTGACTTTAACTTTGTTACCATTGCCAGTACTTTCAGATATCCTCCTCTACAAAGTTATTCAATCATAATATCCATAATGTGTCTTCTTAGTATTTCATTCCAAATCTTCTTTTCTATCCTGCTATACCCAGTCTTAGTTTTCAGATTAATAATTTCTGGCCCACTAGTCCTTGTTAGAACTCTTCTCATGTTTTTCTTTCCTTCACCAATGGTTAAAATATCTTTCCTATTTTTTAAACGTCTCCTTATTAACAAATTTCTATTGATCTTGTTTATGGCAAATATGAGAAACCTCATCTTAATTTGTTGTTTTTTATTTGTCATATTATTGTAATTTGTTTATTATTGTTTTGAGGCTTAAAGCCATCATTCATGAATTATTGGTTATTTATATGGGATAAGATGCTCCAGAATAAATAAAGACTTAATTTTTTTTTCTATATTATTTAAGCACTTAAAGTTTTGTACTTGTGTTTCAGGATCAAATCAATGAATGGGCGAATATGACTGGGTTCTTGTGTGCTTTGGGAGGAGTTTGTTTGCAACGTAAATCACCTGTACGTCCTGTCCAAAATATAACAGATCCCAGGAAACCTACAGTGCTAGCTAACCCAAGTCAAGAAATACAATATTGCCCTGTCACTCAGTAATAGAAATATAGATCTTTTCTTATTTTTTCTTGTTTAGTGTCCATTATTTTATATATTTAGTGCATGACAACTGTTCTTGATGTTGATATGTTATTGTCTTTGAATGTTTTCAGTTTCTAATTCAGCTTTATTCTCCTCAGTATATGAAAGATTTCTAATACTTTTTCATAAATTCAAGGCCATTTTCCACCAATGTTTTATTTCTTTTGTAATATCATTTTTTATAACGTTTCAGCCAGGGCTTGGCCATTATCAAGTCTTAAATCAGTCCTCTAACGTTGTATCCATAGTCATTATCCTTTTTCTTTATCTAAGAAAAAGCAAATATGTCCTATTCATTTCTGGTTTCCCCTTCATCATATATGGAGGAACTTGAGTCTCTTGAGGACATGAATCTCTCCATAGATGATAAAAGCAATTGTTAATTACTTAAATTAAGTATTTTATTAGTTATTGCTTCCTATTTTAAAAAAAGTGACATACAAACAAAACACAAAACTTGCATTTCCTACTTTTCTGCAGAAGAAAAGTAAGTTGGACCATTGTTTATATACACTTTTTTGTAGCTTATGAGGTCTACTATTACCCCTTTAAATATTTCTCTCTACTTACAGAATACCCTGTATATTTATATATATAAAAAAAAAGCTTTTGGCCTTAAGCCCCCTTCCCCCATAATTAAATGCTGGATCAACTACTGCAACAGAGTAATACCATTCTATTTACCAGAGCTCTGACACTGATGCCATCCTCAGTTTCATCTTCCAAGAATCTTTGATACTAAAACATAAATGCTGAAACAGTCAATGCCAGTGCAAACACTTGAAATTATAGTTATATGTTCTGGCAAGAATATAGATGGACACTTGAATCGAGAATCGAGCCAAAGTCTCACGAAAGAATCACAATTCACTTGGAGTTGATTGATTCACTCGTAAACGGTCGGTTCACTAGGGATTGGTCGATATACGATTCACATGTAGTCGGTCGATTTACCAATTCACTTGGTTTCAATTCGATTCTTGATGACGCCGCTAGAATGCTCTTTTAGTTCTTCAATAATTCTCTCTGGGTTTGTTCTAGGAAATTTTTCATTCGGGTTGTATTTTTTGCTTGTTTGTTTTGGTTACTTTAGGAATCTACTCTTCCATGATCATTTCCCATTTCGAGCATTTATTGCCCATGCTTATTTACATTAATATTTCGTTTATTTATTTATGTTTTCTCTCTGTTGGGTTTGTTTATAAATGGATACAATTTTTTCTCTCTCTTGTACTTTTATTTTTCATTACCTGTTATTTTGTAAATAATTAATTTAATGTAAGGCCAGACTGTCTTGTTTTATTTATTTTTTTGTGTTTATAATCAGTGCCGATCTTAAAGTGGGACTACTGGGGCAATTGCCCCGGTGCGCTGACCTGGAGGGGGACCAGTTAATACAAAACATTTTAAAATAATTAATTTTAGCCTATCAATAAAGCAACAGTAATAGAGAATTGTTGAATGAAATAAAATTCAAATATTACATAATAGAAAACTTAAGCTTAAGAAATAAATTTAATTTTTTAGAGAGGGGAGATGACATCAGGGCCCCGAATGTCTAAGGCCACCACTGTTCAAATTTTTTCTAATGGGACATCAATATCCGGATAATAAAATTATATTTCATTTACAATTTATATACACAGACCAAAATCTAATATGAAAAATTTTAAAAAATAAATTTCTTTTCTTCCTACTTATAAAATCTCATAACTTTTTATTTGTATACAATTAAACCAGGACTTTTAATTTGAATTAGTTAAAAAAAAGGTTTTTTTTTCCTAAATATTTTTAAGGTTGTGAATGTTATTATTTTTTTTTCAATAAAAAGTTTTTTTTCCTTTAAATAAAAAAATAATCAATTGAAGAATCGTTTATAAAAATCGATTCACAACAATGATTGAATCATTGCGAATCGGTTCAGTTAAAAGAGTCGAAGTTCCCATCTCTATGCAGGAATGTTATATACAAAAAGTAAGAATTTTGGATTATCACTTATATATATTACCTTAAAAAAGCTAAATTTAAAAACTAGGTTTTCTACCTCTTCTCAGCTAACTCCTCTTTTTTAATTATGAAATGAATGAATGAAATGAAAATAAATTTATTTATCCTGGGACTAATTTTCCTTTAAAAAAAGCAATGAGGTCATTACATATGTGTATATATATATATATATATATATATATATATATATATATATATATATATATGCATTATTCCCATAATAATAATTACTATTATATAAATAAAACTAATAATAACAATTAATTCATTATTCCCTATATTTTTGTGTAAATTAACATATTTCTGTATTTAAAGTAAAAACAGTTATATTTTGTTATATTAATATTAAAATAAAATACTTCCACCATAAATTAGTAGTAAAAAAAATATATTTATTTTAAAGACTATTGAGATAAATAAATAAAAGATTAGCAAGTTTTTTTACAATATAAAGGTCTTCAGGTATAACTTCAAGTATCATGCTAAAATACAATTGATGTTCTTATACTAGGGTACGATATACCTATTATAAATTCAAATTTCCTCAAGCTTGTGAAAATTTCTGGGTTATATAATTACATTGGTCACCAGCAGTCAATTGATAGAAGTCATTTTATTTTTATTTGTTCAGTTTTTCTACATCTTAGTATTTAATGTTTATATTTGTGTTTTCCTTAGTATTTTTTGTAGATATTTATATTTTCCCTTTTATTTTTTTTATATATTTATATTTTCCTTAGTATCTTTATATATATATTTACAATTTCCTAAGTATTTTTTGCATATATTTGATATATATGTACATATATATATATATATATATATATATATATATATACATATCTACTATTATTCTAAGGGGACTTCAGTCCCAGAATAAATTATTTTTCTGAATAACTAGTGAATTACTGAAGAATATGAGATATTTTAAAAGTTGTTTGTATTTCTGAATGTTTGCCTATCTTTAGTTTTTTGAGTACATGTTTTCAATTCAACACTCCAAGATTTTTTTTTTTTATTAGATTCATTGGGCATTTATTACGATTACTAGTTTGTAATAACGAAAAATTTGGAGCCCAGATTCAGAAGCATGTCAAAGAACTTGTTGGACATGAAATGTCCGCTGCACTTTATCCTACTCTATTTGAACAAATCAAGTCTGTGGTAGAAAAATTCTTTGATCAGCAAGGTCAAGTAAGTGATCTCTTAATCATTCTTGTATTATTTTTTTTTTTTTTTTTTTTTTTTTGTCACTTAATCACACACTATAATTATTCCTTATTTTCGCCTTTAAATAAAATTTATCATTATGAATGTATACTACATTATGTATGTATTTATACTACAGTATGCAACAGTTATAAAATGAAGTAACAGTTAATTAAAACTAGCTGTCAAATGCTTTATGCATTGTTTTAGAGTTACTTATACGATATGCTTATTTAGATAATTTCACTACATTAATTTTGAAAGAAAGAAAGAAATTTATATTTTGGATATATTTCTACAGTGATTAATATAATTTCTAGAATTACTAAAATTGATAGACACCATGTGTAGAATGTATAAATGATAAGTGTCAGATATGTCTACATCGCTGTTATATATATAAATATTTTTTTTTTAGGTTATAGTTTCAGATATTAACACTCAGTTTATTGAACATATTATATTCATTATGAAAAACGTTTTGGACAGTAAAACTGAACAACCAGCTGAACACTTGGGTGTCACAAGTATTGAAGGAATGATGCTTGCAATTGTGAGGTATGGTGTGCTTAACATGTTTTGTCAGATTTGAAGGTTTTATCCAGGTAATTATTACTTTCATTGGTACTACTTCCGAATCACTATTCCAAAATTGTGACTGGTTTCAAGACCACTTTGTGCACACTCTAAGTCGAATCTCATAACAACCGAAATATATCCAAACATACATACATACATGGCGCTACATCCCGCCACCGAGACTGAGCCTCCTCCAAAAGCTTTCGCCAGTCGATACGATCAGCTGCAGCAGCTCTCCAGTTTCGGACTCCCAGTAGAGCCCGTGCGTCCGATGTCACTGAATCCTCCCATCTTACATTTGGCCTGCCAACCTTTCTTCGTCCATGCATCTTTCCGGACAGCATTTTCCTGGGTATCGCCGAATCATCCATACGTGCTACGTGCCCGGCCCATCGAAGTCGTCCTATCTTGATAAACCTCACCAAGTCTATGTCCTTATAAAGGCAAGCGAGTTCGGCATTTTTCCTTCTTCTCCAAATTCCACCCTCTCTAACAGGACCAAAAATCCTTCTCAAGATTGATCTCTCTAAGATCAGAAGTCTATATTCTTCAATGCCCATGTTTCTGATCCATAAGTTAAAACAAGGCAGACCAAGGTTTGGTAGAGAGTGATCTTGGTCCTGTTAGAGAGGAACCTGCTTCCAAAATGCTTCGAAAGACCAAAGTAGCACCGTCTTGCCATTGCTATCCTTCTGTTGACTTGTCTAGAGATGTTGTTTTCGGAGTTTACCTCAGAGCTGCATACCTTTTCTAAATTAAATGTTCCAGCCACAAAAGAACCGGTCCCTGGCCCATCTTCTCCAACTCTCATATACTTGGTCTTAGCTTCATTAATGTGCAGCCCAAGTTTCTTTGCTGCATCATCTATGGCCAAGAATGCACGTCTTAATGCACGTTCCGATCTGGCAGCAATATCAAAGTCGTTAGCGTACCCAAGAAGCTGTACGTTACTGTTAAGAAGGGTTACGTGGAGTTGGATTCCAGACATATGCACTGCTTTCTCTGCAGCGAAGTTAAAAAGAAGACAGGCTAGAGCATCTCCCTGTCTTACACCACAGTTAGTATGAAAGTCTTCCAAGAAGTCACTTCCTACTTGTACTGCACACTTTGAGCCTGACATCATTATTTTCACGAGCCGAATCAGTTGACTTGGGATGTTCATTTCCAACAGGGCCTGATAGAGCTCCGGACAAGTTACACTATCGTAAGCGGCTTTAAAATCAATGAAGAGGTGACGGGTAACTGTTCTATACTTTTTGCATTTCTTCAGCATCAACCTCAGTGAGAATAGTTGGTCCAATGTGGACCTCCCTCGCCTAAATTCCGCTTGATATTTGCCTATCTCTCTCTCGGCATGAGGAACTAGTCTCGCAAATCCCTCGATAATTGTCGCAATCCGATTGGTCCCCTTTCTTGTGCAGTTACACAGATAGATAGATAGATAGATAGATAGATAGAGAGAGAGAAAGAGAGAGAAGAGAGAACTAACGTTTCCTCCAACGCACGTAGGTCTCTTCACCTATTCCAATCACTTCACTGTTCCCTTCAATCTCCTGGAAACATCTGACTCTTTCTCTCTCTCTCTCTCTTTACACTGCCTTAATGCGCATTCACTGCCACATAAATTAACTCTTCTGTTTTTTGCACTACATTTAAGTTTGAAAAAAAGTATTTAAAATCCTCCTAATTAACAAAAGCCAATGGCCAATGGCATGGTTAAAAAAAACTATTTCATAATACTTGTATGAAAGAAAAATTTAAGTATAAAAATATTTCTTGGATGCATTAAGTATATGTTTATAACCTTAAATACATTTACTGTAGTTTAATAACTCTATATCTGATATTTTATTTAAATAATTAGGTATAAACATCTGTTTATTCTGAAAAATTGTCATGTAACTTTAAAAAAAATTAAATTAGTGAATAATTTGATGAATTTTCCTTTTGTGAAATCCAAGCATTATCTGCAATTGGCAATGGCAATGGCAGGCAATGAAAATCTCATAATTTCGTTGTATTAAACTTTACAATGGAAAATAACAGATTAACTAACTGTTAGGCATACAATCCATAATCGTTTATAGGTTGAATATAGAGATATACTTTGAAATCTCTCTAGGCATGTATATATATATATATATATATATATATATATATATATTGCTCAAGAGACTGTAGTTATTTGGTTTATAAAAAGAGATGGAGTACTGAGGTTTTTATTGTCTACCTTTGATATGATTAATAGGGTTTTTGTTATTTTAATAGTGTTAATGGATTTATTAGCTGTAAACTTTAAGATATAGCTCCGTTAAAAGTACAGTTAAAAACTTTTGTAATTTCTCAACATTTTCAGAAAATAATTTCTATTCAAAGTAGAAAGGTAAATGAAATTAGTGTGTTGTGCGCACCAGATTTTTATCTAAACAGCTTACTTTGTATATTATTATTTTTAAAAAAATTCATTTTTAGCGAGTTTTTTTTTATGATTTTAAATATTTGTCAAAAAAAAATTTTTTGAACAACTTTAGATTCATATTCAGGACCCCCTAAACACATAAAACAAGCAACTGAAAATAATTAAAGTAGAATTTAGTATGGAAGTACAATTTGACTGGCTCATAATATTTACTAATTGTTCAATGTCTGTAAACTGGAAACCGTTAGTCGTTCAACAAAATTATTAGAACATGAATTGTGAGTAGTTTTCCTATCTTTATTTTAATATTGGAACAAGTTTTGCTTTTAAAAACTTAATTTGCATATTATAAGCAAAATCAACTTGTGAATTTTACCCTAAAATACAATTCGATTGGAACGTATATATACATTTCTTTATTTATTTTTTTTATTTATTGTGTGAATTGACAATGTCTTTTTTTTTTTATAGATATGTGCGCCACTTGGATATGACTGTTCATGCTATACATATTAAAACAAAATTATGTCAACTTGTTGAAGCCATGATGAAAAGAAGAGATGATTTAGCCTTTAGGCAAGAAATGAAATTTAGAAATAAATTGGTTGAATATTTAACTGATTGGGTAATGGGAACTTCACACCAAATAGCTCCTCCAGGATCTGGAGACGTTTCTGTTATAACCAGGTGATTTATTTGAATCTTTTATATTTTATACAATTTATATTTTATTGGATTTAAGTAGGTTTCTCTTATGATAAAAATCACGGGCAATAGCCGTTACCCTCAAAATCATTACTGCATGGCTTTAAGTGTTGTAAATATATTAAGTTTTTATTTATTATGAGTTTTATGTAGTTTAAGTGACATGTATTAGTGAATTGCTGAAAACAAAAATAGATCTAACCTACTCCTTAAAACTTGTATACTGCGGGAGCAGGAGTATACTGCCAAGATTTTATGTTATCCATCCCTCCTGGTAGCTGAGGAACCAACTTTGATAGAGAAGTGAAAGCCATTTCGGCAGCATTGACTGCAATGTAGAAAGAACTCACCTATTCCCAAGTTGTGATCTTTGTCGATTCATAAGCAGCCATACTGTCGATCTGCAATGGCCTGGACCATCCTCATGTCACAAGTGCCAGAAATCGGATTAATAATTTAATTAAAAAAGGAATCCGAGTGACTTTCCAATGGGTTCCAAGCCATTGAGGTCTACCAGGAAATGAAAAAGATGATGAGCTCGCACGGATCGCCTCAGAAATGCCACAAACTAATCCTCTGCTGCCCTACAAATCTGTTAAAAGGAGTTTAAAATCCTTTTACAAGGAAGAGAACAAGAGTTGGCAAAAGCAACAGGCAGGGGGGAAAAAATGGGAATCTTTAATAGAGGAGCTGATGAAACAAACAAAAAATAGGACGAATTTCCGCATGGCAACAGGGCACGATTACCTGCAAAGGTATTTACATAGGATTGGAATGATAGAAAGTCCTATGTGCTCTCTTTGTCAACAGGACGAGATGTACGACCTGCACCTCTCAGTTTACCTTGCTCTGTCAGATGTTCGCAGTACTTCTGATGGGATCGCCACAAATTCAAACAAAGGAATCATGGCGGAGTTGTATTGGGCTTGCCAGGAGCAAAATGGCCTAATAGCCAACGGCAAAGGCGTTTAATAACAAATAAATAAATTATTTTAAAAATGTGATTTTATTAAAGTTTATAAAAGTATCGTAATATAGAAGTTAATAGACTTAAGATGTGATTGAGGACTTTAGCTATAAATAAGCTAAAAAATTTAGTTTGAGATGTTCAGATATTGTTTTAAAAATATTTATACAGTTGAAAGATCTTCCTTTTGGATTATACAATTTGTGAGTATTGTGGTGGTAGGGGGCGTTCAAATGTAAACAGCCAAATTTGCTCAACCTTTTCCATAAATACTGTTTCCTTGCTAATTAATTTATTTTAAAATGTTAAAATACTATATAATAAAAGCAAGAAATCAGGCAAGGCATAGGATGTTTCAGTGCCACACCAGAAGGACAACTACCTCAGCTTTTGTAAGAATAAAGATGGAAACTTGGTAATGGGTAACGAAGAAGTTATCAGCTGATGAGCATAATACTTCAAGAAAATATTTAGTAAGGAATACGTCAATGACGACAGCGGGCCATTGGAAGGAAGCTGACCTTGATAGGATTCTGAACCGGATAAGGATAACATCCTGCTGGACTGGGATGAAATCATGGAGATTTTGAGCAATCTAAAGCTGCATAGATGGTATTGAAGCGGAGCTGCTGAGATATTGTGGGGACTAAGTATGGGATCAGCTCTACCAGTTCATATATGATATCTGGTCAGAAGAAGAGATCTTTGAGGACAGGAAAGTAGCTGTCATCTTTCCCTTATATAAGACATGCAACAAGCTCTGCTACTCCAACTACAGAGGGATTTCCCTGTTGAGTGTTGCATACAAGATACTCTTTACTGCCATTAACTGGAGGCTTGCACCTCACATAAAAAGAGAAGCCAGGGAGTACCAATGTGGCTTTAGGCAAGGAAGGTCTGGAATATATTAACAAAATATTCAGTGTGCCGAGTGTTAGTTCATCATCTTTTCTTAGCTTTCAAAAAGGCCTACTGTGGACTAGTCATTATTGCTCAGAAACCTCCTATCCTAGAATGTTTCAAGAAAACTTACCAGGTTGGTGAGGATGACAATGAGAGATACACGATGGCGGGTGAAGCTACTGGGGCTAATATCCGAGGAGTTCAAGATAACGGCAGGAATCTGACAAGGAGACCCAAAGGCAACCATACTCTTTAATATGAGCTTGGAAAAAGCTGTGCATGCCATTAGGACAAACCTAGGAGTCACAATCTTTAACCCCCTCACACAATATCTTGCATATGCAGACCATGTGGAGATTGTGGCCTTATTCCTTCCAGCACTGGTAGGGGCTTTAGAGGGGTTTAAAGGGAGCAGCAGCTGCAGAGCTTGTGCGCTTAAATTAAAAGAAGATTACCTACATGAAGTGTAGCAGACATCACCCTATGCAGAACAATGATACCATAAATATCAGCCACATAATTTCCCTGTATGCAAGGAGTTTAAAGACATTGGTTCCTTAATAACTGATAGTAACAATGTTAAAGCTGAAATTGGATTTAGAATAGCTTCTTCGTCCTTTAGCGGGTACTTTAATTCTGTTGTATGTCAAGGCACGAGAAGTGGTATGCAAGACCATGTATGTCCTGTGGTAACTTACAACAGTGAAACATGGATAATGATAGCTAAACATGAAAGAATGCTGGGAATCTGCTAGAGGAAGAACCAAAACAAGATCTATACAGGCCTTTATGTGAGAGAGGAGTCTGGAGAGCTAACCACGCTATTCGGAGGGGCTAATAGTGCCACCTTTATCAAGGCGTTCCGTATAAGATGGCTTGGCCATGTGGAGAGGATACCAAAAGAAACAGTGCCAAGGCAATTGTTGTATGGACAACCTGGAGGAGGAAGAAAGAGAGGCAGGCCACCACATAGTGGGCCATCTGGGATGATTTGATGTCAGGAGGTGGAGAGCTGCTGCAGCAGAGTGTTGAAGAATCCTGGAGGAGGCCCAGATCCCAAACAGACTGTAACAACGAGGAAGAAAAAAAAATGTACTGACAAAGACTATGCTGCCTTGTGAATATTTTAAAATCTTCTAGTTCATATTGGTTTTTATTTTTTGGCTTTAAGACTTGTCAAAGCAAGTCTTATTTTGATATTGATTTTTAGTTAAGCTAAAAGGGAAAATTTGAAGTATAAATAATCATTATTGTCCCACCTCAAATAATCTTTTTTGAGCTTAGTTTTTTTTATTATTTTTTTTGCCTCTGATGGCTTATTAAAGAGAACTATGTGCACAGTCTGATAACTTAGAAAATATTTTAAGTGTATAGTTGTAACTAGGGTAATAGTAATCTGAAAACAATATTTTAATATCATGTTTTGTGTATAATGTGATTCTTGTGGATTGTATATGTGATATAAGGAGTAAATATATGCTATTATGTAAATTTTAAAGAATATTACAAAGCATCCAAATTCAGTTATTTCTGAATGGTCAACTTTAAAATTGTTTAGACTGCATTGTAAATTTTTGATAGAGGTTTTAGTTGTTTTCCAGTTCTGTTCTATGTCAATATGTGTTTTTCCTTAGGAGCACTGACAGGTATGATGCAGTTAAATGATTATAAAGGCATATGTAGAGCATCAGACCTGCAATTAAAACATTTGCTTAATGCTTAATAGAGAATATATTAATTATTTAACCCATTAAGTATGTTAACATACAGGCCAGAGCCATTGTCAATCAGAGGTATCATGGCCAATATCTCTCTTCATATCTGTTTGTGTTTGCTGCGATAGATTCCTACAGACTTAGCTCTATTTTACATTGTTCAATTAATTGAATAAAGATAATTAGTCCATCAAATCTTATGCACATGCAAGTTATATTTTTATAACTATAATTACATTATACATATTATAAAATATAAATCCATCTTTCGTTTTAATAGTGTTTATTCTCTAATTCTTAATCTCATTGTGCCTAGAAGTTTGCTATAGACCATGGTTCAAAATATAAAATTTATATCAAGTAATTTTTTATTAATTATCTGTAAGTATACTATATTTGTTGTATATATATATTGCTTTGGATTTATCACATTTAAAACATTGCCCCCAGGGATTTAGATCAAGCTTGCATGGAAGCAGTGGCAGCTTTATTAAGAGGGCTTCCACTTCAACCAGAAGAATCAGATAGAGGAGATTTAATGGAAGCAAAAAGCCAACTGTTTTTGAAGTAATTTCTTATTGTTCTATTTTAAAATAATTGGTGAATTAAAAATGTCTTATTTCAGCAAAATATGTTTTTCTTTTTTATAACTGTAATCAATATAACAACTTACAGTGCATTAATTAATACAGTAAGTCAATTAGTTATTTTGATGGTTGATCTAATTATTTGGATAGTTAATTGTTAATCTCTTAAAAAGGCAATTAATTATTTTTATTAGTGTAATTATGAAATGCTTAAGCAACACAGAGGGCTCTTCTTTGAAGGATACTGATAGTTTTACAGGCATTTGACAACACTAGGATGGTTTTCATCCAGTTTAGTTCTGAATCATTAGTACTTTTTTTTTATTATTATTTTTATTGGATACCCATTACCCACCAGGGGTAGATAGATTTAATATACAGGGGTAGAGGGGAGGTTTGTTCTAGAGCGGGATTCGAACCGATGACACTAGGCATGAGAATGCTACAACAGGCAACACTCCTACACTCTCGGCCATCACAACCTCTGAATCATTAGTACTGGTACTCAGGAAATATTGGAGAGCCAAGGTTATAATGACATTTATAAACTGGCCTAGTCATCACTATCATCATCATTGACTTTGCCTGGATCCACTAATATTTGGAATTATTCTGAAGATGATGTTCTGAATCCATGAGGTTCAATTGAAAACTAATAATTTTATGGAATTCCACATGATTTATAAAATTTTTGGTTTCAGCTGGGGGTTGATAATTTTTTCTTGAAACTTTATCAAACCAATGTTTGTCATTCTGTTTAACTTGAAAAAATATAAAAATTTCTAAAATTTATTTTAAGTCGAATGTCTTTGCTTTTTCCTTAACAAAAATAGGTTTTTTTAAATAAAATTTTTACAAATACTGTGATGTAAAAAAAGTTCTGTGATGCTTGATGTACCTCCTGAGGTTCTCAAACCTTCTTTGTCTTTTGTTATAGATGAGGACACTTTGCTTGGTATGGAATAACTTCTTTTTGAGCATTTTAGTATATTTTTCATTCTCAGTAGTTAGCAGTACATTTCTCAGTCATATATTTTGTCTTGAAAATTAGCTGGATATTTAATAGTAACACTTATTTCATAACATGAGGTTGACACTTACTATGCAGAATTGACTCAAAGTTTACTATTTGATTTAGCAAAACTTGATTTGGATTTTTTCGTACTTGATGCCTAATAAGCAGTATTGTTTTATGGGGAAAACTATATAACATATCATAACTATAACTTAAAACAACTTTAGCTAATTATAATAAATAACACATAATAAAAATGGAAATCTGTCATCAGAGGATGGATTCTTATAATTACAAAATTTAAAAAAAGTATTTATTCTATTAGAACTATTGTAAAATATATATCTATAATTGAAAAATGATATATTTGTACCTTTTTTTTTGTTATTAAACATAAATATATTCTATTCATTGTTAAAAAACATTATAATTACTAATGATATTTATTTGTTTATCGCCCCTACCCTAAAGATTCGAAGCATAAGTATTATTATATTGTTATATCATCATAATTAGGTTTCATGTTTTTAAAATTAAAAAGCTAAAAATAATTTGTCTAAATAACGATTATTAGTACTGATATAGACAGTAATAAGTAGTTATATAAAAATTATTTTTCAAGAAGTTTCAAAATGTCCTTATTATGTTTGAAGTTAGTTTATTGTCAAATTTAAAAATTCCCAGGTTTAAACAGAGAAACTAAGATTATATATCGCTACTTCAGCATTCATGGCTTACCTTTCCGGTACCCCTCGATATGGTGTCACTCAGTTTGAGGACCTCTGATCTAAGTTAAATTATTTTAACTTAAAAGGTAATTTAATTATTTTAAATTTGAAAGGTACTTGTATGAGAGCCTTATGCAAGTTAAAAAATCTTGGTGCACACATCACAGAACTTTCACTTACAGCTCTACTTTGAATATAAATTATTTTCTGGCAATGTTGGGCCACCACAAAGTGTATTTTTAACATAACTAAATCTTAAAACTTATAGCTAACATGTAACAACTCATTAAGGCTATTAAAATAGCACAAACCCTATTTAATATATCAACGGTAGGCAAGGAAAACCTTGTAACTCCGTCTGTTTTTGTAAACCACATAACTCCAGTCTCTGAGCTATATATGCCTAGAGAGATTTGAAAGTACATCTTTAACCTACATATAAATCATTATGGATTGTACTCCTATTAGTTCCTAAACTCTTATTTTTCTACTGTATATTTTACTAAAATGGAGTTACAGGATTTTCATTGCTTACCATCGATAGCTCAAAAGTTGTGACAGTAATTGTAAATGGATAATGTTGTGATTTCACAGAGGAAAAATACATCAAATTATTCACTAATTTAATTTCCTAAAATGTTACATGATGATTTTTTTAAATTAACCGATGATAGATATCTAATTATTTAAGTAACTTATCAGATCTAGAGATATTAAACTACAGTAAATGTATTGGAGGTTATAAACATATGTTTTACACATCTATGCGATATATTTATGTTTCACTTCTTCTTTCATACTAGTATAATAAAATAGCTTTTAAACAATGCCATTGGCTTGATTCGGTGGATTTTATAAACTTATTTTTCAAACATAAAAATAATTTTAAAACTTTAACTTTAGTTAGGAAATATTATATAATTTCCTAGGAAACATGTGGTTTCCATTAAATAATATTAGTTTTCACAAATTATTATTTGTAATTTTTTCATCCCTCTCCGTTACCTTCTATGACTTTTTATGTTAGATATTTTTTTTTCTAAAATTCTCAACTTTCCAACGATATATTATACGTATACCATCTGACTATTGTTTGCGGAAATTCATTTTCAATCTAAAAAAAAATTTTCTTTTTTTCTCCTTTAGACATGGAGAAAAAAAGAAGAGGGAGGAGAGTATCAACTTCTTTCATATTTTATATTTAGCCTTTTATTATTACTGGTAACAATGAGAAATAGTTGATTATTCAAAATAAACCAAATTCCAAATTCAGGTTCTGTTAAGCAACATCAATGGGAATAAAACCTATCAGATATTAAAGATCATTCAATTAATACACTGAGTGTAATCAAAATCTTTTAAACTGTTTTTAAGAAAATTGTAAAGACGTGGAAAATTGATGATATAAAGTGCCACTTCTGGTAAACCAATTTCTAAGAAAAAGTTGCCGTAACATCCAACCTTATACCTATCCTAAATAGGTAATATCAGTTTCATATGACTTTTCGTTTTTGAGCTTGATTGTTCACACACACACAGACACACACATGCACGTACGCACCCACGTATGCACGCATACACATGCGTGTGCACACACACACTCACACGCATGCACACACACAGACCATTTTACCAGACTTGGTTATTTGGACTCAGTGGACCTCAAAATGTGTATTTCCGTTGAAAACTCAGATTCAAAAATTTTCGGGATTACAATACTTTCCCTAACTGTATATTAAATATATAGGTAATTGAAAGTAAAAATTAAACTATACTACAGAACAGAAAAATACAGTAAAGGACATTAAATTTATTTTAAATATTATTTTCAGGTATTTCACTTTGTTCATGAACTTGTTAAACGATTGTAGTGATGCACAGGATATGGAAAAAGATGTATCAAGACAGAGAGTATCAGATGGCAAACTCGCTACTTTACGGAATGCTACTATACAAGCTATGTCAAATTTATTATCTGCAAATATTGACAGTGGACTCATGCATTCAATTGGTAATTTAAATCAAGATTTATTCCATTATTTTTTTATTGGCCAATAGGCAATGCCTTTTTTTATTTATATTTATAATTATTTTTTTAATCTTGTTTTCAAGGATATTCAAATTAAATACATGTTCATTGACATTTTTTTTAATTCTAAGGTTGATCAATAATCAACAAATAATCAGGATTTGCTGTCTTTATATGGTTTATTAAGTTTGTTTTGACCTGAGTATATGGGTCGTCATGAGGGCATTGGTTACTGGCTAGTTTAGCAACAAGTATTGGGTTAGGCAATGCCATTATTTACTGCACCTACTAAAGTATTATCGAAGTTGTTTTCAAATTTATTTAATTGAGCTGCTGAATTGATCTGAATAACTGACAGATCAGTACATCTACCCTTTTTAATATCCTAGTCATTCTTAAGTGATAGGATAGCCAAAATCTTTCAAAAAGTAAACTCAGTTTACTGGGGAATCTTTTTATGGTAAATCTCGGTCTTCTAATTCTCACTTTTATTAGTCCTCACTTATTAAAATTTTATTTTTATAGATTTAGTTTGTCTCAAAAAGGATTCAATTTAAATTAATTTGGAAAGTATTCCAAAAAATAAGTAGGTCTAAATGATTTATCTGAAGATCTTCACAAGTTAGTAAGTAGTATTAATATTAAAATTTTTATAAGTTAGTTTTTGGCCAGATTTGTACTTTACTTTGTATTAACTCATCATTGTTATTCTAAAGGGACTTAGTCCCAGAATAAAGTTTAATTTTCTATTCTATTCTATTCTATTTCTATTTCTAGTAGTCAAGTTGTTCATTTTGCCTTTACCTTTCAAAATAGGCCAATACGATTTTATACTGTATCTCATGCTTGTAATCACTGGAATGGCTCCTTTGGAATATACAAACGAGACAGTTCTTCATCACTACATTTATAGGTTTAATTAAATAAAAGTGTGTGTGAGTTTCTTTGTTAAATTTCTTGTAGGGCAAGCTGCACAACTGTTGCTTCATATTAAAATTTGATTCTTATTTGGTTGCAACGGTTCTATTCTGGAAATCCTTCTATTTCATGTCAACACTAATGCTTCTAATAACCATCTCAGAAGAACCATTGTTGTAGATTATAAATCAATCTAATGAAAGCATTTTAAGCTCATAATCTGTTTTTTCCCTATGGCTGTAATGTGATTCAGTTTGGACTTTTAAAAATTAAATATGCAAATGAATGATTATCTATAGGAATGTCTACAGCTTAAAAACTGGTTGATAGTCACAAAAAGTTTAATTCATGAAACAACAAATTTTTATATTATTATGATTGTAAATCAAAATGAATATAGACATTAAAAATGAATATGAATGAATTTAGTGCAGGTGGAGCAAAATATTTTCAGCCTCAACACCTTCCACGAGAAAGAGAGAGAGAGAGAGAGAGAGAGAGAGAGAGAGAGAGAGAGAGAGAGAGAGAGAGAGAGAGAGAGAGAGAGAGAGAGAGAGAGAGAGAGAGAGAGAGAGAGAGAGGAGAGAGAGAGAGAGAGAGAGAGAGAGAGAGAGAGAGAGAGAGAGAGAGATGAGAGAGAGAGAGAGAGAGAGAGAGAGAGAGAGAGAGAGAGAGAGAGAGAGAGAGAGAGAGAGAGAGAGAGAGAGAGAGAGAGAGAGAGAGAGAGAGAGGAGAGAGAGAGAGAGAGAGAGAGAGAGAGAGAGAGAGAGAGAGAGAGAGAGAGAGAGAGAGAGAGAGAGAGAGAGAGAGAGAGAGAGAGAGAGAGAGAGAGAGAGAGAGAGAGAGAGAGAGAGAGAGAGAGAGAGAGGAGAGAGAGAGAGAGAGAGAGAGAGAGAGAGAGAGGAGAGAGAGAGGAGAGAGAGAGAGAGAGAGAGAGAGAGAGAGAGAGAGAGGAGAGAGAGAGAGAGAGAGAGAGAGAGAAGAGAGAGAGAGAGAGAGAGAGAGAGAGAGAGAGAGAGAGAGAGAGAGAGAGAGAGAGAGAGAGAGAGAGAGAGAGAGAGAGAGAGGAGAGAGAGAGAGAGAGAGAGAGAGAGAGAGAGAGAGAGAGAGAGAGAGAGAGAGAGAGAGAGAGAGAGAGAGAGAGAGAGAGAGAGAGAGGAGAGAGAGGAGAGAGAGAGAGAGAGAGAGAGAGAGAGAGAGAGAGAGAGAGAGAGAGGAGAGAGAGAGAGAGAGAGAGAGGAGAGAGAGAGAGAGAGAGAGAGAGAGAGAGAGAGAGAGAGAGAGAGAGAGAGAGAGAGAGGAGAGAGAGAGAGAGAGAGAGAGAGAGAGAGAGAGAGAGAGAGAGAGAGAGAGAGAGAGAGTGAGAGATCCTTAGAGAAAAGTACAACAAAGCTGTACAGCTGCTCACCTATGTTGAGTTGCTACAACACTACAACCAGCATAGCACGTCAGTCCTAATAGATAACATTTAATGAGAGAGAACAAAGGATAGAGTTTTGCAGAACTATCATTCAAAATACTGATGGTGTCCTTTATTTTCTTATTGCTACACTCAATTTTTTCCTTCTTACGACTGTCCATAGAGCTCACAATGAATGGCCCAGAATCAATGTATGTGACGGTGCAGGATTTCCAACCAGTCCAAAATTATTGACTCCTCCATATTCTGCAGATCATTCCTTTCCACACCCAGCCTCTCCAAAAACATAGCAGTTGAAGGTGGAATCAGTAAAGTGGAATAAAAATATTCGTCATAAAAATTAACATTACATCTGGCTAAAATACATATTATAATAAAGGAATAACTAAACCATAAGTAATAAGAGAAGTATTTACATATCTATACAGATATATTAAAGAAAAAGATGAGCAAGGAGGTCACAATACTGCAAAATAGTTGCTACAAACAACAAAGTATGAAATTGGAAAAGAACGATCAATTATTACTTTTGTTGTCAAACCGTTGCAGTAATAACAACAATAATAATAAAAAAGTAGATAAATATTTGCAATAACTGATTTACATCGGTACGTTAATGTGTCCAATTGAATACTTATCATAGTATTGTTAACATTGGAAAAGTCTTATATAATTTATATCCTAAGATGAACAAGAGAAAACAATAGAAAAAATATATAATATACATATAGAGGAGTGCGTTCAATATTAGTAAACAATTAAATACATCTCAAAGACTTAAAATCTTATAAATAGAAAAACAAAAAAAAAAACAATTCTCAGTGAAAAGTGACTGGAAATCTTTTCCATACTCATAAAGAAAAATATATATATAATAAATGATATATTACAGAAAAATGAAACCTTGTTACATAATAAATAACTACCCAGCGTCTGATTGAATTGTAAGGAGGAATTGGAATAAGAGGGTTTTAAATATGGATAAGGATGGTGCATGGCGGATTTTAAGTGGGATGGAATTCCAAAAAGTGGTGGAGCGGACAATAAAGGAGTGTTGAAATGAGGCAGATTTGTGGAAAGGGATATAAAGATCAGAAGGACGAGATCTTGTCGAGAGGAAATGGATAGATGACTTGAATTGAAGTAGATTGAATGCTTAGGATGGACGATGATTATAGATTATTTCGTAAAGGAATGTGTCTAGGAAATAATGTCTTCTGAAGAATGAAAAGAGCCACCTTAATTCAGCTTAGTAGTGGGAAACACGAGAATGTCTTGGGGTTCCATTGATAAATCTTACTAAGCCATTCATGTTTCTTTTCAGTTTATCTTCGAGTTCCGATAAGAGGCCACCATACACTACGCCGCCATAGTCAGGGTGGGATAAGATGAGGGCGGATACTAGGAGTCTACGGGTGGACATTGGTAGGAGATGGCGGAAGCGATGGAAGAATTGAACGTCAGGATATGTGGAAAATATGATGATTCCAGGAGAGAGATTGATCTATGAAAATACTTTAGTTTTTAACTGAAGAGCTGAAGGTGGTGGGCTAGTCATTTAGGTATAGGAGAGGAATGTTGGTATTGGATCTGAGAAAGGATTTGGAACCAATGACAATGGCTTGAGTTTTAGTAGTGTTTAATCTTAATCCATTTCACTAGCGGATCCAGGATTTAATTTTGGGGGGGGCTTCAGACCGAAACCTTTTTTTATCATAAAAATAACGATAATTACTTTGGAAAAACAGAAAGAAACTAACTACCTATATGAAATGGTGTTTAAGTTATTCTTTAAGTACTTTTAAATGTAATTAGACGAACAATAATACTTTAAGAGGTATTTTTAAAAAAAAATTCCCATAAAACATGGTTATATTTTTCCATTTTGGGGGGGGGGCTTCAGCCCTAAAGCCCCCCCCCCCCCCCCGTAGATCCGCCCGTGATCCATTTACATATATATATATATATATATATATATATATATATATATATCTGTTTTGTTCAGAATGAAAGTGTTTTTTGTCATTATTGCTGAGATTTATCACTAGAGACAGCATGAACATTTATTTGTCACATTTAAATTTTTCAATAGCAATTCCAAAAAAACAATTAAATATCAAATTACGATTATAAATATAAATTTATAATAAGTTACATGCCTCTTTTATTCTTCACTTTCCACTGTTGTTGAGCTGTGACAGCCATCCAGTAATAAAATAAATATAAATTTGGAAGATGATAATTTTGAAAAAGCATTGATGAATAAGAGAGAAAAAAATTGTTGAATTTTCACAATAAAGATGATTATAAACATATTACCTATATGGTTTATGAATTGCTTTGTTAGATTTGTTTTCGAGGTCACTATTGATACAAGGTTATTCTTGTATCAATAGTGACCTCGAAAACATGATTGATACAAGAATAACCCAGTATTATGTCAAGCTATGTGGTTCTACCCATCTCACAGGTTTCAGTATTTCCTTGTATCCTTCATATTTCAGGTTATCAGAACTCAGTGCCCATCCTACATACTACTCTTATTACTAATATTACTGATATATTGTTGATTACAACAATTGTCTGAACCATAATTATTAGCTGTCTTCCTTTTTCAGTAATGTGTAGGCATTTTTCATTAAACTATGCTCTGTTCATTGTGTTCTCCATTTAGCCTGTGCAATAGTTACTCTTTAATATGATTTCTGATTTATGCCTATAGTTTTTCTATTTTACCATCTCTTTTCTTTTTTAATTTTCTAATATTAAACTAATAATTGTCTTTTTATTAAAAGGATTTGAATTAAACCTGGTTTAAGTTTGCTTTAGTGGAACTGTTTTCTTTTTCCTATTCATAATACTTGTAAAAAAGAATTTAAAACACTTGTTATTTACCTTAGTTTAATTAACCATTTTCTTTTTAGATCTCGGTTATAATAGAGACTTACAAACTAGAGCTGCGTTTATGGAAGTTCTTACTAAAATTTTGCAGCAAGGTACTGAATTTGATACATTGGCTGAAACGGTTTTAGCTGATCGATTTGAGCAGCTAGTCCAGCTAGTTACAATGATAAGTGATAAAGGAGAGTTGCCTATTGCTATGGCTTTAGCAAATGTTGTTACTACTGCACAAATGGTATTTATTAGAGAGTTTGTATCTGTTTTCAGTTATAGAAAATTATTGATGCATTGATTCTTCTTGTAGTTATAGATTATTTCTCTTGATAGATTATTGTACAAATTATTGTCTTTTAAATTGAAACATTCTTTTAAACCTAAATTAAAAGTTTCATTAGATGCCTCAATTTTTTTATAATATGTATATATGATCTAAAAAATATAAACAGGGTGTCTACTGGACCTTGTAAACATGGAAAAGTCAGATAATTTTTCAAGCTTGGAGATATCGGTGCAAATTTGCTGTTATAAATCAGGATAATTATTTGTCACCATAAGTTTTTATAATAGAGATAAATTTACAATTCTACATATGATGCTTCATTTATATGATATGAATTATTGTACCTTGTCTTATTTATTTGACATGAGAGTCAATTTTCATCTTATAGAAGGCATATTTTTTGAAAAAAAATTCATTTTTAGAGATATATTTTCAATATAAGGGTCTATTATTATGTTATTGAAGGCATCATTTAAGAAAATACTAGCATTATGTCGTTGAATATTGATTTATTATACATTCATGAATCTATCGATATTGGAGTGCATTATGTTAGTGGACCGTTAAGGAAAATACTATCGATATTAAGATTTCCTGGTCAAATATCAATTTATTGCCTCTTTTCCAAGTTATTCAATGTGAGGATCTAATATTTCGTTATTGAAGGTATATTTTTGGAAAATACTTCTGATTTTTTAATCATGCTGTTGAATATTGATTTATTGTACCTTTTCTGATTTATTCGATGTAAAGGTCTATTATTATGTTATTGGAGGTATTTTTTAAAAATACTATCGATTTTAAGATTACATTGTTGAATATCGATTGGAATTTACTATATATACGAAAATTAAAAGAACATTAAGTAGAAAATTATAGAAAAGTTTCATCAAAATCGTTAGAGCCGTTTTTGTGCTACAGCCTATAGAAAAGTATCTTTTTCTCTTGTTGTGCAACCGATATTATGCAGGGAGCACTCAATTTGTTTCAAAGGCATTGGTAGTCGAAACCCTCCAACACAAAAAAAGAAGCAACAAAATCAATCTTCTAGTTCCCGATATAATTTTGACACAGACATGGACAAACAGATCAATTGCTGAAAATGTATTTTTCGGACTCGGGGTGCTCTGAATCGTAAAGATCCATTGAAAACCACACATCAGAAATTTAAATCGATTTTTAATCTCCATGTTGTTTTACCATTTGATCATTGACCGATATATTGTATCAATAATTCAAATGGGCCTACTAGTTGAAACTGCATATTTCGATGAACTGGAATTTCTCCAAAAATGACCTTTGAAATCAGGAACGGCAAGGGATTAGATAAAAAGGTTTTGGTAGACAGCCTGTGTTAACAATATAATTGGATTGTTAACTATTCATTATTATTTACTTTTATTTATTTATTTTTTTGTGAATATCCAATATATTACATTTGTTTTGGAACATAGTTTACATATGCTCTCCAAATGAATCTGAGGCTGTTAGTTAAGTCTAACAAATGATCTCTGAAAAAAATGATGAACAAAGATTAAACTTTTGAGCTTGCTCACTTTTTTAATTTAAGTATTGGCCCATTTTTTGAGCGGATATGTTTATGTTTATATGTTATGTTATGCGGATATGTTTAACAAGATATATTGATGGAATATGTTTTATGAACATAAGAAATTATGAGGCAGACCCAATGAAAATAATTGTGAATTGCTGATAAGAGTGCTAAGAATTTCCTGATACACCTTAAATTGTGGTCTACATAACTTGGAATCAGTGTATCCAGCATGTTTAATGAGTCTGTTGTTTAATGAAGACATATTTTGTTGTTTTCAAGAATTTCAGTTATTTTTTTTTGTTTTACTGCTATTTGTATATTATATTACTTTATTGTTATACAATACAATCTTCTGTTAATTAATTTTTTTTATTAGGTATTTATTAGGTAAAAAAAAATATTTTAAGTAATTTATATTTTATTTCAGGATGAATTAGCTCGAGTTTTTGTAACTTTGTTTGATGCTAAACATCTTCTGTCTCCTCTGTTATGGAATATGTTTTACCGTGAAGTAGAAGTATCAGATTGTATGCAGACTTTATTTAGGGGAAATTCTCTTGGATCTAAAATAATGGCATTTTGTTTTAAAATATATGGTGCAAGTTATTTACAAAATTTATTGGAACCTCATATTAGACCTTTAATTGAGACTACTCCTCCCTCACTTGAGGTTGACCCAGCTAGGTAATCCTATCACTTTATAATTTTACCTTATCTTTGGATCATGTTTAATTTCTGTTTTATTATCTCTCAATCATCAAAGCTGTGTGTATCATAAAAAGCATGTAATATGTGTGTGTGAGACATCTCACAAATATAAAAATTGAATAATAATAATAATAAAAGGCTTAGCTAACCAGACGGTTTTATGGCAATACCACCAAGCACTGTCTACATAAGTCTCTCCAACAGCCGTTGTCCAAACCCTACTCCACCAAAGCAACCTTAATACAGTCTTTCCGCCTTTGCTTCATGGTTACCTCTCCGATACTTACTAGTCAGGACAGGGCATATTAACCTTTTAGGGATTTTTGTGTTACTAAACTCAACAATTTTACATGCCCATTTTATTTTCCACCATGTAATCCCTCATTTATATTAAGTGGATATAGATCACACATTTTGTCTTACAGCCAATGCAACATGCGGAACTGGTCTTATGGCAAATCTGTCTTATGACAGAAATTCTTATAGTTTGAGTTCAGGCCTTCAGAAACTCTTATAGTTTGATTGGGACTTTCTACCTCATCATCCATACTCTCCAGACATTGCCCCATCCGATTATTGCGTGTTTCTTTTGTTAAATATTCTCTCCTTGATAAATGTGGCAAATCCAAAAGCGAAATAAAAATGCATCTCAATCGATATTTTGCAAGTAAGTCTCAACCATTTTGGAAAAAGGGTAAAAGAGGCTTTACTGAGAGATCGAAGAAAATAATAGAGCAGAACAGTTCATATACAACACAGTAAATCAACCTTAAACAACAGATACAGAATTTTTATAAAAAAATTAAAAGTTGTAATAAAATTCTCAAAAACATGATGTTATTACCTTTTTATTAGTCCTCCTAAATTGTGGTTGTTAGTTATAGATGAGTATGTTTACTTAATGAAATAAAAAATAACAAAACAAAAGTCTCGTGGATGAATGACACTTTGGTGAAGAAATGACATTGATTTATTTTTTTACAATTTATCATTTGTTTGTATTTATTGTCATTTGTTCAACCGTGGTGTTTATATTATCTCAATTTTTTAAGTATTCCATCATTGAAGTAATTCTAATTTGTTAATTTACTTTAGGAACTTTGATTACTAGGAAATCCCTGTTGTAATCCAAATCTTTGCTGTTAAAACCTTAAACTTATCAAGTTTGTTACTATTAATGCTTTTGAAAACATGAGTTACTAAGGAACAATTTTTTTTATTAACTAATAGGAAAAAAAATTTAATTTTGATAGTGGCATTTAATTGGTCTCAGTTACATTTTCAATCTTGAAACTTTAAAATATAAAATAATTTAATAAATTAAATGATTATCACATTTTTACAATAAAAAAAGTTCAAATCAACTTTATCTACTTCTTTTTTTCTCTCTCCCTAGCTAACCATTGCAGTGGAATTGTACACATGTTCATTGCCACTGACAAAAGTTCTCTTTGTTTCATTGTTTCTTACAAATATACATGGTTAAGAACGTGTGTATTTCGGGAATATTAAAACAGGCTAGTATGTGGAGCAGCACAGTATGTGGCTGTGGACCTTCTGGTGGGGCTGCACCTTGTTGCCTTCTTTTCTCCTTCCAGCTCCTCATCCCTATTGCTCCTCTGGCTCCTCCATATCCATTGAACTTGGTGGTACCAACATCCTCTGGGAGGCATTTACTCAGCGTGAAGTGCTTAGTGCCCATCACTTCCTTCCATCCCCTCATGCATTCCATGAAGGGTAGTTCCTTCAATCCAGGGAAATCTTCAAGACTGTGTATCCCAATCTTTTTGTATAGCCAGGCCCAATGTCAGTTGATGTCTGCATAGCCTAGCCCGGTGTGTTCCACTATGTCAGGAACTCTACATGTAGAGCACCGGTATTGATATTTATGCTTATACAATTTATCTCTAAATCCTCTCCTCTGTGTCTTGTAAGGATTTTTAAGGACCATGGTCAGTGGTCTTCGTCACTTCTTCTCCAGCCTTGAATTGACGGTGGGAAAGAACTTCCTGAAAGTAGATTCCTTCTCACTAGTCATACAATGCCTACTCTACTCCATGAGTGAGTCCTCTCTTAAAATCATTCTCCATTTCCTTATTTATTTATTTTTTCCATTTCCTTGGGTTCTCTTCTGTACTTTGTTGAAATCCTTCTGGGAGTAACCTAAGCTTGTGTCTTTTGATATCGAACTTCATGATGTCTTCCCTCAGGTCGAATCCAGGAGCATTTTCTCATCCAGTATTTGGACTACTTAGTGTGAAACTGTCATGTAAGCTTTTGTGACCCTGATCAGTGTCAGTCTCTGGACGGTTGCTGATTTTTTCCTTTATGTTTGTGTGAGACAACATCCCCACACAGGGGATGCTAACCTCAGTATTACCAGTACCACACCTTTATAAATGGCCCTGATCGCAGGTTATTTAATCCCTAGAAGGCACTCCCTATCCCCAACAACCTGTTCAAGCATAGGTGTAAGAATGTGGGGTAGCATCAAACTCTGAATCTGACTTCCAGGTATATCTCCTTCTCACCTGATTTTACTCTTACTACTCATAATTGAGTATAGATTGCTAGAGGTTTGGAAATCTTGCAGTTGTTGGAGCTCACTAGACCACCTCACATTGTCGAAGGTAGATGATCCGTCAAACTACGTCATCATCATATACTTATCTGTCATGCTTTGAGCCATTCCTCCTCTCCTAGCAAATTTCTTTAAAATGACCATGTCAATCTCGTCTAGTCTTGGGGTTCCGCCAATCCTCGGCCTCTCCATGGCTATTTAAACATCCTATCATGTTCCGTGGATGGCACAGGTCTGTTCCTGGCAGATACTCTGTAGCTCTGATCATTCTGTTCTTAGTATCCTGGAATGCATCATCCCTGGGACATATGTAATCACTTACACTTACATTCCTCCATTAGGGTGGTTGCCTGGTTGTTCACAACTATTATGTTGCCATCATCAGTGATGGCTTAAGTTTGTCCTGTACTACCCTCAGAAATTCTTCTACAATGAAGTTGTCTCAGGATCTCTTTTTCTGATGATGCAATCCATTTTGGAAGGTTCAATACATGCACCTTCTCTTTTCCTTAAGTATGATCTTCATCTGCATGTCCCTAGTTCCTTGATATCTTAACTCTCACTCTATGGTATTCCTTTTTGAGCAAGATTAGTTCTGGCATCCACTATAAAACTTGGTATGCACTTGTTTTCCTAAACAGAAGGGAATTCTCAGCCACCTTCTTAATGATCTTTGTTATTGCTTCCATCTTTTAATCTATGGCCATCTCCTCACTGTCGTAATTTGCCTTCATCTACTCTCTACATGCCATAATCTCTTCAAATACTCCTGAAAAGATTGTCCAGTCTGTCGTTCTAGTCACAAATCTCTTGTTGCCCTGACTCTTGCTTCCCTCTCATCATACTGAAACCAATTGTTTCATTGTTCATTTACTACTATGAGCTGGCATCTGACAACGCTATCCTTAACCATCACACCTCTAGTATTTTTATGGATCGAACCCCAGACTGTATTCCATATGTAATGATCAAACAAAAAAACTTTTTTTCTCTTATTCTGTTTTTTTAATTTATGGTTATTTTTTTCAAAATTATTATCAATAGATTTCACTTTTTCTTGTTCTTTAATCAATTAATCAATCTTTAATCAATAAACCTGAATAAAAGGCAATGATTGAATTAAACAGGTACTTAGAAGATGATAATTGAGACGACAACATGGATCCTATTATGTGGTGGTTTGGTCTGCAGAACAATTACTTTAATTTGTACACCATTGGCAAAGAAATATTGATTAGTCACCGATTCAGTCCCATGCCAAAAATTTTTTTCAAAAGTTGACATATTGATTAATGAATGTCAGGCTCGACTACCAGCTGATAAAATAAAAAGATTGCTGTTTTTAAATTCTAGTTTTTGAAATAATTTATATTTTAATTCATTCTAAATTTTATGTTATGGATTCTTTTGTTTTTATCTTTATTTATTTAAATATAATTCTACAATAAAACTATTTTTTGGTTGATAAGATTCATTTATGTGTCTTATTAATTTTCCTTAAATATTCCCTTACCCCAAGTTACAGAAAAATAATAATGATTATAATCCATTTCTGTATTCTATTTTACTCTTTTATTATAGACACAATTTAATTAATTTAAGGCTTAATAATAACAAAACTAAAAATAACAACACATGTGGACATTTTAATGTATATTGAATTATTCAAAATAGGCGCTAGAATGAAATCTCAGATTGAAACGAAAGCAAATGTAATGGAACCTAAAAGCGTTCACATTCCTCTGGAATAAAATTCCGAAAGCCCCCCGAAACAAGAATAACCATTCAGGTCGGAACCATTCCAGGGTGGAAATCAAAGCCACTTTAATCAATCAAGTTCTGCCGTTGCAGTGCAACTTAAAAAATAAATATTAATAATAAAAAAAGCCAAAATTTAATAAAAATAGATATTTTTTTAACTTTCAATAATTCTGATACAATATTGATGTCAATCGATGTTATAGGTAGCTAAAACAAATAAAATCCGAAATCTGAGGTTTTCTAATTCCAAATAATCTGTGAAAAAACCAATGATATAAAATATCCTATGACAAATTTCATTTCCACAACAGAACCACATGTTTATCATTCTTAATAGTAATAAAATTTGATTAAAATAATTATTTTAATTTTTTTCTTTTTTCTGTTGGCATTACAGACCATGTAGATCTTTTGTCGCCTTAACGAAACTGCTCCATCTCTGCCTGTCTTGGGTTATTTCTTACCAGTAATCTGCACACAGCTCTATTGCATCTTTGTTGATTCTATCTGTCCATCTGCTTTTTGGCCTTCCAAGTGGTCTTTTGCCTTCTATTAAGGCATTCATTATTATGTAGAGGCTTCCAGATGGATTGCTTTGAGCTACATGCCTAGCCCATCTTAATCTCTGTGCCTTCATATCATGGGATATTGGTTGACCAGTTTCTGTAAGCAGTTCTTTATTGGTCATTCTTCTCCACGTGTTTGTACTTTGATCCCAGATCACTTCGGTTATCGTGTGGAGGATTTTTATCTCAAATCTTTCAATACTTTTTTCTAAGATGCTGGTTAGTGTCCAGGTATCACAGCCATATATTAGAACTGGTTTTATTATAGCAAGGGTGTCTATTTCCCCCACTCCTCTTAAGATATTTTATTTCTCTCTTCTTCTTAGAAACAGTGCAAACGAAAGTGGAATTTGAATATTCGTATATTATATACCATTACACATCCTCTGACCTGTTCCATGATTTCACTTGTTTTTTTATTTGAAACTTTTTATTTTGAAAATTCATAACCCAGTTGAAATGTGCCCCCTTCAAAAATTGAAAACCCCTTCAAAAAATGATCCCTCATTAATTTTGATGGCGCAACTTGCGCTCTGTTTGCGCTAGTAATACGCTGATCTATTTCTGACCATTGGTCATTCATTGAGGTTATTGTGGAGCCGAACTATTTGAATTTTCTAGTCTCGTGAATGATTTTCCTTCTACTCAGATTCTGTTATCAGGGTGGAATTTTTGGCCTATTATCATATATTTTGTTTTGTCTTCATTTATTTGTAGGCCGATATGCTCTGCCTCTGCTATCAGAGTCAGAGAGTTTCTCAATGTCCTCTTGATTACTTCCTAGGACAGCTATATCATCTGCGCATCCAAGGATTTTATGATTCATGCCGACGTGGACTCCTCCATTTTCCTGTGATGTTCTTATCACTTCTCCAGGGCTAAGTTGAACAACATTAGTGATAGTTCATCTCCCTGCCGTAAGCCCGTTTGAACTTTAAATGTTTCAGATACTTCTCCTTGTATTAGGACTCTACATTTACGGTCATTTGTACATGCCTTTGTCAATCTCACCAACTTGCCGGAAACTCCCAGTTCAGTCATGATTGCTGCTTTGAAATCGACAAAAGGGAGTGGACCTCCTGAGCTACTTCCTATCATTTTCGAGTACTTGTTTTAGGATGAAGATCTGGACTAGCATGCTCCTTCCTTTTCTGAATCCAGCTTGGTGGTTGCCCATTGTATTTTCTTAATACGGATATATCTATATCTATATATCTATATATATTATATATATATATATCCCCCCATCCGGTTTAGTAGGATGTTGGTCATTATCTTGTAGTCAACCAGAAGAAGTGCTATGCCTCTGTAACTAGTACACTCATACATAATAATAATAACCTTTATTTGTACATACAATGCATAAAAAATGGATAAAAAAAAAATAGATATGTACCCAATCTTTACACTTCGATTTATCATTCTTATATACAAGATCAACATTTTAGTTGAGGTTTTGAGTTCGATTTTTTTTCTTTCTTTCTTTTTCTTTTTTTTTCCTTTCTTTTTTTTTCTTTCTTGCAACCACACTAGGTAATGAACCTGTCCCATCCGTTTCCACTCTTTCCCATCCAATGCTACTCTCTTCCAGGCTGATCCCCCTCAGGTCTTCTTCATCTCCTTGTCCCAGTCTGTCAGCGGGCATCCTCTCTTCCTTACGTGATCTCTTGGATACCAATCCATAAACTGCCTGGTCCATGTTATATCATTCCTCCTGATTACATGTCCGGTCCAGGTCCACTTCCTGATGTACACTTTTTCCACAATATCTGGAAGGTCAGTCTTAGCTTTGATCCATTTATTCGCTTTTCTATCCCTTTGTGTTATTCCGAGAAGATATCGCTCCATTCCTCTGACGGTTATCCTCAATTTGTGACAAGTCTTCTGGTCAATTATCCATGTTTCACAACCATATATCATGACAGGAAGTACTGTACTCAAACAAAGTTTTCTCTTGACCTCTGTGCTCACCGAGGATCTATATATATCCTTAAATTTGAAGTGTGCATGCCATACCTGGATACATCGCTTGATTATTTCTTCAGTTTGTCCTTTAATTGAGATAAGGAGTCCAAGATATTGAAATGTTTCTACTTTCTCTATATGATGTTCGCCTACTTTTATATCTCCATCAAGATTCATTGATATATAATTGCACTTTTTACACTCATACATGGAGCCTTTCTTTAAGATAGGACAGATTAGGCCCGTATTCCAAGGCTCAGGTGTCCTTTTCTCTTCCCATACTTTCTGGATTAATTGTAGTAGCTTGGCCCTTAAGTTGTCTCCCCCCATCTTTAAACTGATGGTTATTGTCTATCCCTGGGCTCTTTCTTATTTTGAGCCTTTCAATAGCTATTTCTACATCCAATATATCTGGTTTTTCAACCTCTTCCGGGTCAAGGTCCTCTGTGTGGTTTTGTCTTCTTTATTCGTGGAGTCTCCTTTAGTGAGAAGTTCCTGGAAATGTTCTTTCCAGGTGTTCAACATCTTTTCTTTAGATGCCGTCATTATGCCATATTTTTCTTGTATTTGCGTATTTCTCACTTTATATCCTTCCCTTTCTTTCCTAATGCCTGTGTAGAATTTGTGTATATCTCCAGCCTGCCAGTTGTCCTCAATGGTTTGCAATCTTTCTTTGAAGAATTCCCTTTTTTCGAATCTTATAGTTTTGTTTGCCTTTTTCTTGGTTGCTGTGTACTTGTCCTGAGCTACTTGATCATTTGTAGTTAGTCAGAGGACTTTCATTTTTCTTCTTTCCTCTACTACATTTTCACCTGCTTCTGTGAACCATATCTTAGTTTTTTGTTTCTCCTGAATACCCATCACATCCTTAGCTGTTTCTTTTAGTCCTTTCTCTATTTTTTCCAGCGCTGATCCACTGTGAGGCTATCTGAATCCAAGGGTTCTAATTTATTTTTCAGCTCAAGTTGAAATTTGATTTTTACTTCAGGATTTTTCAAATTATGGACTTTATTCCTTCTTGATTCCACTCGATATCCCCTGTTGTGTGAATTCAATTTAATCTATGACATGGTTTAATCCTACTCAGAGAGTGATCGGAATCACAGTATGCTCCACGATAGCTTCTCAACTCTTGTATTGAGCTCTGATATCTCTTGTCTACCAGCACATGGTCAATTTGGTTTTTCGTTCCTTTAAGACTAATCCAGGTGTACTTGTGGATATCCTCAATACATCTCATTCCATTGTCATATCTATTGGCTTCTGATAATGGGTCTGATTTGGGACTCTCGTTCTATCTTTGCATTGAATTCACTTATGACTAATTTTATGTCATGTCTACGAGCTTGATCCACAATATTTTCCAACTGATCATAAAAATTATCCTTCACCTCTTCATCTTTATCTTTGGTTGGAGCATACACATTAATTATTGTGTGATTAAACCAACTACCTTGAACTCTGCTGGTGTCATATATTTTCTTGTCCCCTGAGGTATCTTGTTTGGTGTTATCCTTGTAATATCCAGCCCACTAGAAATCATGCAGTCATTGCCCACCAGTGATTCTAAATTATGTTTTTAAAAAGAATTAAAATCTATAGGAAACCAATTTTTCAATTATAAAACATTAGATCTTTTTAAAGATAATTTTTAAAAAAACTTATGAGACTGTCTCATATTATTATTCATTTAATATTTTATCGCTTCTTTTTTAATATTTTTTTTTTTGTAAATAAATGCACATCTTTATTGGTGTCATATTGTGAAATCATCCAGTAAGATTCATTATATAAAAATTTAACCACTTTAAAGTTTTGATTATAACAAGCTTAATCATATTTTTTATATTTGATACACTGTTAAAAATTAATTTTATAATATCTATTTTTCTTTTTTAGATTAGACCCTTCCGAAGAAATTGAAAAAAATAGGGAAAATCTTACCAATATTACTCAAAAGGTCTTTGATTCTATTGTTTCATCAGCTGATAAGTAAGTATTATCAGTATCAATTAGTATTTTGAATAGAATGTTCATTATATCCAGTGTTTTGGAGACATGGAATGATCATAAAATCATAAGGGTCAACTTATTGTTGTTGTAATGCACATCATGTTTTTCCTGAGTTTTCGAATTTTATGGATATAAGGGTCGACTATAATGTTTTTGGGGAGCGCTTTTTATGAAAATGATGTCGGATTTCAGGTTACGCAATTAAACATCACGTTTTCTTAACTTTTCAAATTTTATTGATATTAGGGTCGACCATTATGTTGTCGGGGTTGTTTTTTATGAAAATAATGTCAAAATTTAGATTTCGCTTCACGTTTTTGTGCTTTAATTCAGATTGCGCTTCATGTTTTTTCATGACAGCCGGAGACGACAGTTGCTCCGAGGGTGCCCTCAGGTAAAAGAGATATCTTTAGCAGCATAAAAATGGTAAGCTGTTTTTGCACAATTCGTATAACCTACCAATACATTAAAATACAGTCCACTGCCTAAATAAGTAGAATGTTGCCCATAATTTGAATGTTGCCTATTAAGAACTCATGAGAGTTATTTGCCTAGCCTTAATTAAAATTTGGAAAGTTGCCTAAACAGGCGCTTTTTATGAAAATATTGTTGATTTTTTAGTCGGTTAAAAGTCTTTCTATCTGAAGTTGCCTCTGTCAGTCCACCATATTTTACGCACTCTTCTCTTTGCTCTGATTAAATCCCTTATGTACTAAGGGTATTCCGGCAAGTGCTCGGTTATCACAGAGTTAAACTTGGGTATTGATGAAGTCCAAGCTGCTAGTTAAATATTTGTTGTGAATATTTCCACTGTCTCCTCCAGTTCTTTTTCATTTTTTATAGAAACTGCTATCAAAAGTGACAACTTTAAAAACTCTCTATAAGCCTTCCAGTCAATTGGCCCATTGATAAGCACAGTTCTTCTTTGTACGTTTACAGCCTCATCTAGCACAATAAGGTGTACTACAGAATCATCAGAGCAAAGATCAGAGCTCGTACTTATGGATTAAGGCAAGGTTCGCAGACCTTTTGTAATAAAGAAGTCCAAAAGGTCCAGGGATTTACATCTAGCAGCCCTTAAATTCTTTCCTCTTGGCGTGCTACGTCATGACTCCCAATGTTGGTGCTTTACGTTGAAGTCACCACCTGCGATGAAACATCGATCTAAGCTTTGGAAGTAGTTGTAAAACATCGAAGATGTCAGCACAAATCTTGGAGGACAATAAATGGAAACTAGTGTCAATATATTTTGTTTCATGTATAGTGTGATGCCTGTGGACTTGATGTCAGGTGTAGTTGGCAAGTGATTGTTTTGAATGAATGTGTTGTACAACTATCTGGAATACTTACAATCACTTACCTATATATGTAAAAGCCTGTTTTTACTCAAAGTAAGGTGATAGGTGAAAGGTTTGTGATCGATGAACTTCACTAAATTTTTAAAATGTCACATAGCAGGATAGATTTAAAAAAATAATAATAATATTTAACATTTTTCAATCAATTTTATCATTACAGTGTATTTGATTTGTTTGCTAAAATAAAAAAAGGGAAAAATAATTTATTAGATTAATATAAATTTCCTGAACAAGTTACATTCTCAATTATATCAGATTTTCAGCATTTCCCATATTGTTAAAGATTTACATTCTTATTTTTTGATAGGTTTCCACCTCAACTGAGAAGTATGTGTCATTGTTTATACCAGGTATTGAGCAAACGTTTCCCACAAGTTCCTCAAATAAACATTGGAGCTGTTGGAACAGTAATATTTTTACGTTTCATTAATCCAGCTATTGGTAAATATTGTTCATTCTGCTTTCATAATAATAATAATCAATAAGAATTATTTTATAAAACATTGTGTTTCATCAAATATCAAATTAAAATATATACTTATAATTTATGATTTTAATTTAAGATTTAAGTTATCTTTTTATTAGTCACACAGTTATCTTTTTATAAGTAATATATTAATCTGATTAACATATATATATATATATATATATATATATATATATATATATATATATGATAATCCAAACAGGTTACACTCTTATGTTAATGCTACATCCTTCCCTTAATCTTCGTAGATTCATTTCAGTTGCTTCACTAGGCGTCATTATCTGATGCACAGACCTTTCTGAGGAGGTGATGATGCCTGCAGAACTTGGGAATTGATAGCCTCTCAGGCAATAGCAGAGAAGAACCATTCTGAAAACTGAGATGGTCTCTTGTCCTGGAACAAAGTATAAAGGGGGAGTATCGACCAAATAGGGTATTCATAAAGCATAAATGGCTTAAGTTCTCATCAAGAGGAGACTGATGAAATTCTTCCTTCTTATTAAGTACCGTAAACTATTATTTCTCATTAAGGTTAGCCGTTAGTTCTTCTACGACCATGATGCTATAATGTTCTCTTTTGATATATTTATTTAATGGAATAGGATTCAAACACAGTCGAATAGATCCATCCAGTGCTAGCCTTTGGGTCGGGCAAACCAGACAATTGCCCCAGGGTGTCCAGCTGGTGAGGGGCATCTGCCATTAGTTATAAATAAAAAAAAATACAAAGTGTATAAGAATAAATAAATTTAGCTTATTGGCAAAGTGGCTGAGTAAGGGCCATTTTAATTAATCAAAATTGGAATATTACTTCATAAAAAACAGTTTAAGAAATAAATCAAATTATATTTTGGGGAGATGAAGTCATTACCTTTGGGCGCCAAATGTAGCGTCATAGAAAATCACATCTTAATTTCCTTGGGAAGTTTACCTAGATCAGTAAATACATTGTTATTACTTTTAATAAATTCTTGTTTTTCATTTTTTAAATTTTTAACAGTTAAGTCATTAAGTTTAGGTTCTTTTTAATTTATAAAATATTTGTTCTTAATGGTTTAGGGATGAAGCTTCTAAATGACTTAACCTTCATTGAAGTTTTAGTCAGTTTACCTTCAACCCCTCAATTTTATTCCAAATATGAGTTGGTAAAATGTTATTATTATCAGTATCCAACTTAAAAAGTATGGGCACTTTATAATATAAATATATTATTCCATATATATGTATTATATTATATATTTATTACTATATTATTTCAAATATATTATTATTCCATAATAATATAAATATATTCCTTCCACAAATCTTAATTAATATCATTTATATAAAAAATAATGTTATGAATAAACACTGACTTGGAATACGAGGTGTTTCCTTCAGTCTCATGAACTGCAGCTCTCTTTTTCCAAGAATGGCACCCTATTTTTAAATTACCTAATCTCTCACATAGAACACATTTTTTATCTTCATAATACTGAGAAATTTCTTGACCCATGTAAACTTTTTAGTCCTAAAAAGTTTGGATGTAAATTGTTTATGTATATTAAACTATTGGTACAGTTAAAATCAGTTTACTTCTCTTCTCCAGCCATTTCCTGTCTATATGATTTACCCATTTCAGCGGATTGTAAAATTTGAGTCACCTCCATCATGCTAGTTTTTTAGTCTCCTCAGCAATGTTTTTTGTACCTCTGTATCATTATAATTTTAAACTATGTGATCTATTATCATTCTGTCTGAGAATGAAGTTTTACTATCAGCTTTAGAGCAGACAAAATTGTAATTAAAGGCTTGAATTTTAAGCTTACTTAAATAATTGTCCAGCATTTGTCATTGAAAATGTTTTATTTTGTTAAATTTTTAGGATTCCATAGGCAAATTATTTACTTTAGAAATGCAATATTCATCAAATAATTTTAAAATATCTTTTGAATAATCTTTCTTACCTTGAAATGTTAAATGAATATCTTAAGCTTTTGCACCCAGGTGTTAACAGAATTGCAATTTTCAACATCTCATTCTTAATTTATCTTTCTCAATAACTGTTAAAAATAGGATAAAGGCCTGCTTCCATTTTGGCCAATTGTTGTGATGTTCTCATGAAACTGAAGAATAGGTAGCTGCAAATTAGAATTACTCATTTTTAATCAGTGGGCATTTTACCTGACACCATGTATAATGAAGGGGATAATTAAAATATTCACTTAAAATTTAAGATATCTTTTTATTAATTACAACATATTAACAAGTAACTTCTATTAATCTCATGAACATATATAACATTATCAATTGATGATCCAAAGAGGCTACACTGTTATGTTAATGCTACATATTGTGAAAAAAATTAGGTTGTTGAAAAATATTTACCCCTCAATAGTCTCACAAATATTATATTATAACATTGAAAGAAACTTTCAATACATTGCTCCATATTCATCTGTAGCATTTAAACCTTACATATATACCTTAATCAATACACCAATAATTCAATACAATAATATTTAAATTTTGTAATTTGAGCAACAGCATACCTTGTGATTTTAATCCATTTTTTTCATCTCATCTAAATTATATTATATTTTTCAACAATCAATGATTTTGGTAACTTTCATCATTAAACTTGGGGTCTAAATCATGGAAAGCAATTTGTGAGACTCTTGAGGCTTAATAATTAATTATCAGAAATTAAAAATAGTCTATTAATCAAAATTTAATTTAGTTTTGTATATTTATAATTACATAGTTTGTATTATTTTATTTATGTTTTTTTATCATAATTTTGATAATTTGTATTGATGTTTTGGGGTCATTTTAATTTACTTAAAAATTCCATTTTCTTTGCCTTCATAATTTTAGATTTAATGGCAGCAACTTACTTATAATACAATTAATGCTTCACCTGGAAAGTTAGTAAGGCAAAAATTGTGACAACCATTATCATTTTATGGTCATTAGTATCTTTCTCTTCAATATACTTCTTATTCTAGTGAAGAAATAATTGATCTAATGAAATAGTGAAATAATTAATATAGTTGGGAGTTTGCTATCAGAGAGGTCACTCAAATAAAAATAAAATAAATGTTTTTTATTTTCATTTATATGTTCTCTTTGATTGCAACTCCCAAACATTTTTTATTGCAGCATTTATGATAACCTTATCAATATTAATATTCTAAGGATATTCATTAAGGATGTTATTCTTTTTTTTTTCTATTGTTTATGAAAACAAATAAAAAAATAATAATGCACCGAGTGTATCACAAGTAGATGACAATGTTCAAGGGGTCAATATCCTACTCAAGCACACAAAGAAATTTTAATTATGAAATCTCAACATTTTTTTTATTTTGGAAAAAATGAACATTTTTCTTTCTCCTCAAAAACAATGTTTTTTAATTTTTAAAGATAAAAACACTAATCATTTTCCTATATAAACTGAAATCTGACCACAGATGTATTCTGCCTTCGATTTCCTTTTAGGAAAGTATGTTGATCATAAAAAATCTAAAAGGTAGAAAATTATATAAATTTAAAGTAAAGTACTAAGTATGTCATTTAAATTTTTTGAAATGTATACTAAGCTTGAACTATATACCAGCACACGGTATGAAGCTCCAATTTCACCAGTAATTACCCCAATGGACACACTTCAGTAATTGTACTTTCTTAGTGACATAGTTTTGCAAAATGGGGAATATTAGCAACTTTTGGAAAGCAAGAATTAAAGAAATTTGAAATTTGTTAGTTTTTAAACAGTTTATTAAAAAAATAATTCTATAAATTTAAAATAAACATTTTATTTTTAAACGAAAAATTAAAATTTTTTTTTTACCTAAGCATAAAATTATTGTTTTCTTAAACAGTCAGAAGTGGTTTCAAATGAAGTTATTAAAATAGTTAAATATAATCTATCAAAAGACCTTAACAATATAAATATTTTTTTTTTAAAGTTAGGAACAATTGTTTAAACTGTCCAAATAAAAAACACTCAGGATTTAATTACGAAAATTACTTTGTATTCTTGATTAGGACATATGAACCCAGTATGGTTACTATTCATTAATTTTTTTAGAGAGGAAAATTAATATGTAAATATTTTTAATTTGAAAGTATTATTTTTAATTTTTAGAAAAACAAAAATAATCCTTTTTCAATATTAAATTTCCCATGAGATTGTTAAACTATGCCAGTGAAGAAATAGAATTCCTAATGACTGTTTATTAGGGCAACTATTGATGAAATTGTAGATTTATGCTAGAGCAGGGCATAATTTATCTTAGAATGATTTATTTGTTTTTTCAAGGAACGAATAGTGAATAAATTTGTATCTTTTATTTTAGATAATAAATAAACTGAAGTTATCTATTATCTTTTTATTTGTTATTCACAATTATCTTTAATTTTAAGAAGCCTTTTTTAGAATTGCACTATCACCTATCGAGTTTTTGCAATTTTGAATTTCTTCAACATAAGGATCTACTATCATGTTGTTGAGGGTGCTTTTATGAAAATACTTTCAGATTTAAGATTCCGCAATCGTGCATAGACTTTTTGTATTTTTTTTTTCGGATTTCTTCGATTCTAGGTCCATTCTTATATTGTTTGAGACTCTTAATATGAAAAGTTTTATATACCTTGGGTCTGAAATAAATAGCAAAAATGACATGGCTCAAGAAATACAGAGAAAGTTCACGGCTGCCAATAGATGTGTCTTTGGACTTGGCTGACACTTAAGAAGTAGGTATCTCTCAAAGAAGACCTAGCTGATTCTATACAAGACCCTTGTAAGACCTGTTTTGACATATGGCTCAGAGGCTTGGACGATGACAAAAAGTGATGAGATGAAGCTGAGTGTGTTCGAACGAGGAGTCCTCAGAAGGATATATGGTCCAGTAAAGGAGGGTGATGTCTGGAGGAAAAGAAAAAATAGGGAGCTCAGTTCTCTTTATACAGACATCGACGTAGTCACATATATTAAACTTGCCAGATTAAGGTGGGCAGGGCATCTGGCCAGAATGAGCACCGTTGAAATACCCAAGAAAATAATGATGGAGGAGCTGCACCTCACAAGACAGGTAGGAAGGCCGAGGACGAGATGGTTGGACAATGTGGCCTATGACGCGAGAACCCTGCTTGGCGTACGGAACTGAAGAGCTGCAACAGAAGACTGGGTCAACTGGCGGAGGCTCTTGGAGGAGGCCCAGTCTCGGTACCGGGATGTCGCGCCATATATGTATGTATGTATGTAATATGAAAATACTGTCGGATTTAAGATGTGTAATTTTAAAACAGATAATAATATTTTCATAAACAGTGGATCCAAAAACTTGATAATGGAGTCTTATCCTGGGTCTTATGCACTCCGAAGAATTAAAAAAATAAATAATATGCAATCTTAAAACTGATAGTATTTTCATTAAAAAAAACTCCTCCGATAATGTGATGATGGATCCTTATATCAAAGAATGAATGAAAATAATTTTATTATTCTGGGACTAGTGTCCCTTTAGAACAAGTTACAAATACAGAAAATATATTAATATTCTGGTGTGCCCATAAAACACAATTTAATATTTACAGGATGATTAGGAATACAATAAAATTATAGATAATAAAAAGATATAAAAACGTGTATAAATATAAAATAAACAGAGAAAGTAAATTAAGTAAACGAAATATCAATGAATCACAAAATAATGAGAGTATCTGGGTGTACTTTGAGATTCTTACAGCTTACGTTTTTAAGTGCATTTCATGATCAATCGGATTGGGAATGGAGTAGGTGTTTGAAGAGGAGAGATTTGAAAGAGGATATTGATTTTTCGTGTCGAATATCTGAGGATATAGAGTTCCAGAGGGAGACATATTGAATTAAAAAGGATTTATCAAACACAGCAGTTCGGTGAAGAGGAGGATAGAGGTCGGGCGCATGGGATCTGGTGGGACGGGATTGAAAGGAGTGTTTGAATTGTAGGATCTGTAGAATATAGGTGGGTCGCCGTGTTCTAATGCCTGGTATAGGAAGGTAGCAAGGAAATATCGACGGCGGTAGAACGGACAAAACCACTTTAACTCAGCCACTATGGGTAATATGCGTATCCCTTGAGATCCCGAAGATAAAGCGGATTGAGCAATTCAGTTTAGATTCGAGTTCTCCCGAGAATCCACCATACACAAAGAGATCGGATAACTTACAAAAACTCTATTGACAATTATGCAATCTTAAAATTTATAGTGTATTCATATTAAGCAACTCTGTTAACATAAGTATGGACTCTTTTGTCTAAGAAATCCAAACATTTACAGAAAATCGATGTAGAATTGCACAATTTCGAATCAGATAGTATTTTCATAAAAAGTGGTCACAACAACATAACAATGGGCCTTTATTTCGATCAAAATAAAAAAACTCAATGTGTGATTAATGGGATTAATGATCCGATAGTATTTTCATAAAAAGCGGCTCCAACAACATAATAATGGACTCTTATATTGAAGAAATCCAAAAAGTTACGAAAAATCAATGCACAATCGTGCAATCAGTATTTTCATAAAAAATGCTCCCAATAACATGATAACGGACCCTTAAATCAAAGAAATCAGGAAAGTTACAAAAAGTCATTTTACAAAAAAAATTTATCTTGAATAAGGAATAATAGATAATAGATGATTCAGGTTATCTTTAAATAATGAATAAATCATATTTTAAAAGCCATCGAATAACAGATAAAAATTTATGTATTATTAGTTATCTAGATAAAAATGTATTTGAATAACGCCTAACATTATATCGTATGTTGATAAAATTGAAATAAAAAATACCAGAAATTAAAAACGTTTTAGAGAAAAAACGGAAATACCTATTTTTTAAAAATGTCTCCTAATCATGGGATGTGAACTGAAATTATTTTATCACAATAACTTCGTTAATCAGGTTGCCAGGAAACGCGTGTTTTGCACACATGTTAGTCTGCTCACCCTCCCTGTCCCCAGTTCAATTAAAACTATTTAAAAACTGATAATTGTTCATATATATCCTGTCGCAGTTAAAGTATAACATTATAGTTGTATTATATTCCAATCTATAGTATAATTTTTTTCATTATAATGAGGGTCTACAGTTTTTATATGCATACATGTATACACCGGGATTGAAAAATTAAGGGTTATATAAAAACATGCATGTATACGAGTTATCTATCCCATTTACAGCATAATATTTTTCTTTCTTAATTCCAGTTTCACCTCAAGAAATGGGCATAGTAAATAAAACTGTTCCACAGTCTGTTAAGCGTGGCTTGATGCTTATGTCTAAAATATTGCAAAATATTGCAAATCATGTGGAATTCAGTAAAGAACAGCACATGATACCTTTTAATGATTTCCTTCGACAGCACTTTGAAATAGCTCGAAGGTATGTTTTTTATTCAATTGACAATTTTCATTAGTAGTAAAAATAATGATGATCTATCAAAAGTAAAATAATAATTAAAAATGTATAGCAATTAGTGAAACTTTGTACATTCAAAATATCAAAAATATCTTCTGAATGTTTTTTTGTTCATGTTGAACTTTTAATCCATTTTATTTCTTATATCCTTCCTAACATTATCTTTTATTAATTCATTAAATTGTCTAGTTACTAAGGGAGTTTCCATTAAGAGAAGTTCGATTTAATTAGGTCTCAGTGTCTTCACACATATTAGACACCCATGTGAGGGATTCAACCCTCAAACTTCATTAATTAGTTATAACAAGGGCCTGGATTTTCATGCAGTAAAAACTAAAAAAATATGCCATGTAATATGCTATAAAAGACTGTCGAATATGCTGTAATAAAACTTAAAATATGTAGTGAAAAAATCTCTAAAATATTCAATTACACTAATGTGCCTACAAAATGTATTGAATAAAAAAAAAAAAAAATGGAAGAATGATTAAAAATTAGTTAAAATTATTTCATTTTTTTTATAAACCTGAATAATTAGAACAATGTCATGAATAAAAATATATATTTATTAATGATTAAAAAGATAATATGAAGTAATTTTTAAGAACTAAAATATAAAATGATCACAAAGTTCCAATTATTAAAAAAAAATCAGCTATAGGCAACTGTTTATAATAATGATTACTAATTGACAATATTTAAAAAACTGAAAATTATTATTAAAAAAATTCAAATGCAAATTAACCCATAATTAATAATAATTAAAAACAAAATGTAAAATACCTAATTCAATTAAAATAATATAATTTACAATTATTAATAAAAGAAAACTGGTTACTGTTTTAACTAAGACATTAATTGATAACATGAACAAAGTAGATAAAATGCTTAAGGTTAGAAATTAGTAAACTTCTTGATCTAATTAAAATTAATAAATGAATTTATACATTTTTTTCTGAAAACCTAATCCTCTATTGTTTAAAATTTTGTTATTTTAAGAAAATGATCTTTCAACAACCACTCAACATTATTGACTTATTATTTTTAATAAAAACGTGTTTTGAACAACAGAAGTAAAAATGAATCTTTCAATGAGTTTTAAAAACTGTCCCATCTTTGAAATCCTGAGAGTCAATATTTTAATTTCAAAGAAAACGATGTACTTAAAATTATAAAAAAGATTTCCGTTTGTAAAAAAAAATGTTAAATTGAAACAGGTGTTATAAGTTATAAGGAATGAGACGAGGGAAATGAAAAAAAATCCAAATTCTAAGAAGTCAGTAAATGAAAGTAAACAAAATAATAATAATGATGTAGAGATGGTTGACCCTTGATATGATATGAGAAGGAGTTAGTCGAGGGTGCGGTCAAATAAATAAAAAAAATTAAAATATATAAATAATTTTAATTTTTGCCGACGTTTCGACCCACTTTGCAGGTCGTCTTCAGGGCGTAGGGTGTGGCACTGCGGGAGGCAGTTGAAAACACTCAGTGAGTTTTCAACTGCCTCCCGCAGTGCCACACCCTACGCCCTGAAGACGACCTGCAAAGTGGGTCGAAACGTCGGCAAAAATTAAAATTATTTATATATTTTAATTTTTTTTATTTATTTGACCGCACCCTCGACTAACTCCTTCTCATATCAAAATAATAATAAATGAAGGTAGCATTATTTTGGTTATTTGTATATTGAAAATCAACCTACTACTGTATTATGGATTTTTATCTTCAATGTTCAATTTTAATTTATTATTTCTAATTATTATTTTTTTTTTTAGTTGGAATTGATCAAAATATGCAATTATATGCATTTATCATGAAATATGCAATATTAAAGTTGACTAATTGCGTCTGTGTATACTGATTCATATAGATATTTGATTACCAGTTTAATTACTGCATGCAAATAAAATATGCAATTGCATGAAATTCTGGTCCTTGGTTATAACTTTATTTGTTCTTCTCTATGATGGCATCATATTTTATTCCTTTTACTAGCTTTAAATATTTGAATCTAGTACGATGATCTTTTATAGTATAATTCTGGAACTCAAACCTAGATATGATTCAAGTTTTGGTACACTCTCAAAACTATATGTGCTACCTGAAGATATAATATATACAATGTTGTGAAAAGTCTAAACAAAGTCATATTTGCAATCATTTAAGTTGAAATAAAAAGAAAAGTCAAGATTATTATGAAAAAATATCTTATTTAGTAAAAAATATTATTTTGGTGAAATATTTTCTTTTCTAATATTATAAGATATTCCTCTCAAAGCTAGATAAACAAAAAAAAAAAATAATAATAATAAACCAGTATCAATCATTCACCATACTTCATAGTTGGCTTTAAGTAATTCACTTCAGGCTGCTGCCTCATACTGTGTTCTTCTAGAACCAAATATTTGGACTTTATAGATATTTCAGTCTATAAAACTTCTTTCAGTTTTCATCCATCCAATTTTTGTGTCTTTTGAAACAAATTTTGCGCCCTTTTCCTTATTTCCATGTAAAAAAATGGACTGAAGAAGACTTGATAAGTCTTATTGATTGATGAATCTAAATTCAAAATATTATACTCGAGAAGAAGATAGTGTGTGTGGAGGCAGTGTGAAGAGGAATATTGGATGATTACTTTCTGGTGCTGGAATGAAAGATATTAAATCAATAGAAAAGAAAATAGGTGCTAAAATTGCATTATCCTCACACATAAAGCAATATTACCTGGGTTGAGCCTTAAAGGTGTCTGCAGTTTCCAGCATACAATGATTCAAAATATGCATTAAAAACTATAAAGAATATTTTGCAGGGGTACAGTTAAGATATATGGAAGATTTGAGATTTAAATCCCTCGCAGTCCTGACTTTAACTTTATTGAACATTTGTTGGAATCGCCTGATGAGATAAAAATTGAAAGGTAACCAAATTCTCTAAAAGACCTGTTGATGAATATTCCTAAAAGAAGAATGAGAAATAATTTCTCCACATTACATAACTTCCTAAATTTCTATCATTAGAAATAGATTGCTGAGCACCAAAGGAAACTGAGGAAGATATACTAGATATTAATTTTTGGCTTAACTTCTTTTTATATTCAATCAATATTTCTTCTCCACAATGTTGGAAATATTTATAACTAAATAAAATATTTCTTTCAAACTTATCTTGATTTTTTTCTAGTTTTCCCTTATATTTCAAATACAACCTGGTTCAAAGACTTTAATAGCATTATATATATTGCTTATGAATGAAAATATGTAAATATACTGATATATATTTGTCTATAGTTTGTTTACTTATGTTGATACTTTATTTAATTTTCAAGTTACTCAACTATGTTGGCTTTACATACGTTTATCTTTTATATTACCTGTATAGGATGTGTGAATAAGTTCTTGCCATTATTAGACAAAAATAAAAATTTTATTTATCAAAAATGATCAGACGCAGTTCATTCAAAGTATTGTCCATCGCAAGCCACTACTTTCTCCCATCTTTCAGGTAACCACATTGAAAAAAAGAAGTGTCTTTTGAGGCAATCCAATCATCGACTCACTTTTTACTTTCGTCATAAGAATGGAAGCGCTGCTGAGCCAGGCTGCGAGTCAGCAATTGGCACATGTGGGGTAGTTGGAAGGAGCAATGTCTGGTGAATACAGCAGGTGGTAGTCTATAGCAACATCTTATGATGGTTTCATTGGGCTGAAGCAGCTCCTAACCAACGAAACCAAGCTGATACCACCAAATGCCACATAAGCTTGGAACCATGAATGTTTGGCTTTGTTCTCAATGTTGAGGCATTTCCAGGGAGGACCCATGATGTTTTTTGCTTTAGGTTGTCGCAGCTTATCCACTTTTCATCTCCAGTTACGATATGATGCAGAAAACCTAATATAACTATTACTATAACACTTCAATCAAATTTTAATTAAACAACAAATCTCAGGATTTCCTAATGTTATTAGCAAGATACTGAAAACCAAATGGGAAAAGAAAAACAAAAAGTTTTTTTCTACTTTAGATTTTATTCTCTAAAAAGCTTGGCAAAAGAAAAAAAAAAACATAACATTGGACTCGTACTGAACACACTTGGTTAGTACGTGAACTTTCTATGGCAAAGTTTTAATTGAAGGATACCAGTTGTCACATAATGATTGAAATGTTATTTCCTGTTCCTCATCAACCCCTTATCTTCTCAACTATTGTTTTCCCAGCTTCTTCTCTGATGTGTTGTTTCCCAATAATCATTGGTGGAGAGGAAGGGGTTTAAGAAGTTTAACTGTTTTAAAACATGCACCTGCCCGGTGGCACTGTGCAAGTTGACAAAAGTTAAGTGCAGTTCCAAGTACCAGAATTCCCAAGAATGTTGCCACCAGTTGTAGATTTCATAAATTTAATTAAAATATGTATTATTTAAAAATGTTTTCTCATCGAATTGCAAAAGTAAACAAAATATTTTAAAAATTTGAAATAGTTTTCTTTAATTTCTTAAAACATTTTGGAATTTTTATGACAATTTATCAGATTTTTTTATAGTTTTCTTTTTATTTATAAAAGTTAAGAATACAAAAAAAAGACAATTTATTTATAATTTTACACCATTATATTTTACAAACACCCGACGACAAGTCTTAACATTTGCCAATTTCCAGTGGTAAAAGTCTGATTTATCTTTTTTTTAATTCAACACTTTTGTACTCTTACCAAGGCTCTGTGAGAATTTCAATATTAACTGGTAAACTTCGATTTCATTAATCTATGTATTTAATTAGCATTAAAGTTTACTTTTCACCTATTATTTTATAATTTTCAGGTTTTTTATTCAAATTGCATCTGACTGTGAAACTGAAGATCAAGGTTCTCATTCGATGTCTTTCATAAGTGATGCAAATGTTCTTGCCTTGCACAGACTCTTATGGAATCACCAAGAAAGAATTGGTGATTATTTGTCAAGTAGTAGAGATCATAAAGCTGTAGGAAGAAGGCCTTTTGATAAGATGGCTACTCTGTTGGCTTACCTTGGACCTCCTGAACATAAGCCAGTTGATTCGCAGTACGTAAAAAAATTAAATTACACTTGATTTGAACGATGTGATAGCCACTTGTGGTCTCCCTATTTTTTTTTTAAATTCATTACTGTCTAATCCATGTTGAAATGGCCCTTTATTCATTAATTTTCTATTTAAAATTTATGTTTGTTTTATTATAATGGTATATAATTTCACAAGTTGCGAGACAATCTCACCTTTTCTTAAATTTTATAAACATTACTCAACCTAGAAATGAGCGAAAAATGCTTTGAAGAAGAAATAATGAGTACTAAGTATTAAGAAAACTATTATTAAATAAATTACTCAAGAAAAAACATCAATGGAAAAAACAAAATAGATTTGAAATGTATTTATGATAATATAGTAAATTATTATATTATTATTAAGCTAATATTTGTAAAAAAACAACACAAAATAAAATATTTAAAAAATAAATTAGTAATGTATTTAGGTAAATCGGAGACATAAAGGTCAAGGCTTGTGGGGATTTCAATTGAGTTTTAAAAAATCTCAAGAAACCTCCTTACATCATATATCTATTTTGTATCTCTTGTATTCAAATTAATATTTATCAATTTTAACAATAAATTATAATTGATCTTTTTTTTTTTTAATTCATCTACTATTTTTAATTTATGATATTTGTAAAACAGACTCTCTAAACCTCAATGATTACCCTAAAGTGATCATAAGTAATGTATTCACCTTAAACCTGTACCACTACAACCCATGAAGGGTCTTGGGTTCAGTACTATTTAGGGAAAGTACTGTTTCAAGGCCTACGGTTGTGCAGGGAGGGGATCGGGCCAGGATCACACTCAACCCCCAGGTTTTTCCCCTTAATCAATCATTTAATTGAGGGTACCCACTTTATGCCCCAGGAGGGTATGAAACAGAATAAATAACTTTCTGCCATGAGACGGGATTCGAACCTGGGACCTTGAGCACCGGAAGCTTAGTGCCCTACTACTGAGCTACCCCGGTCCCCATTCACCTTAAATAAATGTTTAAATTTCCCTCTTCCAAGGTACACTTAATTGACAGAATTTATATGATTCTCTTGTATATAAATTCCCTTTTATGGTATTTGCTGCAGTTGGTTATCCTGCCCCCTCAAAATAGAATGACCAACCCTCAAAAAAAAATTATCTTTGAAATTCAACTGAATTTTCACTTTTTTATCCCTAACTAAAACATCTTTTAGTTAACAAAACTCTTAAAGATTCAAGACTACTTTTTTTTTTATTTGTTCTTGCCTTTTAGGCTATATGGGGTTTTACCAGATCAAGGGGGGGTAGGGGATTAATGCCTGAGTTTAAAGCCCTCCTGGCACCGGGACATGAACTTATTTTTATTTTATCATCTATAACTTCAGTTATCAGGTTGCCGGGCAACATCACCCTGCCCCCAAAACTACTTGAGATCAGACGTTTTTGACGCCAGAACCTTAGGCTAAGCAGCCCAGTGCCTAATTCACTGAGCTACTCCACTCCCTGCTGATTCAAGGCCACCTGTGTTCTTGACCATCAGCCTTCTTTCTTGTATTGGATTGCTCTCACATGATGTCTATCTAAGAAGCTGAGCATTTTCCTATATTATATGCCATTTGAGATTTTGTCATCTCAATTATGCCTAATCATAGTTTGTCACAATATCCATCTCTTTCTAGAACCTCAGTATCTTTAGGTTGGTGCTTTTTCAGTTTTTCAGGCCTTTTGAGTTGAGACTAATCCATAAAAAATTTCTAGGATCCACCTCCCAATATGTCATATTATTTGTTTTTGTGCATTTGGTATCATCCAACATTCCTATACAGGATGTCCTGAAAGTAGAGGGAAACTTTTATAAAGATCTAAAGAGCCACAAAAAAGTGCATATAAACAATGGGCCAATTTTCAGCAGAAAAGTAGCAAATCCAAGTTTTGTGTGTTTTTAAGTTTTGTGTTTATTGAATCGAAAGCAATAACTGAAGAAATGATTTAATTTAAGTTATTAATAATTGTTTCATTGTAAACAAGATGAAATGTACTTTAAACGAACATAGGGTTCATCATTGTTGAAATCATTTACTGTGGACTTTTGAGCGGCTAAACTAAGCTAAGTTCTGTTTTTAGCAAAATCATAAATTATTCGCCATTTTTTCTTATCAGCATCCAACTACACTACAGTTGCCCCACTTCTATAAAAACTTCTTTGTTTAATAATCTTTAAGTCCGTATTAATTAAGTTGAGGTTTATTAGGGGAAAATTTGAGATTAAGCTCAAATTGTGTAAAAAAATTATGGTATTTTTATCCAGTCAAGTAAAAGTATTCTTGTTTTCAGCTAAAATGATTAAAATTAATTGTTTTAAAGCTTTTATTTAATGTTTTTTCATGATCTGGGATGTATTATAATAACCCCGATTGCCTAAACACATTTTATTTATAAAACAAGTTAATTTGAAAAATATTGATTTTTAAAATATTTTTTGGATAAATTGGTTATAAATGTGTTTTTCACTCAGATCTCTATTATAGAAATTTATCTGTATTTGTGAGTGACAAAATAAAAGTTTCTAGTTCTAATGTTTATGTTTAAAATAGAAAAAACTTGCTGATTGCTTCAATTATCTTAATTAAAATGTTAATATTAGGATCAGGAACATTTAGTTTGTCTCTTATAAAGACGGATCAATTCTTAAAATGGAGATCTGGGTGAAAAAAAAGTTTATAACCGATTTACATAAAAAAATATTTGAAAAATCAGTACTTTTCAAATTAATTTTTTTATGAATAAAATGTGTGTTTAGGCAATTGGGTTTATTAAAATACATCCCAGATCATGAAATATAAGCTTGCCACAATTAATTGTAGTCATTTTAGCATATCATAATTTTTTTACACAATTTGAGCTTAATCTCAAACTTTTCCCTCATAAACTTCAACTTAACTAATACGAACTTAAAGCTTATTAAACAAAGAAGTTTTTATAAAAGTGGGGTAACTGTAGTATAGTTGGATAATGATAAAAGAAAAAAAGGCGAATAATTTATGATTTTTCCAAAAACAGAACTTAGCTTAGTTTAGTCTCTCAAAAGTCCTCTGCAAATGGTTTTAACAATGATAAACTCTATGTTCATTTAAAGTAAATTTCATCTTGTTTACAATGAAGCAATTATTAATTACTTCAATCTAAGATTTCTTTAGTTATTGCTTTCGATTTAATAAAAAACATGACTCACTTAAAAAAACACAAAACTTGTATTTGCTACTTTTCTGCTGAAAATTGGCCATTGTTTATATGAACTTTTTTGTAGCTCTTGAGGTCTGCTATCACTCCTATAAAAATTTCCCTCTACTTACAGGACACCCTGTATAATCACCAGAAATCGGGAAATGGTGATCCTGTTGCCTAGTCATGAGACTGATATCAGCCACTTATCCTCCAGATTGCGAAAACACCATAACTGACACTCGCACAGTGCAATTGATATTGCATGCTACAATCACCACACACTAGTGACAAAGGTCACCTATTGTATACATTTGAGAAACCCACAGGTTGATTGTTGGCTTATGAAGGTCCAGCAGTAGTCACATATCTGATGGGCTAGTATTCAACCAATGTTTGGTGTTATTTTTATGATAAAATTATTTTCTTAATTAAATGTAGTTGTTTTATAATTTTAAATAACAATTATTTTTTTTAGTTTGCTTTTTTCTTCATATCCTCGTTGGGGGTCCATTGAAATGTCAGGAAACAATTTTGAAGAAATAATGGTAAAACATAACATGCATGAAAAAGAAGAATTCAAAAGTATCAAGTCTCTCAATATATTCTACCAAGCTGGAACTTCGAAAGCAGGCTACCCTGTATTTTACTATATTGCTCGCCGATACAAGTAAATTTTTAATTTATTAGTTTTATGAATATTTTATTTCATCTTTATTATATCACTTTTACTAATAGGAGAAAGTTACTAAAACAATGAATTTAACTATTTTTCTGTTAACTTCTAAGGTTTCAGGTTTTTAATATTAATGTTGTAATTAATGAGGTTTCTGAAACTCTAACATGTATATATATATATATATATATATATATATATATATATATATATATATATATATATATATATATATATATTTAGATTTAATATTGATTATCAAGTGTCATGTCCGCAACTGCAGTTCAATATTCGTATTGTTCTGTCTTTGCTACTTTCCCATCTGGTTATTATCTCAAATCCTATTCTTCATAGACTGTGTAAACAGTGAGTTTATAAACAGTTTAACATTTTTACTTTATAATCAGATCAGTGAGTGACTTTTTATTAACAACTAGCAACATTAAATTGTTGCTCATTTGCTAGAGATAGCTTACGTGGTAGATAATTCCCCTCAGCAGGTCTTATCTTTCAAGTTCATGGTCACAGTGCTTCGTATTACGTTCAGTCAATCTTAAGTTTGTACCTAAGACAGTGTGTGTGTATATATATATATATATATTTTTTTTTTCTCTCTCTCTCTCTCTGTTTTTACTTATCAATTCATTATTTTATTTTATTTTATTTTTTTACTGAGACTCTTTTATTTTATGTATTTACAGAAAATGTTTTATTTAATATTCGTGTATAAATTTGTAAATAGATTAGTTATTAAATATTTATTTTGTAAATTTTCTTATTAGTGATACTTTTTTTTCTCTTCTTGTTTTTTTAATGTATATATTATTTAGAAGTATGGAATCTGATAACAACATTTATTTTGATGAATCAGATGTAGACACCCTTTTCTGAAATTAGTGAGATGGATTCTCAAGACTTAACAAGGCGAACTCTCCAAAAGTGCCACAGAAACTCTGCCCCTGGTTCGCAGGCAACTAAACAAATAAAAAAAAATCCGCTTAATCAAAGTAGACCAAAATAAACTAACAAAAACTAGTACTAATAATCATTCAGCTATGAAACCTGACACTAAACCACCTACTAGCACAACCAGCAACAGTTCTGTTGCAGCCAATAATAAAAGTAACGAGATCACTGAACCTAGGACTTTCACAGAACCAGAGCCACCACCGATATATGTAAGCGAAATTGACAACTTTATGCAGTTCAGTCAAGAAATAGCTAATCTGATTGGACAAACCAATTTCCGGTGATTTTCTCGCATCAGTGACATAAAGATTAACATCAATACCAAAGATGATTATTAAAAACTTATTAATCACTTGACAGCACAAAATTATGACTTCTACTGCTATCAATTATAAGAAGAAAAAACATACAGGGCCGTTTTTAGAGGTCTTCACTCAACCACTCCCACTACCACTATAAAAAAAGATCTTGAAATTATCGACAACAATGTAAGACATATATATTCTGTTTTACACCCAATTGACAAATACCAACTTCCATTATTTTTCACCAATTTAGAACCAGCCCGGAATAATTCTGAAATCTTCGTATTCAAAAGACTACCATAAAATTTTAAGAACTGAAGCAGAAACCTATAGTCGTGCAATGCACCAAGTATCAAAACTTAGGGCATACAAAGGCCTATTGCCATCACTTGGGGCAATATGTTAAATTTGCTGGTTCTCATGCCTCTGACCCTTGAAGCATTGAATGAACTAGCAAAACGTGCCCTTTGTGGTGAGGACCACCCTGCAAGCTATCAGGGCTGCATTGATTGAAGCGTATGATTTATAACATACCATTAAAAAACCTTGCACAGAAGAATCCTACCCAGGCACAGGCATCCAAACTTCAAAAGTTGGCAATGTTTCCTGAGTTTCCAAAATAAATAGTACCATGATTTGCACAACAGCCTTCTACATCAACAGATCATTTCCACCAGGACTGCAGGCAACAATATTCAGACACCATGTAGAAGAATCAGCAGCTGCGACATCAAATTCCTCAGAATTTCAAACCTAAGATTCAGACTCCCAATCCTAAGACCCAGAACACCCAATCCAATGCTCACACTTCCCACATTCAGTCAAAATCTTCACGTTAGCAAATGTCTCCTTATCAGTTACCTCTACAATTATGTCTAATTATCGCCTGAACATCCAACTCCATGTTATTCTCACCCTACTGCTCACATTAATTCTCCTTCCCAAGTTCCATCTATTTATGATTTCGCCCCTGTTACATCACGACAGGTACAACCCCCTTCAGACACTAATTATCATAAGAGCTATCCCTCACAAATCCTTGATCAAAACCCACCTGACCAACGAATCCCGATTGACTTAATAAACTCCACCCTTGCCTCCTTTCTAAAAGATTTCCAAGTGACTATCAAGCCACTTATCACCCTCCTCACAAGAATCCTTACCAAACTTCCCTTTAATCTTCCATGATGAGCACAAAGCCCCTAGTTGTTCTTTTATGGAATGCTAACGGACTACACAACCACTGAGATGAACTTGACATTTTTCTTCATGACTCCTACATTGATATTGCTCTATTGACAGAAATTGACTTCACTCAACATTCATATTTCTACTTATGTAACTACATCATTTACAGATCAGACCATCCCGACAACACTTTCCATGCCGGTTCTTGCATCCTTAGGCTGACCGGCCGCTGAAAGCGCAGCTGAGCTTAGTTAGGGAGGGTCGGCAACCAATTGCGTAGTGGAGCTCAGCTCAGTCAGCAACTTGCCTTGCATCGGTACCCTTCTCATATTCCATATAACATTTTTAAAAAAGTATATATAGCGTATACTACATTAACTCCCGTGGTAATAAACTATGTTCTGTTTCAACTTTCAACTCATCTATGAACCCTACCTATTGGCCAACTTCTCTCAAAAAACGCCCTGATATCCTGGACATATTTTTCACCTCCCAGATTTCCTCTTCCCATGTCATTATCAAGTCTCTCAATGACCTTCCTTCAGATTATAGTCCAGTTCTGCTTTTATTACACTCCACCTTTGCTTTTAAGCCATCCTCTCCTCCTCCGTTGATTACAGGACGAGTAAAGTGGGACAAATTTCGTAATGATTTGGAAAACAAATTAGACTTAAATGTCCCACTCAAAACAAAACATGGCATTGACACAGCCATAGAATTACTTACAACATCTATAAGAGACACAATAAACAACAACACATCTACCAATAAAACTAGCAACCTCCTATAGACTAATTTGTCTAACTAACCAACTAAAAGCAGAAATTAAAAAATTTAAAATTTACTTAACGTAACAGAAAATCTTACTACTGAAAAATCACTATGGTTGACCACCAAGAAGCTCCTAAAATTCAAAGGTTTTAACCATCCTCTCATTATTGAAAATCAAACGTGGTCCAGATCTGATGATTAAAAATCTCAAATATTTGCTCAGCACCTCTTCAAAACCTTTAATCCACACCCAGATATCCTATATCCAATCCACCATCAGTGTATTGAAGCAAACTTGGATATCCCATTCCAATTGACCCTTCCACCTAAAACATCCCATCCTTCAGAAATATCCAATACCATACACAGATTACCTTCCCGTAAAACTCCTGGAAAACGACCAAATTACATCTCAAATCCTAAAACTGCTTCCTTGGAAGGCCACTCTATTCCTTACTTTTATATATAATGCTGTATCTCCGATCCACATATTTTCCTGACCCTTGGCAACGATCAATTACTAAAATGACACATAAACCCAAAAGACCATCAGAATACCCATCCTCTTACCGTTCTATCTCTCTTTACCCACCATGTGAAAAATCCTGGAAAAACTTGTCTTAAAATGCCTGTATCCCATCCTAGATTCTAATCACACAATCTCAAACCCACCAATTTGGATTCTTCATATCTCATTCCACTATTTAAATGACATCGTGTGGTAGACGTAGTCTCCTCTGTATCGGTGCACAGAATGTACGGCACGGGAGTCTTTCTTGGCGTTGAACAGGCGTTTGATAGAGTCTGGCACCCAGGACTGATGTACAAACTCTGTCAATTCCCACCACCTGTGTATGTCCTTATTATCCGTTCCTACCTTACTGACACATATTAAAAACACAACAATGCTTATTAATCTATTTTTTCTATGTTTGCTGTAGTTCCTCAAGGTAGTATCCTAGGTCCTACCCTTTACACAGTTTGTATAGCTGACATCCCAACTGTCATCAACACCTATGCTGATGACACGTATATCATATCAGTTAATAACGATCCATAAATTGCATCCCAAACTCTTTAATTACAAATCACAAGTCTTGAAAAATGGTGTAAAAACTGGAGGATTAAATAAATTCCAATAAATCCCATCAAATTACCTTTATCTTTCGTCGTAAACCTATGACTTCCTGTCCTACAGTATTCTTTAACAATACCCCACTTATCCCTGTTGAACAAATCCAATACCTAGGACTCCACCTGGACAAACGACTCACTTGGAACCCTCATACCAGACTGAAACGACTATAAACCGCCCGATGTTTTCGACTACTGCAGCACTTACTAGACAAACGCTCTAAACTTCCAACTATTTACAAAAGACTCATATATATTACTATAATAAGACCTATTTGGACTTACGGGATTGAGCTTTGGGGCTCTACTAAACCATCAAATTCCTCTCGTATCCAATCCTTACAATCCAAAATCCTTCGTAAAATCCTCAATGCCCCTTACTTTGTCACAAATAAAATCATCCATAATGACCTTAATGTACCATATGTTTCCGATTTAGCTCAATCCAGATACCTGTCCTTCCATAACTTCTGAACTTCTGAACCATCCAACTGATAACCCTCCGAGGCATCTGAAAAGAAGATGGCCTCGGGACCTTCTAATATCGAATTATAATTGGAGTACTACCAATGGGTACTTTCTCTTCATATTGTACATGTCGTGTTACTGATTTCAGATTTACTCGTTGTATTGTCATGTAATACAGTTGTAAATTTCAATAAATTTATTTTTTAAAAAAAGATTTACTATTATTTTTTAAATTCTATTATTATTAATGCAGCCCTCTAATCCAGTGTCGATTCTTAGTCTCTTCCAGTTCCTTTCGCCTACTGTCTTGGTCTCTTGTAGTCACTGTCTAGAATTTTTCTTGGATCAGCAGCTACACCATCAACATATCTTATTAGTTATCCTCTTCTCCAGTTACCATGGAGTGTTTTTATTATCAACTGTCTTGGTGGATCCTCTTTGCCCATCCTGATTATGTGTCCCCGACTTCAGTCTTGCTACCCTGTCCTCCTCATCACTGGTTTAGTTCACAAGTTTATTAGACTTCTTAAAACAGTGTTATAGAAAGTTCCACAGTTCCTGATTGGTCCTTATTTTTCATTCTCCTCTGACCAGAGCTCCACCTTAAATATATCTGAGGATTTTTTCCTTTCTTGACAAAGGAAATAGAGTGGCATTCTCCATCTTTACAATTTAAACCTCTCCGTATAGAAGCCTCAATTCTATGTAGATCTCAACTACTTCTGACATTTGTTCATTTATTTATCTTACTACACGTAAAAAAATCAAGCTTTTTAATGCAGCTGTCTCACCTTGCATTGTTGAAAGACTACTTTTACTGTTTTTGAGCTGTCTCAAAAGCAGCAAAACTAGTCCTTCTATACATTGTAAATAAATGCAGAAAATTTTAATTATACTTGTGCATTATATTATTCTCAGTCGACCTTTCTTCACGGTTTAATAAATTGTTATTTATTTATTAACTTTTCCATTTTACTGATCATTTTTCTTGTATTCATATTTGAAGCATTTACTTATGAGCTTACCTTTTTCATAAATAATCTTAAGAAAATTATTTTATGGTTCAACTAGATTTTTATAATTTAACACATGATATCATTTACATTCCTGTAAAATTAAAATAAATTATTTTGCAAAACACAAAAATAAATTACATTTTTTTTTCTCCGCGCCTTTTAGGCTATACAGAGTTTTCCCGGACCAGGGGATGAGGGTGGGGGAATAATGCCAGAGTTAAAAGCTCTCTGGCTTTATGAAAAACTATATTTATTCATTTTTTTTTTTAAATGAAACAAATTTGACCAGTGCAGTTTTTTTAAGCTTGAATAGTTATCTCAAAACTTGAAACAGGACATGGAATGACCAACTGATTTTTATTTGTTTGTGCGTGTAATCTGCAGATGCTGTTGCTGATTAGGAGAAAACTTTAATTTCTTTTGTATTATTTGATTACGCCAACAAACTTGTCCGAATCAATTTTCTATAATTATATATACCCACTGTAAATGTTGCCTTATTTTGTTGTATTTTCGTTAAGATGCTTTTCAATCCATTCTACTGCTACTATATATTTTTATATTTTTCTCAGTTTCATTTCGTATATCAACAAAATGTACTAATTTTTATATCATTATTCATAATCAATGAATTTCAGGAGTATCTTATTTTCTTTTTGCTGGTTAAAAAAAAAAAAAATCAGTTTACATTAATTGAAAAATAGATTTTCTTTAACTTTAAAACACTTTTCTTAATCATAAGATTCAGGATGTCTTTATTTGTGTTGTTGTTGCATCATCTGATTGTGCCTTTTTTAACATAACTTACCTTTGTTAAACTTTCTTTTCATGATACATTTTTCCAAAGTTTCCCTCCCCCATAGGTAAAGTTTTCTTTGTTTGCTTCATCAGCATACGTAACCTGAACCCAATCATTTCAAAGTTTAGTTTTCCATTTATTCTAGGAATTGTTGTTTGATCAAAAGCTACAATATTATAATATAAAAGTTTCTATAAAACTGTTTGGTTCTTTGTACAACATCTCTCCCCTCCCCAGCCTTAAAAGTATTTAATTTGTTTTATATTCACTGATGATGAGTCTCTGTAGTTTTGTTAATGAGTGTTCCTTCAATCTTGTAAACCAGTTACTCTGTTTCATGCTACTGATGCTGTACTATAGCTGATTGAAATACAGTGTATCCTTGTTAACTTTCTATTTGTGTAGCGAGTTGACTTTCGTATACATCAGTGAAAATAGAACACCATTTTGAGATAGTATTAGGTTTATAGAACTTGAGAATATGAATTGCTATAAATAATAGAGAATCAGTTTATGTAATAATGTAATGCTTTGGTTTAAGCTAAATTTATACTTCATTTACTTATTTCAGGATTGGGGAAACTAATGGTGATTTACTGATATATCATGTAATATTAACTCTAAAACCTTTTTGTCATGCTCCATTTGAAATAGTAGTTGATTTCACTCATACATGCTCTGACAACCGTTTCAGGTAATCTTTTATTTTTATTAATTTATATTTAAACCAAATGATTGCAATCACATAGTAATATTATCTTTCAGAACTGATTTTCTTCAGAAATGGTTCCATGTTCTACCAGATATGGCTTATGCTAATATCCATGCAGCCTACATTTATAACTGTAACAGCTGGGTTAGAGAATATACTAAATATCATGATCGAATATTGGCCTCTATTAAGGTTTATTTCTTTCATTCTTTATTTTATTTTAGACTTGATGTTATTCATTAATCATTAGGTTCACATTTGTGTATATATATAATTTTAATTTTAATAATCAGTATGTTAAGAAAATTGTTAAAACATAATCTTTTACTTTCAGGTATTACTTGGAGACGTTGTGTGTGTAGTTAACTGTAATTTTGAGTTTTACTATATTTGAAATTTTAATTGAAATCATAAACAAATTTTAATATTCTATTCAGAGCCTTTTGAACTCTCATTCAGAACCATTTTATTTCTTGATCATATTGTTTGCATTTATTATTGTATTATTATTACTTTGATAAATGCACATATATTTCCATACTTCAGCCTTATACTATGTTGTAGGTTATAATTTTTTTTTTTGGTGATTATCTGGAGTTATTTTAATGGATTTAAAATATATATATAGACGACCAAGCCATTTGAGTGAACCTTTCTCTGTGGACCAAAATTTTTTTTTTTCTCTCAAAAGTTGTAATATATTGTTAAAAAATAGTATTATGCATTTAGTATTATGAATTTTAAAAATAATTTAATTTTTAAAAAAATGGAGCGGCTGAGTACGCCCACCACTGTCCATAGGGATATTGCAGGATATTAATTTAATTTTTATTTCTCTATTTTTACCGTATATAATCATATTTAGATTTCTTTTTTTAATTTAAACATGAGCCGCATTATTGCCAATAAATATGTTTACTTAGACGCAGTATACAACCACTGCTAATTTATATTTATATTCAGCAAAAATGTTTTTACCTTTGCAGGTATACTGTACTGTTAAGTATGGCCATACTTTCCGTTTTTCCTATTAAAACCCAATTGGAATAGTAATGTAAAAAAGACAATACACAATATTAAATTAAGTTCCAGGCCTTTTTATGATGAAAAAATGTTAAGCCCAACCCAAAGCAATAAATATTTTCACAAGAACCATAGCTATCATTCTTCACAAGTAATGTGATGTTTTAACTGTGAATCAATTCCTGGAACAAGCTTGTTTTTGGATCTCAATGGCGGACATAAACACCTGCAATGGTCTCATGGGTAAATATTGAGCGGGCATATAAGCTGTAATAAGATATTATGATCCGCTGTGGTCATTAAATTATTAACGAAATCAAATTGGTCTTGTGTCTTAAAATAACTTGTGCCTTGAGCTTTTAAAGTTTTTATTGTGCTGTTTTAAATCTCAAGTTTTATTTTCTAACAACAATTTCCAATTGTTTAAAGAAATTTGTGAAGCAAATATAAAATTTGTTCTTTTCCATTGAAATTAAAAAAAAAAAAATTATTATTCTAAGCTGACCAGGTAATGAGGGACACCATTGACTGGGGGAGGGAAGAGGGATTAGTTACAATAATTAATTTTACCCAATGATAATCTGGTGCAAATGTTAATCAGGTGACATACTATTCAGCTTAAATAAGGTTGAGAATTTAGTTCTAAAGGCGTGTTTTTGAGAAAGAATAATGTGATGGTGTATTTGACATCTAATTTATGACTTCAATAATAACACAGTTTTTAAGACATAAATGTTTTGTGCCAGCAGTTTGTACACATTCAAGTACCTCTTTTTCAAAATGCTACAAACTTATTGAAGGTGACAACATTTCCGTAACTAAGTAGTAAATAAAGTTAATTTGCTGATGCCCAAAATTTAACCTTTTTCTTATCAATATATTTTTTTAATAATGATACCTTATTAAAAGGATTAGTTTTGGGTTGTTTATTATCACTAAGCCCAAACGGCAGTAGTCGAATTTTAACAACTAATCAACTATTGCAACTATATCAACATTTTAACGACTAAGAACTTTGCAAAGCAGTTCTTGATAGTCACTTTTTTACAATTTATTAATAAGTAAGTAAGTTAATATTAATTTATTATTAAAGTTTATCATTATAAAATTAACATAAAACCTGTATCCTGGCAAAATAGCTACATGAACGCAAAAAATTGTATATTCTCTTCCCGTTCTCCTGTTGTTCCCTAGCTTGTTCTGCATTCTTTCCGAAAATCAGGACTTTAACAAAATGCTGTGGTATGCAGGACAAATTGTTAAAAATCGGGACTGTCCTGGCAAAAGTGGGATCTCTGGTCACCTTATATTAGTCTGAACTTTTTAGCTCTTCCTTTGATGGTGGTTGCTAATATTAATTATCATTAATAAAATAGGTGCAGAATTTTAATTTGATGGGGAGGGGAGCAATGGACCAAAAAAAAAAGTATTAGGAACTTATATTATACATAAAAATTATCTGTTGGGATAATCAACGTAATTATTGTACTGTGAAAAACTTAATATTGTATATGTAAAAGTAAACTTATAATTGTAATTTTTTTTTTCAAGTATGGGTATATTTGAAAATATGTTAGCAAAATAATTAAATATGTTATATGTTTTTTAAAAAATTAAACATGGAAAAAACCTGCATTTCATTCTGTTTCAAAAACTTTTTCAGCTAAAAATGATGAATATGGTTAAAAACTAAAAAGGTTGTATAGACTATGAGTTCGTTCAAAAAGTAAAAGTAAATTTTAAAGTTAAGTAAAAAGAAAATTTTGTATGACTCGTTAGTCTATAAAACATTAAAATAAATTTAAAATAACCAAAAAGCATGTTAATAAAAACAAAATGTTTTCAAATCAAATTAAAAAATTAGCTGAAAATGTTTATACAAAGCATTTTCTATAAAATATATTTATAAAACATTACCAATAAAATTAGTACATTCACTAGTAGATTTCAGTGTGCCCTAAGATTTTGAAAAACCAAATTGACCTATAAGGGACATAAGAAGCTATATATAGACAGAATTGAATTGGGAGAAAACATGGTAAACTGATAGCATCAAAAGAAAAGATACCAAGCATCTGGAAAAACATTTCTAGCAGTTTCTCAATGAAGGGAAATCCATAAACAAAGAACACATGGACAATGCTGAGGACCTATACCCACAAGAGGCTAGATGTGGAAGTATCTATCAGTCAAAAGAAGAAGGCCCCAGGAATAGATTGCTTACCATCAGAGCTGTTTAAAGTTAGGGAAGAACATCTACAGATAGGAAAATAATATCTAGACCAGAGCCAAGATATTGCAACTAATTTAGAAAATATGGGAGGAGGCAACAATGCTTCAGACTTGAAACATGGGCCTAATCTGTCCTACAAGTTTGGTAATTACAGAGGCAATGCACTGCTTAAGTTTGTCATATACATATTATAAACATATATTATGCGACCACATAACAGGATTCAAACAGAAAAGGAAGGAGTGCCTAAAAGGTACTGGAAAGGCAGTAGGAAGAAGCTCAGGATATGCATGCTTCATTTGTTACTTTCAAGCAGCTTATAATTCTTTGGAGAGAAACTTTACCAAGGAAGAACATGACTCAGCTGGGAGTTTCCAAGAAATTAGTGAATGCATGTACAAATTATCTTAAGTGCTGATACAAATGAGTCTTGATACAAGGAAAAGTATCAGAACTTTTTGAAGTTTGAAAAGTTTTGAAGGAGGGGATTGAACTCTTGTTGATTCTGTTTATTTTTTTCCTGGAAAAGGTGAAGTGGAATAGCAAAAAATGTAAAATATCTTTATTATGTTGATTTTACTATTGGTTTATGGGTTTTTTAATAAATTCAAAACATAGAACAAACAACAAGATTTATTAAACTAAGGAACACACAACTTAGTAGAAAACAGGATTATATATTACCACACGTGTGTTTTGTATATATATTGATTCATACAATCGTAACATCTGATCGATACATTATTTATATTAATACAATTACTTTTAACATATTGTTCTGGAACATAAGTCGCTGTAGTAGGAATTATAAGAACATTTCAGTTCAAACAGAGTGGCCATACTGTCTTCATGTTAATTCATTCATATTTGTCAACACAATAATAAATATAATCTGGAAGAAAAAAATAAAATCAAAATGGTAAACTTTAAAAAAAATTAAGAAAAAACTGCAGCCTAAAAAACAATATAAAGTCCTTTGAGTAATGACCAAAATATTCCCAAATAAAAGAATATATGATGTGACTTATGATGACATTATCTAGACTCGACGAGGAAAAGGAAATTGGAGCAAGATATATGAAATATGGTGAGTGGAATAGAGTTCCAGAGAGAGGCCACTCTAGATAGGAAGGACTTGTCAAACATAGCATTTCTGTGGGGAGGAGGATAGAAGTTAGAAACATCGGATCAAGTGGGAGGAGATTGAATGGAAGATTTGAATTGCTGACTCTGCTCCTCCTAAAGGATGTAGAAGCAGGCATTGAGCTCTGATTATGTGGTACAAGAAGGACACTACTAAATACTGACACCTTTAGGATGGGTAAAGCCACTTTAAAGTGCCCTAATACTGTGTGGATGCGTATCCCTAGCGATCCTAAAAACAAATTTAATTGAGCAGTTCATTTTGGAAATATTGGATATAAAGCAGGAGTTCATTGATGAAAATGGAAAAAAATGATAGGAGATTGGTAGAAACCTTGAGATATGCCTTTGGACAAAATTAGGAACCAGAGAGGGTTTTATTGGGAACAATGGCTTACTGGAAATGGTTGGAGAGGAACCACTGAAAGGACCAGTTAACAAGGATAGAATTTTAAGATTGGAAAAGAAAATATTGTGGTCAATGAAAGCAAAAATTTGGAAAAGTCAAGGAGAAAAAAGACGGGGTAAGTTTCTGTTGGTCCATGGCTGTGTGGAAGTCTTGGGAAATTTTTATGAGAGCAGACTGAGTAGAATAGTCAGGCTGGAAACTGCACTGCAGGTGGTTCAAAGGGTGGTTATTCTTTTTCAAAAAGTGAGATAGTCAGGATTGAACTAGTCTCTCTTAAGGTTTAAATATATTTGAGAAAAGGAAAATTGGATGGAAATCATTAGGTGTTGCTGGATTAGGATTTGTTTTTGGGTAATCAGAGGCAACTTTTCAGGTATTGGGAAGATGGAGTTTTGTAGTGAGTAGTAGATATGATAGAGAATCAGGAAGTGAGGATTCCTTATCATCATACTTGTCTCGTACTCTCCCTCAACGTGCGGTGTAAACAAAGGTTTCAACTATGGTGTCAATGGAACTTGCGAAAAAAGTGGGATCCCACTGGGTAGTGTCAAGATCAGACACCAGTGCATCATAACTGTGAGAAGGATATAGTTTTGGGAGTAAAGAGTGGAACAGGGACATTGTAAGAAATCTGGATAAGATTTTGAGCAGACAGAAATGGAACTGGATGTGGTAAAGAGGCTAGTAGTTTATTAAAGGAATCCGGAATATAGAGGTTGAGCCAGGAATTCTAAAACTGGTTGTGATGGGTAGGGTTGAATGGGACAACAATAAGTCTGAGAGAGTGGAAGAGATTTGTGAGGTAATTCTGATCTGAGGAACGTGTCAGTAGATTGGTGTTGAACTCAGTAAAAGATTATATTGGAATAGGAAGGGAATTATGTTTTAAGTGGTGTTCTCAAATATTTCATCAAGAAGCATTCTAGGAGGTCAATAGATGACTCTGAAGTGCTTGGGGGATGGTAGAGAATCTCAGCAAAAAGATATTCAAGGTGATGAGAATCAGAATGTGGCGAACAAAGGAAGATTTTGAATTTGAAGCTGTCAGAATGAGTCATAAAATTCTAGGATATGTTCTTATACTTTATTATCTTTGAATATGAATAATAATTTAAATTTAGGAAGTGGTAAAATACTTACCTACTTCTAGGCTTTAGCCTATCCAACTTTTTCTATTTCCTTAATTGATTTTTGTTTACATATTATATTCATTTATATAGAATATCTGTTATTGATTTTTATTTTATTTTTTGAAGTTTTTGTAGTATTTTAAAAAGTTTTTCCTCTAAGTCTGTGGCTATGATTAATCATAGAGTATACTTGTTGGTTTAACTGTTAATTTCCATCTAAGAATGGAAAATTTGATGCCAAATATTTATTGAAAAATTTACATAAATTTAAACCAGTATTTAAAAAAAATTAATTAGATTGTGACAATGCTGGTAATATTAAATAGACTTAAGATTAGTAGAAACATTAATTTCCTGCATATCAATGTATTTAAACTATTTCTATTCTAGGTTGATTATTATATCACGATCTGTTTAAAATTAAAGATATTATTTTGTCTATTTTAGGGAAACCGTAAATTAATTTTTATTGAAGCACCAACTAGAATTAATGACTTCATTGAACCTGACCAGCAAAAATTACCTGGGGCTACATTATCACTTGATGAAGATTTGAAAGTATTTAATAATGCTTTAAAATTATCGCATAAAGATACAAAAGTTGCTATAAAGGTGAGTTATTATAAATTACAAAAAAAAATTTTTTTTGATTTATGTAAAGTATGTGTATGGACTATAATTTTGTTATTTGTATGTATTCTAATATTAAAGTCTTATATTAAAACCATACTGTTGTCGGCTTCCCTATTCTCACTTTTTGTAAGAGGTAGAATAAAAGAGAATAAAAAGAATCTAAAACAGTGGAGTCTTTTCCTTGTATTTTCTCTGCATAATTATTTATAATTATAGGTTCCTCAACCTATTCTCATATCATTATTGTGATTGACATTTCTTTGAATTACTCTTGCATTTATTTATTTTCTCAGACCTTTATATTGAAGAATTCATTCACTATTATCCTTCACCCAATAATTATTCAACTATTTGATTATTGTCAAAAGCTGTAGTTTTTAAATAAGATTTTATGCTTGAATTCTAGTTCAATTCAAATTGAAGTGATGCAATTTGATTTTTTTAAGACTTCTAAAAATATATTTATCTGATCTATATTATTGATTTTTAAATGATTTGTCACAATGGAATTTTACCATCTTTCCTTTATAACGTATTGCAGCATTGAGAAAAAATAAATTATTACAATTAAGCCTACTCACTGAAAGTAGTCTTATCAATTTCTGTTTTGGGTTCATATTTTGAAGTTCATACATCACATAACTTTCACTTTCCACCCTATTTTAAGTAGAAATGTTTTTTTTTCATATAAATGGAAGTGAAAGTAAAAATTATATATGGCATAATGTATCATTTAAAACAATTAACTACCATATATTTTTTCTCACTCATCTAATCTATTAAATTTATGCATTTTTTTCATTGTCCATTTCCTTCTAGAACTGTATATTTTAATTATTTCCTTCATTATAAAGGTAGCACAAATTTTTTTTAGTCCTACAAGAGTGATACAAAATTTTTTTATTCCTCTGTTAGAATACCTCATCAAAATCATTTTGAGAAACCCTGGTGTGTATAGCACACAGGTGGGAAACCTTTTTATCATTTTGGGTATTTTTATTTGTTTAAGCATAGGTTTATATGCAGATTTTAATTTTCATATTTCTGTAATATATCTAATTCAATAGTAATTAATACTAGACCTATTAGTATTAATTAGAGGTTCCAAAATAGGATTTTGTCTAAAATCTTGAAGCAAAAAAAAAAAAAAAAGGAATTAAAAATGCACATATACTACAGGAGCCCATGCTTTCCTTGCCTATGATATAGCATATCATACACATGTAATGATTGAAAGAAATCATAACCTCTTGGTCACTGTCTGTCCTTCATTGGTTCTCAGTCGCATCTGATTATCCCTTATTATTTTAAATAAACAAAATTAGACAAATTTTAATGGAAATAATACCTGCTTTATATTAAAGACCACTTCATTTTACTTTGATATAAAAAATTTAATAAAAATCGATAGAGCAGTTTTTGATACAAATATGGTAAAATGATTCTATTTTTTGTTTTTGTTTTTGAGATAAGCTGTTCTCATAGATACACCACACACACTATATTTGATATATAAGTAAGCAAAAGTAAAATAACAACAATTGATTTATGTTATAATTTCTTGTAAATTTTAGGTTGGCCCAACAGCGATCCAGATAACTTCTTCTGAAAAAACTAAAGTTTTGTCTCATTCAGTGCTCTTGAATGATGTATATTACGCTTCTGAAATAGAAGAAGTTTGTCTAGTTGATGATAATCAATTCACAATTACTATTGCTAATGAATCAGGACCTCTGTCATTTATCCATAATGATTGTGACAGTATTGTTCAAGCTATTATTCATATCAGAAATCGGTGGGAATTGTCACAACCTGTAAGTATATTTTTCAAATTATAAATGATTTAAGGTGAAACATATTTATAAGATTAATTGATTTATATATTTTTTCTAAGAATCTTGAGGTTAGTTTTAATAAATACACAACTTTTTTATTATTCTCATATTCTTGTTCATTAATGAAAAATAAATTAGGTGTATAAACAATTTTTTCGAAAATAATTTTTTTAATTAAAATGGTTTACTTTTTAAACTTTTATTCCTAGATATAAATAACTCTAAAGTATAAGGAAACTAGAGATTGTAATTTGAAAATGAGAGAAATTTTACTCACAATTTTTGACAATTATGAATCACTCTATTGAACATTAAATAAATGGTAAATAAAACTTATGCACAACTTCAACTTTCTAGTTCTACTAATATAGTGATGTAGAATATGAGAAATAGATAGATGTTTGGGATAAGCAGTAGTAAGGGATGTTTGGTTTTTCCAGACCTTGGGTTTCCTTAATTATTTGGTAGCAATTATAGTTCTATTTGAATTGTATATGTTATTATTAAGGCCTGGATTTTAAGGATTTATCCTTTTTTTCTGTTTAAGAAATCTCAAAAGATCTATGCTGATCTTGAGTAGTAGATTTAAAATATAAAATCCTATCTGATCTTTTTTGATCTAGTTTGCAATTTTGCACTAAAATGGTTATTTTTTTGCAATTTTCATAAAAAAAAATTTGTTTTGTAATTTTGAACAAAAAACATCTCTCCTTGGGTCTATTCAGAGTTTGATTCAATTTAATATATTCACAAATTATTATATATGAATTTATGATTAAATATCTAATTATATCAATTTAATGAAGAAAAAAAAATAGTAAAACCCTCGTAATATGAGGTCATTTGTCTAAAAAGCATTAGTAAGTAATATTCAAGAAAATAGGACACCTAAGTATTGAGTCTGAGGAATTTATCAATTTCCTAATTTGATTAGACATAGAAAGATAGGATGTTTATACTCGGCAATTTATTGATTCGATTACCGAAATTAATTCAGTACAGTCTTCAAGAATATTTAATTAATTAATTAATAAGAATACTTAAGGTTCCTAAACTCAGCACTGAGCAAGGTTCCTAAACTCAGCACTGAGCTCATTGATGACATCGGATTTGTTTCTATACTGGGTAAAACGATGCCATCGATGAGATCAGCGCTGAGTTTAGGAACCTGCCCTATTTATGTCTATTTTGAAATTCAACAATTCAGTAGATGGGTATTTCTTTAAACATTTTCTTATTTTTCATGCGTTTGATAACCTTTTGGGATAGTTTACCTTCCGTGGAAACCCATCAGGTCTTTCCTAAACTGATTATAAATTGTTATCCATCACTACTGGATTTAATCGATTGATGGAATCCATCGATGGAATTAGAGCTGAGTTTAGGAATTTTCTCTTTTTATTATAAACTAAGTTAGTTCTTAAAATTATAATTATTGTAAATATTATGGTTTGATATTCCTACTAAGTTTTACCGTATTCATTTATGTTTAAGCTCTACAAATACTTTTGTATACTACTCACTATTGTTAATAAATGGTTTAAGATCTTTTTTGGATCTAAAAATTGATTTTTACGATCTATTTTTTGGTAAATTCAGATCTTCAGATCCGGGCCCTTGTTATGATTGATACATTAGTTTTTTATTTTTTTTTATTTTTATTTTTTTTATTATTTTTTTTTTTCCTTATGCCAGTCGTTGGTCATTTGGCCATCCGTCATCTTGCTGCCCAGTATAATTTAGATTTTCTGATATGTATATTTGAAAATATTTTGTCTCTTATGTCCCTCAAGGCAGGACATACGTCTAGATGGTCTGCATCCATTGTTCCTAGATAACACAATTTACAGGTAGGATCCTCAGCGACGCCTATCTTGTAGAGATGACTCTGAAGATAGTCGTGACCAGTAGCCAGGCGGAAGCAGGCAACTGCATCTCTCCTCGGCAGTTCAGCTGGGATCGGATTATCTTTCAACCATTCGTAACGCTTCCCTTCCACTTTGCTGAAATGTACTTTTCTTATTTCTTCCTTCACTACCATCTTCACCATTCGCCGTATTGAGTCGTAAGGTTTTGGATGTATCGGCTGAGGCAAATCTGTTCCTCGCTTGGCAAGAATATCAGCCTCAACGTTACCCGGAATCCCACAATGGCTGGGGATCCACTGTAGGACCACATTGGTGCCTTGGTGTGTCAGGTTAGAGAGGAGGGATTTACATTCCAATATAGCACTCGATAAACATTCATTCGTGCTTGTGACAGCAAGGATGGCTGCTTGGGAGTCGATGAAGAGAACAGCGCTCTGATCCCGCCTTCTAGACAATGTTCTTAAGGCTATGAGGATCGCCGCTATCTCACCGTCGAAATTTGTTCCATCTTTTCCCACCGCAGCGCTGATTTGGAATTCCCTTGAGTAAACCCCTGCTCCAGCATTTTTAACGGCTGATTCAGCTGATCCGTCGTTATAGATATGGAACCAGTCTTGAGGAGGGTACTTTTGAGCTATGGTTTCTAATGCTAATGCTTTTAGCTCGTATTCAGGTGTTTTTTTCTTATCCACCTTATGAAAGAGTTGCAGTTCTGCATTGCATGCGTGATTGTGAATTGGTAACTGTGGATTTATAAATGGTTTCCTTTCTTCGCAGTCAAGCCCTCTTTCTTCAAGTAGTGCCATCGCCTTCAGCATGAAGGATTTTTGTGTCTTGAGCCGTTGAGAGGGGATTTTGTATTTTTTCCAAAACTCTTGGTCTATTCTTTTCATTCGCTCGTGAAGGCACATTGCAGCTCGCTCATGCCGTTTCAATAGAGGTTCTACTGTGGTCTGCAGTTCCATAGCACAACAGGGGTTGAGCGCGGTGCACCCAAAATCAAACGCAGAGCTTTGTTCTGCTGGTCGTCTAATCTTTTCAGGGATGCATCAGCCGCAGTACAGATGACTTCAGAACCGTATTCCAGTACTGGGCATATATAGGTTTTATATGCAAGACCCATCACATCCTGGGTGGCCCCTCATGTCTTTCCTCCAAGGCGTTTCAGAAGTTTTAGCCTGTTTTCTCCCTTTTCCACCATCTCTTCAATTTGTCTGTTCCAGATCATTTTTGTATCTAACCTAACTCCCAGATATTTGCCTGCATAGGTTCTTGGTAAAGGAACATCATTGTAGATGATTTCCAGCTTGCACCCTTTTGTTGATAAGGTGAACAGTTGGAATTCAGTTTTCTGCGTATTTACTTCCGTTTCATTACACTTGGCCCAGGTAAAGTCTTGCCATTGCCTCATTAATTGCTGCTTCGAGTGCTGTTATGTTGCTACTAGTCGCATATACTAATAGATCATCAGCGAACAGTAGAGCAGATATTCCGGGTATTCCCTCGAGTACAGCCATTAAGTCATCAATCATTATATTAAAGAGTGTGGGGCTTAAAACAGATCCTTGTGGAACTCCTTGACTAAAAGTTCTGAAGCCTGAGCACCAGCCATTGTATCTTACTCTGAGAAACCTCTGGGCCAAGAAGGAACGTATGGCTCAGTACATTTTTCCACTGATGTTCATTTTGAAGAGTTTATTCAGAAGTACTTTCCAGCAGACTCTGTCAAAAGCAGCTTTAAAATCAACATATACTGTAAGAGTATGTTGTTTGCGTTGGAATCCGTCTTTTACATCCTCACTAAAACGAGCCACCTGCTCAGTTGTACATCGGTGCTTCCGGAAACCTGCTTGCTTTGATGACATCTTGTTTTCTCTATCAAGATATATCTGCAACCGGGCTAGGACCATTCTCTCGTAGAGCTTAGAAAAAACACTTGTGAGCGATATAGGTCGGTAGTTAGATGGGCAAGAAGAACATTTACCTTTCTTGAGAATTGGGACAACCTCAGCCTTCCTCCAAGCACTAGGATATTTCGACCTCCACACAGCATTGAGAAAATCTAGCACAATGAGCTTGGCTTTTGCATCCAGGTGAATAAGAAACTCTGGTAATATGTCATCAGGGCCACCGCTTTTTCCCTTCTTTGTTTGTGCCAGTGCAAGTTCAAGCTCTTCCTTACTGAAGTCGTCTTCAAAGAGTTGGGCTTCAGAGGAATTCAGACATAGGATTTGTGGTTTAGTATTAATTTTCTTATTTCCTACTGCTGGCTTATAATTAGAGGCCTTTGCAAAGAATTTACAAAAGTTTCTTGCTATGGCAAGTCCGGTATATATCTCTTTGTTATTGAACTTCAGAGGGTTGTTCCTTGGGTCTTTGCCGCCATTTAGTTTTGAGATGAATCTATGTGCTTTTACTCCATCTCTTCGAATATCCAGGTTGGCCAAATATTCTCTGAAAGCTTTTCTTTTGGCTTGAATTATATTGTACTTAAGGGTTGCTGTAAGTTGTTTTAGCCTTACTATATCTTCCGGTTTCTTTGACATTTCTACATCTTTTCTTGCTGCATCTCTACTATCTTTTAGTTTCTGTAGTTTGTCACTCCAGAATGGGGAATATCTTTTCATAAATCCCCGAGGAATAGACTGCTTTGCACACTCGAGAATTGCCGCTTGAAGTCGGGCGCAGCTTATATCTACATTTTCCGTAATGGTTTTATCTGTAATGGCTGTGCGAGTGAGCTGAGAGAATTTATTCCAATTGCCTTTTTTCAAATTCCATCGGAGCATTCGAGGCACTGAATCATTATAAGACTTTAAATTGCCATTAAGATAGGCAAGCATTATCCTGTGACCAAATGCTCCAGGTGGAGAGGCAACTGTGTGGGAGATCAGCGGAGCTATTCGTGGGTGCACCAATAATAGGTCAGGGTGGGAATTATTACCTTTGTAGTCCATAAAAGTGGGCTTTGAATTTTCGTTTTCCACAAATTCAATCATATTTGTATCGATAAATTCTTCCAGAGTTTTCCCCGCTGAATTTGAGTTTGTGTAACCCCAGCGCCTGGAGTGCGCGTTGAAGTTTCCATACACAATGGATTTGTCCGTCAAAGAATCCTCCAGCCAACCCAAATTCGGTTTATTATTAGAGGGGTTATAGATGACAAATATTTGGTGGTGGAAATTGTTTGACCACAGATTGATTTCCACTCCTTCCAATCTATCATTTGCATCCATTTCCTTTTTAACTTGAAACTTGACCGTGAAGGAAGACCTTACACCAACAAGTATTCCTGATGCTATCTGCCTAGCTCTTGGCAGTGAGTAAATTTGGAAATCTGGATACCTGAAGTATTCAAGACAATCAGTAGCAGCGCCTGCCTCAACAATGCAAAATAGATCAATTTTATTTGAGGATATAAAATGCTTCAATTCTGTGTACTTTTCGCTGGTGAGACCACCCTCATTCCAAAAAAGAGTCTTTAAGATAAAGTTGTTATGGCCTTGAGAAAGGCCGTTTGCGTTGGCCAGGCTTTGTGCTGGCCGCGCCATAAGTCGCTATTGGCGACACTGGGAGTCTGGCGACTATGTGATCGTTTGGTTGGTTATCCAGGGGCACGACGAGGACGAGATCACACCACCCTCAGTTTTTTATTATTGATATTTGTTAATATGAGTTTTTAAATTTGAATAATTGTCTGTCTAAATATATCTATAATTGATCTAAATACCTGTTATTCAAATTTAATCAATTCTTATTAAGAAAAATTTAAAGTTAAAAATAAATTAAATTAATATATTTTATTAAAAAAAAATACTGTTTTGTTATTTTAAAAAATATTCAAAATATAAAATGAAATAAATAAATAAAACTACCTCATTTTATTTGTATAACCTATACGATCTACTCTGTAATGGATCACAAGTATAGTTATATAATAACTTAAATAATTTTCAAATACAATTTCTCTGCCTGATCATATAATATTAAGAGCTAGAAAGGATCCTTGTATACAAAACTGAAATAAATCATAGCAAGTAATACAATCTTAAATGATTTGCATTACAGTACTCAATATCAGTCAACATCATTTTGGGTATAATCTTAGTACTAAAAAATGTGAAATCATTAAAAGATAATTTAGTTAAAGTTTAGTATAATCAGCTGAGAGTAGTTGCCTGACTCCAGGGTCAATTCACAGCTAAAGCATAATAAATAATTATCCGCCACAACCTAACTTGAACCCAGTTCCAGTCCCAGGCATACCAAAGTGCCAAAGGGAAAAGGGGACAATTATTTTTATGCTAATAACTTTAATATTTGATGTATCCCGTTAATAAATTTGTTTGTACTTATTGAAATTGAATTTTTTTAAAACCCTCTGTAATCCAACCTCTTCCCCTTTAGTAATTAGCTCAGATTATTAAGTGTATATATATATATATATATATATATATATATATATATATATATATATATATATATAGAGAGAGAGAGAGAGAGAGATTAGATAGATACCATTAATATTATTAACATTAAAATTGATCTCTTAAATAATATTGCCTCAACACTTTGTAATTCATTTTTTTAGGATTCTGTAACAGTTCATCAAAAAATTCGGCCCAAAGATGTTCCTGGTACCTTGTTAAATATGGCTTTACTTAACTTGGGATCTGCTGACCCAAGTTTACGAACTGCTGCTTACAATCAATTATGTGCTTTAACTGCAACATTTGATTTAAAAATTGAAGGACAGCTACTTGAAACGTCAGGTATCCAACTTAATATTATTACTTATTTCTAATTTATTTCCTACAAAGAACCACTTATAGAACCTTTCTTGTTTTATCTCTCTTTCTTAACCCATTCATTACCAAAGTATTTTAGTGCACCTACACTGTGCGGTCAAATGTAAAATGTATGGGTTTAGATACTAAATGTTTTTTATGTTGTTTCAAACCTTAGGCTAGAAGTAATCTTTTATTTAGTTTAAAAAAATTATTTTTAGATTGATATGAAAATTTGTATTTAAGGATTTTTAGAGGTGCGAAATACAAATTTCAATTTCATTTCTACTTAAAAAAATATTTTAACCCACTTTACTCCTTAGATTATTTCTATTTGTTTCAATATTGAACACATAATATTTCTGTATGCCAAATATATAATTTTTTCTAAGCCTGACAGTATCAAAAGTAATATTATATATACAAATTATAGTATTTTATTGACTTCATACCAAAAATAAGAATAAAGCATGCATTGTACAAATTATACACATATTACACAATGAAATATATTGTTTTGGGATAAAAAAAAGATGATATTCATTTTTGGCACCCCGCAAAAATCTTAAATATGAATTTTCATTGCAATAAAAAAAAAAAAAAATGTTTGCTCAATATTCTGCCTTATATTAATAGCTCTTACGAGATCCATCAATGTTTACAAATTTATAGTACATATTAGTAAAGCAAAAGACATTTATTTTTCGTTTGCAATGAGAATTTTCTTAATAAATACTGATTTTTTTGGGGGGGTTCTTTGGGGTGCGAAAAATGAATATCATCTTTTTTTATCATAAAAAACTATATTTCATTGTATAATATACACAAAATGGCACAAACCAGAATCCCATAAATAAATTAGGCTTGGAAATAAAAATTAAATAGTTTGGGGAGTTTTTATTTATTTTTTCCTTATAAAGGCATGAAATCTAAAAGTTATCAATATAGTTTTGAAGAGCAATAATTTAGCTTTTCCAACGGTTGTAGTATCGTTGCCTTAGGAGACAACCCTGAGAAGTTATGAATACTTTGGTAAATAACATAGAAAAAATCCTCCCATAAAATTAATTCCAAAAATTTATATTTTTTTATTTCAAAACAAACTCGTATTTAAGAGTTTTAGTGGACCCAAAAAACGAATCTGAATCGTTTTTTCATGACAAAAATTTACTTGCCCTACTTTACTGGAAGCGTCTATGGATTTTTGTAATTTATTATGTATAAAAATTTGTTTAATTCAATAAGCAATATGCTTTTCTTATTAAAAAAAAAATCGATTGATATATAATAACTTATAATTTCATTGTGATCAAAACCAGAAAACATTAACATAAAAAACAATAAAATGTTATAAAATATTTTTTTTCTCGGCTCCTAGGGTACAATGGCAAGAACCCTCGGACATGGGTCTAATATTTTCGATCTAGTATCACCAAAAAAAGTTTCATTGAAATTGGTGACCTCACGTCTGTCACCTCCCCTTTGTAAGTAAAAAAATCATTGATTTAGTCTATCAGACCCAGAAACATTATTTGAAAGCTTTTTATTTAAAAAACGTGTTTGTGTGCATGTGTGTGTAATTTATTTAAAAGTCTGCTCTGGTTGTTAGGCAATACAGGTCTTTGCAGTTTTTCAATTCAGTGGAGAGCTACACTAGCTTGTACTACTATTCTCTGTTATAAATAAAACAATTACTTGTTTTATTTAGCTGCCCACATTGCTTTTTTTGGTTCATCCACCATTGTTTCCTAATATTCCTGGCAGAACTTTTTCTCTCCTACCCAAAGAGAAGTGGGTTGGACCAACTAGTTCTTTCCACATCTACATAAAGACATGGTAATTTGGGCAGTTCTTCTGGTTCGTTAGCTAAGGGTCAGAACCCCAAAGGGCAGGGCTGGAACTAGGAAGGATCAAGGAGGTACTTGTTCTGAGTGTCAAAATTTAGTGGCTTTATGCTTTTTGGTTATTTTGACTTTAATTAATCCTATAAAGTAATTTAAAGTAATGAAATAATGATTTTTATTTCAACATATATCATCAAACATATTACATTGTTAACTTTCATTGGGGGTAGTGAGAGGTGAAAGAATGGGCAGCAAAATTAACCTTGTCCCTCCTGAAATAGACAACAGTTCTGCCCTTGGCCTTGATTGATTTTCTTAATGTTCAACAAGTTTTTCTTAGGAACCCCCATCCCTGTGAGAAATTGTGAGACCTAGTAGTCCAGGAGTAGCCACATAGTTTTCATTCTTGTACCGATTGTGAAGTAGCATTTCCTCAGAGTACCACCTGTTGGTGTTTTCTCCCATTGCCAGTAATATTCTTCTAATGTTTTCTTTCAAACCACCCTGTTCCATGTGATGGAGCTTCACTGATCCTCTCACAGAAATTCACCAGTGAATTGGCCAGGCTTTCCCTTAGCCATTTGTTGGATCATTGACAACATTCTCTTCTGTTGGTGTGTGAAAACTTGACTCCATGAAGGACACTCATGATCCATACTCTATAAATAGTCAATGTGGCTGGGTATCAGTCACTCCATATGGTACTCCCAAGACAACCGAGTACATTAAGGATTAGTGCCACTCTATTTCTCAAGTAGTCTAAGTGAGAAAATTTTGCATTAATTATATACTTATATTATATTAATATATTTGATTTATAAATTTTTGTATTCTCATTTTTTCAATTGTTAGTCTTTTATTTCATTGCTTTCTTTTTCTGGCACATGTTTTACATACTTCACTTTGTTACAGGGTTATGTATACCATCAAACAACACCATATTTATAAAATCTGTTAGTGAAAAATTAGCCACAAATGAACCACACCTAACCCTCGAATTTTTGGAAGAATGCATCCAAGGATTTAGAGTTTCTAGTATTGAGCTAAAGCATCTTTGCTTAGAATATATGACACCTTGGCTTGCCAATCTTGTGAGGTTTGTTTCTTATTTTTATTTTAAAAGTAAACATATTTAAACTTTTTACCTAATGAAATTAGGTGAGTAATAAATTAATGAGTAATAAATACCACAGGCTCCTAATATTTGCTGTAATTTAAAAAAAGAAAACACAATTATGCTATACTTAATTAGGAAGTATACTTTATCAAACATCATGATAGTGGTTGTTTATGAAATCCCTGCAGGAAATATTTATGGAATAATTAGTATTTACTACACACTGCATTTTCAGTCCACGTGTAACTTCTGTATCTTTGATTTTTCTCATTGAGTCTTTCAAAATAGTAGATGTTTGGTCCCTGCAAACAATTCTTTATACAAAAGTGCTCACCTACCTTGATAAACCATTGTGTGGCACCTGGATCATGTGATACTAGTTTGTACTGTGAGCATGATTTCTTTCCAAATAGGAGCTATAAAGATAAGATTCAAAGTGACTTCATTCTTCCAAAATCAGAATGCAGTTATGAAGGAAGAGGCTCTGTTTAGTGCTCCCATCCCTGACATTAGACTTGAAGATATGGGATGAACTCTTACTATTTGGGTCCCGATGTGTTCATTGCAGTACATCTGGTTATAAATCAGGATTTTGGTATATTTCAAGACCTCCAGTGAGCTTATGTATCAACCGTTGTTGTGCCTTTTAAAACAATCAATATATATATATATATATATATATATATATATATATTTTTTTTTTTTTTCTTTTATTTATTCCTCTTTCTTTTTTTTTTTAATTTTTAATAAAAATTAAAATAATAATAACATTATAGATTAATGTAAAATAAAAGCTGATAAAAAGAACTTTAATATATATTTCCCAACTAATATTTCTTCTAAGAATTACCGATAATCAAGTTTATACAATAATAATTATTCAATAAAAAAGAAAGATGAAATAAAATATAAAAACAAAAAAGATATACATTAAATAAAATGTATACAACATCCAAATAAATACTATATAAGTGGAACCAAACATAATTTAAAAATTTGCTGGTGCATTGCATGTATCACACTACTTTCACATATCACTCTACTTTGAGTATCAATTGGTATTTCCATTTATAGGTAAGTAAAAATTATTGATTTAAAAGAAATGATTACCAAATGTTATCCCCATTCGCCTTATCTGTTTAATATATATATATGTAATTTACATCATTTCTCATTATAGTTAAGCATAACATTATTTTGTAGTTTATTTTTACATTATTCTTATCCTTTTTTATTATTGAATAGGTCTTTCATTGTTTATTAATAATTTTAAAATAATTGGTATAACTTTGGGGTCTTAGATTGTGGGGACTTTGGGTTGTTGGGATTTCGGCTGTCAAGGTTTTGGGGTAGACCCATTATTTTTCTGTATAAATTGGTGGTTATGTTTTTAGTATGAAAATAAATTTTGTAATTATCTTAAATTTTCTTGTTAAGATTTTGCAAACCTGCTGATGAAAATAAGAGACAGCAAAAAGTGGCTCAGATTTTAGAAAAATTAATTCTTCTCACCGTTCAAGAAGTAGAAATGTACCCATCCATTCAAGCTAAGATATGGGGTTCAATTGGACAGGTAAACATACTTATTGATTATTATTATTTGTTGTTACAGGTTTTGAGGTTGAAATAATGCGTAAATTTTACAGGTTCCTGAACTAATTGACATGGTATTAGATAGCTTCATCAAAAGATCTAACGATGGTGGTTTAGCTTCACCCGTTGTTGAAATTTTAGCAGATACTGCTGTAGCTTTGGCTTCAGCAAACGTTCAGTTAGTTGCAAAAAAAATTATTGGACGTTTATGCCGTGTAAGTATTTTGTGATTAATATTTATAACTAGAGTGCTACCATTGGGTAGTTACTCAGCAAGTGTATTCATGTCATTATATCAATTATGTTCAAATTTACTTGATGTATTTATGTAATACAGTTGTAAATGTCATAAAGAAATAAAAAAAAAAAAAATATTTATAACATGTTAAAACTTTAATTTGAATAGATAAAATGTAAAGACAACTTTTTTATATAGTAATATTGACTGATAATATTTAATAAATTTGATACGTTAAATATTATTTTAAGTATATAAAACTTTGTTATAATTATTGATGACTCAAATCAATCTTTAAATCTAAAAAAAAAAAAAAAGCAAATTACTAGAAGAAACACCAACTTATTAATTTATTACATTTTCTTTTAAAAAACACAACATATTCAGCTAATGGTTATGAATGCACTCATTTAAATATTTTTTTACCATTATGCACGTTTAGAAAAGGAAACATTTTATTTTATATTAGTTAAATATTACTGTATAATAATATTTTCCATTTCAGAATTCTCACATTTATATCATATTTTAATTTTTTTTTTTTCAGGTATTAGATAAAACTTGTACATCTCCTACAGATCTTCTTGAAAATCATGCTCTTTGGGATGACATAGCTATCCTGGCAAGATATCTTTTGATGCTTTCATTTAACAATTGCTTAGATGTTGCAAGACATCTACCATTCCTTTTCCATGTAGTGACATTTCTTGTTTGTTCTGGGTCTACCAGTATGAGAGCCTCTATGCATGGTTTAGTTATAAATATTATTCATTCACTTTGTACATGCACAAAACCAACCTTTACTGGTAAGTGAAGTTGATTATTAAGTAAATAATTGAGTGATTCAAGTTTAATGATAACTTTTTTAATTAGTAGCTGATAGATGAAACCAATTAACTGTACGATATTGGTGTTTAACGTATTTAAAGATTATTTCATTTTTTATTTATTCATTTTTTTTCCCTAATATCATTTAGGCCACTGGTTAAGAACATACGTTCTCCAAATGTATATATGCAGCCTCTACGAGTTTTTCTGCTCCTTTCATAAATACCTTCTATAGTATTAATTAATATTTCATTATAAATATTATGACCATATCTCCGTATTGTGCAGCAAGCTCCCGGTTGTACCTCACTCTCCAGACTCCACTTTCACACAAAGGTCCATATATCTTATGCAGGACCTTCCTCTCCCAGACTTCCAGCATTCTTTCATGTTTAACCGCCATTCTCCACGTTTTGCTGTGGTAAGTTACCACAGGGCGAATCATGGTCTTTTACACTCTTCCTGTAACTTTCTTGACATACCATGGAAGTTAAGTACCCATTGAAGGGCGGGTGAAATAGCATCGGTTTCCCGCAGCTATTCTGGCACCAATTTCAGCCTTAATATTGTTACCATCTGTCATTAAGGAGCCAAGGTACTTAAACTCCTTGCATACTGAGAAATTATCGGAGCCGATAGTTATTGTTTCATTATTCTGCAAGGGATGACGCCTGCTACTCTTCATGTAGGCAGTCTTCTGTTCATTTATGCACAGACCTCTTGCGCTGTTGCCACCTCAAACTCCTCTAGAGCTCCAGTGCTGGAAGGGATCTGGCAATAATCTTCATGTCGTCTGGATATGCAAGATGCTGTGTGAGGCGATTAATGATTGTTCCTCCCAGGTTTGTCCTGACATTGTATCTCCTTACAAGATTCCTGCCATTATCTGGAACTCCTCAGATAGTACCCCCTGCAGCTTCACCCAACAGTATTCCTCATTGTCATTCTTACGGACCTGTTCAGTTTCCTTGAGACACCCAGAGATACAAATCTCTGAGCAGTATTGATCGATCCACTGAGTTGTAGGCCTGTTTGAAGTCTATGAAAAGATGATGTAGATCAATTTCTTGTTCCAAAGACTTCTTCAGCATCTGGCGCACTGTGAATATTTGGTCTATTATGAATCTTCCTTGCCTAAAGCCACATTGGTACTCCCCGACTTCTCTTTCCAAGTGAGCGGAAATTCCTGTTGGTGGCATTAGACAATACCTTGTAGGCCACATTCAACAGAGAAATCCCTCTGCAGTTAGAGCAGCAGAGCTTGTCACCTTTCTCATATATGGGACAGATAACCGCTACTTTCCAGTCCTCAGGGATTTCTTCTTCTGACCAGATATCATATATGAGCTGGTAGAGCTGGTCCCATACTTCGTCCCCACTGTATTTCAGCAGCTCCTATTCCAGAGGCTTTATGCATCTTTAGATTGCTTACAGTCTCCGCGATTTCCTCCCGGTCCGGCAGGTTGTCATCCTCATCTAGTTCCGCAGATTGCGAGTTCAGGATCCTGTTAAGGTTAGCTTCCAGTGGCCCACTGTCATCAATGATGTGACCCTTATTCAATATCTCCCTGAAATATTCTGTTCTTCTGGTGACAACTTCTTCCTTACCCATTACTAAGTTTCTATCTTTTTTCTTACAAAAGCTGAGGCGAGGTTGAAAGCCTTTCTTCTCGAGTCTCACACCTCCAAAGAAACTCCTGGAATCATGGTCTTCAAATTTTTCCTGAATATTTCCAGCTTCTTCCTTTCCCATATTCTTTTCTTTTGCCTGCAGATCTTCTTTGCTTCCTTTCTCTTGTCACTGTATTCCTTGGCTGTACTTCTAGTGTTATGCTGAATCGTCCAATTCCTCGCCTCATTTCTTTCTTTGATTATTGTTCTGCATTTGTCATCTAGCTAGTTGTTTCTTTAGGGTTTTTGCTTATCTTCTCCCTTGCTGCTCTATTTCAGACTTCTTTTAGATGTGTCCATCTTGAGGAGAAATCATTTATTCCCCCATTACTTTCAAGTAACTCAGACACTCGAGACAAATCTTTGTCTTGTACTTTCGTCCTCCAGCCGTTCCACATCAAAGCGAGGCAGAGGCTTTTCTGCTCTTCCTCGTGCGTTCAGCACAATTTTTTGCTTATTTTGTTCATAAGTCCTAAGGGAGATGTTTATTAATTAGAGACAAGTGTTTTCTATATCTGCACTTGTGTTGTAACATTAAATCATTCAAGCTATATCTTTGTGAAGGATTCGTAACAATAGTTGTTAGCCCGATGCCTAACCCTGAATCTGGAGGACCAGGACATTTTTTTTCGAGGTTCTCTTCCTCTAGATGTGTTGGCTTCACTACGACTGAGGAGTCACGTTTACCCCAAGTTTGTGTTGGTCCACCCTGGGTATTTAATTTCTCTGGTACCACCTATATCTGTGAGGCATTTCCCTATCCGCCATCTGGGGAGGCGCCTGATGGAGGACTAGCAACTCCACACGGGAATCCTCTCTCCTTCTGAAAATAATTTTTTTTTTCAACTATTTCTGTTTGGAGATTAGCTATATTTCAGATCATATGACTCCATGAATTATGTAATAAGTTTAGTTGAATTAAAAAATATATTGCTTTTTCTTTTTAGTTACATATTTTAATTTTTGTTAAGAAAATTGTTTCCAGTTTTTATTTTTTTTTTATTAAAAAAATATATTTATTTTATCATTTCATCCGTGTTTTTGAGTAATTAACCCAGGTGAAAACTGAAAGTAGTGTTTCCTATAACTGTTTTATTACATTTACAGTCTCTGTTGTCGTCTATATCAATTAATTAACAATAATTTATTTTTTTATTTAAAAATACATAAACAAATTACATTATTATATTTTATATGGGGTTCTCTCTCTAGCTATTTCATCAAAGAAGGCTATAGTCTTGAAAATTAATTAATTAAGGAGGGAAACCTTATGGTTGAGCGTGATCCTGGCCCGATCACCTCCCTGCACACACAACCGTTGCCCTTGGAACAGTATTTCCTAACAAAGTACTGAACCCAAAACCATTCATGGGTTGTAGTGGTGCAGGTGCAGGTTATAGTCATGAAAATACCCAAAAATATATTTCAATTTATATATACCTTCAAGTATCTTGAATATCAGGTATTATTATTCTTTATTTTAAAAATATCTATTTAAATAATCACCTTATATTGCAGAGGAAGCTCAACGTGTTTTACGTCTTAGTTTAGACGAGTTTTCTCTTCAAAAGTTTTATTTACTATTTGGTATCAGCAAAGTAAAATCTGCTGCAGTTACAGCCTTCAGAAGTAGTTACAGACATCCTACTGATGGGAGGTATGTTATGTTATAACATTTTATTGTATTGTTGTTTTGTTTTTCTATAAGAATTTTAGGAGTTATTTTCCAATTAATATAGAAGACTGTGCCTTTTCTTAAAGTGGTTAGCTAGACCTGTGTAAGTAAATCATGGAGGCATAGAACAGTCAAAGGATGGGGTATATGTATGTTTTTTTCATTTCCATGTGGATAATCAGGAACAGGATCTAGAAAGATTTGTATGATATTTATTAAGAACAAAATTAGTTATTTTTCTGTAAATGCAACTCTTGCTAATATGGAAACCAGTATGTAATTTATTAATACTGTATTTTATTTCTAGGTTTCATTTAAATTGTCTTTTTTATTCATTATTTATAAGTTGTTTTTTTCAACCCATTATTGTTATGATTTCATAATTAGAATTTAAATATGGATAAACTTTAATACCTTTTAATTGCTTTCCCAGGCTGCAGTCAGAAAGGTATTTTTCAGGACATCTTCCCGATAGAGAAAGAATCTCATTGACATCCTTAGAAGTAATTACTGATGCTTTGCTTGAAATAATGGAGGTATAGTTATTAATTAAAAACTTTGATTAGCTCTTATTTCTTGATTGCTGTATTATTATTTTTTAAAAACATTTGTCTATTTTTAGTCCGTAATTTACTAATAAACAAAATATATTTTATTTATTTGTAAAACAAAGATAAAAAAAACAACACTATTTTAAAAATATATATGCTAAATAAAGTGCATTGTATTTAGCATCATAATTACTGTATATATATTTTTTAGTTGGATATTTAACATTATTTTTTTGAATTATTGAAGAAAGTTAGTCGACTGTTTTACATATCATAGGTGATAAATAATCAGGACACAGTCATTTTTAAGGTTTTTATTGGTGCAAACGTTTCAACCCAAAGTGTCAGTGCTAGAAACATGCCCTGATAATGACCCACATGCTTGGGTTGAAACGTCGGCACCAATAAAAACCTTAAAAAAAGACTGCTTCCTGACTATTTATCCCCTATTATTTGTTTGGTACATTTTATTTTACAATGAATCTTTACAATGAATGAAAGGATTGACTTTAATGTTTTATTTTCATTAATTTATGTTCTTAAATATTTGTAGGCTTGTATGAGAGATATTTCTGATTCTGATTGGTTACATACATGGACATGTCTTGCAAAAAATTTTGCCTTTTGCCATAATCCAGCACTACAGCCCCGAGCTCTTATTGTTTTTGGCTGTATTTGTATGTATTAATGGCATTATTTAAGTTATTAATATTTGATTTTCTTGAAATATTAATTCTTTTTTAATTTTTTTTTTTTTTTTAGCTAAAACTATCACAGATCAAGATATTAAGCAATTGCTTCGCATTTTGGTAAAAGCACTTGAAAGTTTTAATGATACTGTATTACTTGAAGCTTTAGTGATGTGTTTGACTAGACTGCAGCCTTTATTACGCCCCGTAAGTATTTTGTGTTCTTTATTGTGCCACACTTTGTATACTTTTATTACATAGAAAGTACCGAGAATGATTTTTCTATTTAAATTTACTAAATATTTTCTACCACATACAGATATAATTTTTTACATTTAATTTGATAAATTTTCCAATATATACCTATGACTAGTGAAAGAAATTTAATTTATAACTAATTGCCTTGGATATTACTAGATGGCTTGGAATGGAAAAACATACTGTGCATGAAGCTCACTATGGGTAGTAGCAGTGATACTACTATAGTCTCTTGAAATAAAAATATGTTTCAGTTCAAATTTTCTGTCTAATTGGATGAAATATATCGAGGTTGATTTGCTGCATAGTATAGCCAGTCATGGTCTAGTCCAGAAGAAGAATATGACAATAAAGTAGGTTCCTTCGTTTGGAGGCTCAGATTTGGGGATTTGTGTCAGAATTTATTATTCAGTATTTAAGCTTCATTGTTGATGAAAGAAATTTCAGCAATTTTCTATCTCACCACCCTTCAGTGAAATCTGAAATATGAACTTTGAAATTTGAAATTATGAAAGTACATTGATCTGATTGATAGGAATACAGATAGTTTTATTGTTTTTTAAATAATCAATACTAAAAAAAATTGTATTCACTAGTTATTTATTTATTGTTCACTAGGTGGCTATTACAAAAAATGTGATACATTTCAGTTTAATTATTTGTATAAATTTTCTTGAAAATATTTTTATTAGTGGTAGTATCGTATATCTTTTTTTCCTCTTTTAATGTTGTATGCAAAAAAAAAAAAAAAAAAAACTGTACCTCAACATCTCTTAGAAGAAACAAGGCTTAAGTTTAATGGTTGTCAATATATTTGGCATATGCGGTAGTCTTCCATTGGTGATTCCATGTATTAATTTCATTTTTCTAGACTAAGGAGTATCTAGATGTGTTTGATAACCAAAAGGAAGTTACAAAGATGGACATGTCTCATTTTTGAGAGTAGTAATGAGAATCTATAGGTTTACTCATGCACTATTAGCCCTTTTGGTGTAAAGAAAATGTTTCAGAAATCCTAGACATTTATCTAATCTCCAATATTTCTCTATTATAGCACAAGATCTTATTCACTATCATTTGGATTACATTCCAGTTGTTTCTAAATATTTATTTATTTGTATCTCCTATCTTTATTATCAAAATAAAGGTTATTTATTTTGTTTTGGATTTTCTGTTTATAAAATAAGCATTTTTGTTTCCTCAGGCCACACTAAGTAGGCAATTACATCATTCTCACTTGCAGCTCATTGGAAATTACTTTTTGTTTTTTAATTCACTTTCATCCCATTTTACATGGCTTAGTGACATTTCATGAAATTATCTCCATTCATGTTGCCTTGATGATATGTCAGGGAGTGTTTTTTATCCAATGGAAGTGTTTTTTGCGTAATATAGATAATTTCTTGATAGCAGCTTGGGAATGACTGTATTCTTATCCCTTTTCATCATGGCTTCCATTGTATTTTCCTGTCATAATTGTAACATCTGGATAATTTATATTACATATATTTAGCAGATGTAGATCATTACATTATTATGTGTGTTGAATTAATACTTTGAAGGAAACTATTAGATAGAAAATTGAAAGAAAGGTATTCGTACTATTACATTACATTATATTAAATTTCAGTTGAGAGAAATTCTTCTCTACCATTATAAAATTTTAAAAAAGTAATTTTACTATCAAATTTACAAACTCTTCAATCTCCATCATTCATTTTCAAACTCTTTGCAGTTTAAGAACTCATATAATGAAGGATATACATGCAATTAACAAAAAGGATTTAACACTCTATGTTTCAAAGGTATTATGGAAGGAAAGTAGAGATTTTACATGACAGACTCCTCCAGTGATAGTATTAGTCACATAGGGTCCTAGATAACAAAGGCTTTGATATTTGGAATTATTTTGACTTAAAGACTTCGGAAATGACCAAAAAGGTTTTAAGAAATCCTTCAAAAAATAATTGAACAAATGTAAAAACGTAATGTTTAATCTATGGCCTGTTAAAACTTTCAGTGCCTTCGATGGTCGGTACCTCCGATATCCTTTCTGCTATGTTCTCTTAGAACTTTTTCCTTATGTCCGGTGTATTTAGCTTTTCCATAACTCATTTCTTTTTCCTACCACCTGCTTTACTGGGTTGTTGGTAATAACTTAGTTTTACTTTTACTACTACCAGAAAATAATCGGAATCTACATCCGGACCTTTATAAGACCTCAAGTCATTCAACCAGTTCAAATGTTCCAACGACACCAAGACATGGTCAATTTGACTATATACTCCATTTGGTGATCTCCAAGTATGGTTATGCTTGTTCTTCTGAGGAAAGATCGTGCTCATTGCAACTAATGTATTAGTTATTACCTGTAGCAAAATCAATCATTTGCTTGCCATTATCATTTGTGGTTTGATGGAGGCTTTCGTGACCAATATTTGGGTAGGGTACCATTTGTTTACTAACTTGGGCATTAAAGTCGCCCATTACGATTTTTATATCGTATTTGGGGCATTGGTTGATTATTCCTTCCAAGGTATTGTAAAAGATATCTTTGGCCTCTTCACATTTTTCCTTGGTGGTATTATCGTCTCAAATGTATTTAGTTGACATTTTTTTTGGAGGGGCCCAAAATTTTTATTATTTAGAGCCTCAGCTTGTCTGAATCCTACTAATGGCCTATTAAACTACTATTTTTATTCTGTATAAACTTTGAATTATTATTATTTCAATTTTTTATCTATTTTTTTTTTTTTTAGGAATCACCTATTCATAAATTCTTATTTTGGGTTGGTGTATCTGTGCTGCAGTTAGATCAACTTGCTTTATATGCCTCTGGGTTAGCTCTGCTTGAACAAAATCTCCATACATTGGACTCACAAGGAATATTTGATGAAAAAGTAAGTAGTGTATGAAAATTAAAATTTTACTTACTGTACTTGAATATATTTTTGTCTGGCTGATAGGAGCTACCTAAAAAGGAAAAATAAAAAATTGAACTTTAGGAATGGCTATAACAAATAATTTTTAAACTAAAAATATAATTAAAAGTTTTATTTGGCGAATAAATAAAAAAATACAAGTTGGAGAATATGGTCAAATGCAGTGCAGAGCTGTCTTCTGTTTACATATATCATCAATTGAAATTAATAATGACTATACAGATTAAAGTGTATATTTTTTAAAATAATTAAAGTTATGTTAATTTCAACAAAATTAAATTGAGTGCATGCTGAGGACATGTAAGAAAATTAAAAGTAGAATATTGGGACTAACAAAGCATATTGTGGATTAAGAAAGTTGGTCTCAAAGAAAGTGCTAAGTCAGAATACCAAAATTAAAATTTGTATGACTCATCCACCCATGCTAACTTATGCCTGCCCAATCTAGACCCTGGAAAAATTTCAGCTGGTAAAGTTTATAGATTTAAGCATAAGTTTTAAGGTATATAATGGAGTCTATATAAGAAGTCAGAGCATATCCTCCGAAATAAAGAAATCCACAACATGTATGATGATACCTAGCTATATATTTTTTATATCTTCAACTCATGAAATGGCTGATATATATAACCACAATATTATTATAGTAAAGCAGGCATAAGATGCATTATCAGACCCCAAGTGGAGCCAGCCCTTCCAAAATAATAATGATGGGGAGGAAGTAATATATCTGAGGACTTAAGAATGGTCAAAATCTTGAACTGATTGGTGGATTGATTGAAAAAACGCCCCGAGAAGGTTAAAGGAAAGCTTCACAGCCCAGTTGAGCTGGAAAATAGATTAATTAATATTAGGAATTTTTGGTGAATGTAAACTTCCGTAATTATAGGTTCCTTTAAATGAATCAATTTAATAGAAATTGTGACATTTCAGGGTCTTACCCCATCATCAGAATGGAATCTGATTGTTTTTTTCCTTCTATAATATGTTGGGACATATACAGTTGTGATAGTTAATAGCTGACTCCAGTTACTATTATTATCATATATTTATCTGTTTTGTTTTTTAATAATTTATTTTTAAGATTATATGAATCATTTATAATTCATGGATTGATATAAGACATGGTATTAAATTCAATATTTTGATGCTACTTTGTTTTTTTAAAGCCTATAGAAAGTGTAATGATGGCAACAAGAGAACCTTTGGAATGGCATTTTAAACAACTTGATCATGCTGTTGGACTAAGCTTTAAGGGTAACTTCAAAATTTAATATTTTATATGATATATGTTTACTTTTCTAATATTTTTTATTTGTTTTAGCAAATTTCCATTTTGCATTGGTTGGACATCTATTAAAAGGGTTTAGACACACAACACCAACTACTGTATCAAGAACATCTCGGGTTTTGACATCTCTTTTAGGAATAGTAGCGAAGCCATACAAAAGAGATAAATTTGAGGTGACTCCTGACAGCGTCGCTTATTTGGCTGGTAATTTCTAGGCTGTTGAAAACTTTTCTAGTTTTATTTTATAAAATTTATAGCTTTATAAAATTCTAGTTTTATTTTATTTTATAGTTTTATTTTATTGAAATTCTTGAGTAGCTCATAATTCGTATTCTCTGGGCACCTGAATATGGTTTATAAACTTCAGATTACAGTCAATATTCAAGCTATAGCCAAATCATATTACTTTATTATCTCTAATTTATCTAAGTTTGTTATGGTAATATTTTATACTTAAAAAATTTTCTATTGGGAAGATGTGCTTCTGAGTACTGTCCTTTCCCATGACATAACTGTCATTTTATTATCACATTTATTGATTATTACATTCTTATCTTTGAAAGGTGTGAATAAAGAGATTAACATTTAATATATATATATATATATATATATATATATATATATATATTACAGTGTTTTTACCAAATGCCAAATAAATATGTGGTCCCATGTTAGGTGCCAAATATATTGTTTTCCATTGGGTTGTAAAATAAAATAAAAAAATTTGATTTACAAATTATTTATTCAAAACTTTAATTACATTTGAAATAATTGGTGGGTTCTCACTGGTGTAGTGCAAGATCATGGAATAAAATATAAATAAAACTCATTATAACTGATGAAATACATTAACAAAAAAGTACTAATTTTAAGTTATCAAAATTAATATTACTGTTAAATATTTCTATATGCCAGAATATGTTCTTTGTTCTTGCACTGAGAAATAATTACTGTTTTAGATTGATTTAAGTTTAAAAGATTGATGTCAGTACTTGTTACCGCATTATCTTCAGAAGTAGTACCATGTCAAACACATTATGATCCTCAATTATCTTGACAAGTGAAAAATATATCTTTTGGAAAAATTCTAAGTTTTATCGGAAACGTATATCACAAAACACGTCGAAAAAATAACTTAACGTTAATAAATATTGTATACTATTAGGTTTAAATTAGTAGATTTTCAACATTTCAGTGAAAATTTTTTTAGAAAATTATGGATAAGTCATATATAAAGTTAAATTAACAATATGTACAGAGGGGAATTGGGTATCTATAAACGGATAGATTGCACGCATCACACAACTTTCACTTACCATCCTCTTCTTTGCAGAAGAAGTATTTTCAGACTAAGGGGAAGTGAAAGTAAAAATGATAGCCGCTATATTTATTTATATTTCATTGTGGGTATTTTCATTTGTATAGGTACCCTTATATATACAAATTTTAATATTTATAACGCAGTAATCTATTACATTAATTAAATATTAAATAATGCCAACAATAGCATTTATGAAAACTGCATATGTATATTTATATTATATTGTTGGAGCGCATATTATATTAAGCTCATGTTAATGTATGGAAGCATGTTCTAATCTTTCGGGTAAGCTCGGGTGTGCTCATATTCCTTTGGTTCCTCAATTACAACTTCTCCGTTATGATCTATTATTTCTCCTTTCGTTAATTATCAAATTCTTTCATATTTTTTATTTAACTATCTTTTATATTAGAGATTAATGTGAAATGGTCAATTGTTTCAAAAAATAAAAATTAAAGGTACTTTAGGGGAAGCTATTATTGAAAATTAGCCATTTAAGCCCTGTTTGAAAACATCAATAAGAATAAAATATGCATTATATGAAAAACTGCTTAATTTTACACTGATATGAATTTAATCAAAATCGTTAGTGCCATTTTGGAGAAAATCATAAAAATGTGTTACATTGATGATATAAAGTGCCACTTCCGGTTATCCGATTTTGAAGAAAAAGTTGCTGTAACATCTCAGGCATACAAAAACCTTAAATATGCAATTTCACTCTCTTAGGACTTTTCGTTTTTGAGCTAGACTGTTAACACACACAAACACACACACACACACACACACACACACACACACACTCACACACACACACACACACACACACACACACACACACACACACACACACACACACACACACACACACACACTCACCGACCATTTTGCGGGACTTGGTTATTTGGACTGAGGGGATCTCAAAATGTGTATTTCCGTTGAAATCTGAGATTTAAAAATGTTCACTATCGCAATACTTTTCTTTGGGTGATAAATATTCAGGACGCAGTCTTTTTTTAAAAAAAATTAAATTTTTTATTTGTGCCAACGTTTCAACCCAAACGTGTGGGTCATCTTCAGGATGTGGTTTGAGCACTGAGGGTGTTCAAGTACTTCTTTATCAAAAAATTAAATTTTTTTTTAAAAAGAATGCGTCCTGAATATTTATCACCCATGATATGTAGAACAGTCGACTAGCTTCCTTCAATAATACTTTTCTTTACTATATATTTCATATATAGGTAAGTGAAAGTAATAAAATAATAATTTTGGGTTTATGGTTGACTGTAGTGAATAATTGAAGAGAAGGATGGTTGGGGTGAGTAAAACTAAATAATTGTGTTTATTTTCTTATTCGGCTCATATTCATATGATGTTTTGGCCCGAAGTTCAGGCCTTCATCAGGGCTGGGAAAAGTACTAGATAACAATAGGTATAAGAAACCATAAACATAGAATAATACAGAATTAAGATTAAAAAAGGAAAGGTGAAGACTAATAATTTTAGTAAAAGTTGAAGTAGATAGAATGAACATTAAAGTAGACAAAGTAGGTAGAATGATAACATTAAGTGCCACTTCCAGTTAGCCAATTTTGACTAAAAATTTGCTGTAACATCCCTAGCATATAGAAATCTTAAATATGCAATTTCACTTTCGTACCACTTTTCATTTTAAAGCCCCCCTCAATTTCACACCGCTCTTATATCGTTTACCGTATTCTATGTTCCACCCCTAATTGTTTTTCATCTTATATTGGCGAAACCAAAAATGTTCTAAAAACCTGTATCACCCAACATAAATATTCTGTATCCTCTCGTAATGTTGCCACCTCCCAATCATCCGAACATTCTCTCTCCCTAAACCATACATATGGTTTCGACAAAACTTCCATCCTTGCCTCCGTACCTAACCATGACAAATGATTCATCTCTGAAAACCTCCACATCCAGCTCCAACATAAAAGAAATTTAATCTCATTAAAGAAATTCTTTTTTTTTTTTGTTTTCTTTAATCTCACGTTTCACTTAAATCAAGTACTCTATTATAAATAAATAAAGTATTATCTATAATAAAACTCTCGTTCATCATAAACGTTCCTGTGCTTTAGTTCACTTTTTCAGTTATTCGTTACAGAGGGTGCCATTTGCCAGCTCCCCTCCCTCTCGCTTTCCACATACACCATTAATACTGCATTACCTTATATATACTTACTCTTTTCCATTCAACCTTCAGTTTTATTTTTCTTTAATCTCATTAAAGAAATTCCTTTTTTTTCTTTAATCTCACGTTTTACGTAGATAAAGTACTCTATTATAAATAAATAAAATATTATCTATAATAAATCTCTCTTCCATCATATTCGTGTGTGCTTTAGTTCATTTTTCGCTCAAATGTTAAAGAGGGCGCCATCTGCCAGCTCCCCACCCTCCCGCTACAATTGCATCTGTCTGTCTTTGCTTTTTGGTAGAGCAGGTATGTTTATTATTCTTATCTTAGTTTTCTCCTTTTCTTCATCCTTCCCCTCACTCTATTTTCCATATCTCCATTTCTATTTTCTAAATATTGATACATTTCCTCATACATTTTTAAACTTTTTTTTATGATAGATTTTAAAATATCTTAATGTTCTATTTATATCTATTATTTCTTTATATAACTTCATATTCCTTTTCTCTGTTTTACACTTTATTCTAGACTACCATTTCCATTTCTTATGTTACCTTATATTTTATTATGCTTATTTCCGTGCTTTGTTACCGTTATTATTATTTATTTCTTAGTCCTCTGTTTCTGTTTTCATTCTACCTACTTTGTTTACGTTAATGTTCATTCTATCAACTTCAATTTTTATTAAAATTATTAGTCTATACTTTTCATCTTTTTTAATCTTAATTATGTATTATTCAATGTTTATGGTTTCTTATACCTATTGTTATCTGTTTCTTTTCCCAGCCCTGATGGAAGCCTGAACTTTGGGCCGAAACGTCGGTGAATGTAAAAATAAACACAATTATTTATTTTTACTGATCACCCCAACCATCCTTCTCTTCAATTTATAAAATAATAATATTTAGGTGAAAGATATAGTCTAAAAACATGTAGATAGAATAAACTTAAATTAAAATAAATTAGGTAGAATAAACTTAAAGGAAATCTCTCTCTTTCTCTCTCTCTCTCTCTCTCTCTTTCTCTCTCTCTCTGACTCTCTCTAACAATGAAAACAATGACCTTTTATTTAATTTTTTTTTTTTTAAGCTTTGGTTGCAGTATCTGAAGAAGTCCGCAGCCGTTGCCATGTTAAGCATACTTCTTCCAGAACTGATGTTCATTTCAACATACTTCCTCAGGTAATTAATTAATTGGAATGAGACGTATTTTATCTATCCTTTTCTCACTTATGAAAATTGGTAAAACTAAAAAAAAACTTACAACTTAAAAAAAGCTGGCATGATTTATCTAAACAAATGCTATGGGACTAGACTGTTTAAATTTATTTATTTCCTAATTATTTATTAATTCATTTTAGCTCAGATTTTTTTTATTATATATTATTAATATATATATATATATTAATATATTAACAAGTACAGTAATAAATTGTATTATTACATGTACAGGTTATAATTTTAAGTTATAATTTTGATGTTCTAATATCATTATAAATAATTATACCTTTAATTCTCTGTTAGCTTTCTAAATGAAATGTATAAAATCTAGTTACTAATCAAATGTTGTAAATGTGTGGAATAATCAAATACTAGTTTTATACAGTAACAAGTAGTCCTGATTAAGTAGAACCCGGAAAATTATATAGTAGTGCTAGTGATTGTTAGTTCTATTTTGATGTTTTTTAAGCCCTTACTAGTTCTAGACTCCCATTTCCGCTTATTTACTTACTGTCATATCACAGTTCATTACAATACTCTTCATGTCTAGTTAATTTTTTTAACTATTTTTGTCAATTGAGGAAATGATAAACTAGACAAGAAACTTATTACAGTGTTATTTGTTAATCAAATATCTGAACGAAGAATGATTTTAGATAAATAAAAAAAAACCTGTAATAATATAAATAAATTGTAATTGTAATGTATAATAAATTGTATATGTATATATATATATATATTTTTTTTTTCTGTTGGCATTACAGATCATGTAGATCTTTTGCTGCCTTAACAAGCCTGCTCCATCTCTGCCTGTCTTGGGCTATTTCTTTCCATTTATCTGCATGCATCTTTGTTGATTCTATCTATCCATCTGCTTTTTGGCCTTCCATGTGGTCTTTTGCCTTCTATTGAGGCATTCTATTGTTATGTAGGTAGAGGCTTCCAGATGGATTATTAAGAGCTAGATGACCTGCTCATTTTAACCTCCATGCTTTTATATCATGGGATATTGATTGACCAGTTTCTGTTAGCAGTTCTTTATTGGTCTTTCTTCTCCATGTGTTAGGAATCCAAACCCAGATCACTCTGGTTATCGTGCATAGCATTTTTCTCTCAAATCTTTCTACATTTTTTTCAAGGGTGCTAGTTAGTGTCCAGGTCTCACAGCCATATATTAGAACTGGCTTTATCATAGCATTGCACATCCTTAGTTTGAGATTTTCAGAAATGCAATACCTTTGAGAGAGAGAAGAAAGCTCTGTTTGCGCTAGTTATACATTGGTCTATTTCTGCCTGTCGGTCATTCATTGAAGTTATTGTGGAGCCAAGGTATTTTCTGCCTTTCTTATCAGTGTTGTAGTGAGTTTCTCAATGTCTTCTTGATTTCATCCAAGGACAGCTATATCATCTGAGTATCCAAGGATTTTATGATTCATCCCAATGCGGATCCCTCCATTTTCCTATGATGTTGCTCTTATTACCTTCTCCAGGGATAAGTTGAACAACATTGGTGGTAGTCCATCTCCTTGCCATAAGCCCGTTCGAACTTTGAATGTTTCAGATACTTCTCCTTGTATTAGGACCCTACATTTGGGGTCATTTGTGCAGGCCTTTGTTAATCTCACCAACTTACCGGAAATTCCCAGTTCAATCATGATTTTCCAAAGACAGCTCCTATCCACAGAATCATAGGCTGCTTTGAAATCGACAAATAGGGCTTGGACGTCCTGAGCTGCTTCCCTTCGTTTTTCGAGTACTTATCTTAGGATAAAGATTCTGTCTACCGTGCTCCTCCATTTTCTCCATTCTCCATCCAGATTAGTGGTTGCCTATTGTATTCTCATAATACGGATGTATCCAATTGAGTAAGATATTGTTCATTATCTTGTAGGCAACCAGAAGGATTGCTATACCTCTGTAATTACTACACTGATACATGGAGCCTTTCTTTAGGATAGGACAGATTAGGTCTGTGTTCCAAGCATCAGGAATCTTTTCCTCTTCACATATTTTCTGGATTAGTTGTAGTAGCTTGGCTCTTAAGGCGTCTCCTCCTTCATTAAACAGTTCTGATGGTAGGTTGTCTATCCTTGGGTTCTTTCTTGTTTTGAGCCTTTGGATAGCTATTTCTAAATCCAGTATATCTGGTTTTTCAACCGCTTCTGGGTCAAGTTCCTCAGTGTGGTCCATGTCTTGTTCGTTCGTGGAGACTCCTTGATTGAGAAGTTCCTGGAAATGTTCTTTTCAGATGTTCAATATACTTTCTTTAGATGCTGTCAGAATGCCCTCTTTTTGTCGCATTTGAGTATTTCTCACTTTTATCCAACCCATTCTTACCTAATGTCTGCATAGAATTAGCATATATCTCCAGCCTGCCAGTTGTCCTCAATGGTTTGCAATCTTTCTTTGAAGAATTTCCTTTTTGCCAATCTTATAGTTCTGTATACCTTTTTCTTGGCAGCTGTGTACTTGTCCTGAGCAACTTGATCAGTTGTAGTTAGGCAGAGGACTTTCATTTTTCTTCTTTCCACTACTGCCTTTTCGCATGCTTCTGTGTACCACGTCTTAGCTATTTGTTTCTCCTGAATACAAATCACTTCCTTAGCGATTTCTTTTAGTCCTTTTTCTATTTCTATGTATAAATATACAGCTAAAGCCCCCCAAAATTAAATCCTGGATCCGCTACTGCTGTAGACTGCTATTTGTTAATAATCTTCAACCAAAAAATCCTGTTTATTTGTAAAAAAACCGAATTATTAATTGATAAACTATTATTGAAATTTAGTTGTTATATTTTTAATGGCAAATTTGTATCCAAACTCATTAAGATCAAAACAGCAAATAAAAAATTTAGAAGCATCTAAATTTGTCTATATTATGCAAATAATTATAAATAAAATGCAATATATTTCTTTTATTTATAAAATATCATTTCTATGTTCAGATGCATAAGTGTTTTTTTGATTGTAGATAGTTCCATCTACTGGCGAAAATAAAGACGAAGCTACAATTTTACCAAACCAGCGTCAAAAATCATGGGATCTTGCTGATCAGTCTATTCCAGTTCAGTGTAGAATTCAAAAACAGCAATCTCAGGTGAGATTTATGTGAAATTCACATATCTATTCTTATTTTTTTAAATATAAAATCTAATAAATAAAACAGTTATAATATATATGGTTAAAGGTTTCTGCAGTTCATGGTCCATTTCATGGCTTAATAGTTTTTTTGTAGTGCTGATTACATTTTTATGATAGAATTTTTAATAATGCTTGTTAGTTTTGTACTGCTTTTACAATTGTACATTTCATTGGCATTGTTTAGTAATATATTGTATTAGATTTTTTAGGTTGGTAGTTTGTATTAGTTTACACATCAGACTTTCTGCAACCACTCGAGGTAATAACAATATCGAAATAAAAAAGGTTACATGTGTAAATTACCATTATTGAAAACCTCTTTTCAAGAAAACTCCTACTTTAACAGGAGTAAATCAAAATGCAGAAGAGTTGTTTGCAAATCGTGGGGGCTGAAACCCAGTATGGCTATACAGGACTGCGATTAGACTCTTAATCCTCTATGTGACTGTTGTGTGGTGGCATAGGGTTGCTGCATGCAAGCCTATATAGTCTGTGGGTCAGATTCCCCTACTGTGCACTCCCTCCCCCACATCCCTATAAATTGCTTATTGTTGTGTTCCTTGTAATTATTTATTTTAAAAAAGCCAATGTTTCCACAAAAAAAGTTAACGAACTTCCCCAAAATGGCATCCAAACATGGCGGACTGACGACTTTGACTTTAGTTAGTTTTTTGGTCACTGAGAATCAGCATTTGGCTTAATTTCGTCACAGTGGGTGTTTATTAAAGCTGGATAGTCAGACAATCAGAAAACATCAAGAAATATTTAAAAATAATTGGCTTAGGCAATAAAAAACACCAGTAAAGTCAATTTTTTCAACAACAAAAATTCAAGTTGAAAATCAAGCATCGTTTGTAATTAAACGGCCAACAAAAACGCAAAAGTGCTGAAATAACACATCTGGGAATATATTTCTCTTTCTAAAACACTGATTACTTTGTAAAATATTTGAAGCAGTTCCATAGAAAATGCACTTAAGCGGCAGAAAAGCGGTACTGGCGTTGGTGCCTACAGGCCTCTGCCACACCATTCAGTACTCATAAATGGCTTAGTTATAGTGCTATAATAACGTTTTCGGTACATTATAATTTATTGCATTAATGAACAAATATTAATGCAATAATTTAATTGTCCAAGAAAATTAAAAAAAAATTTTTAAATTTATTTTATTTTTTAAAATTTAATTTCTTTTATTCTATATGGAGGTCGTTTAAGAAGGCCTCTATTGTAAAAATGATATAATTATAATAATAAAACTTAATTCAAAAATACTTTGTTGAATATCTTGATTTTTTTATTTAACATTTGCAATTTAACACTTTGTTTTGTATATTTACTGATTCTTAGAGGTAATTTAAATTGTATATACTTATTCTACTTCCCCAGAAATGAGTCATATTAATACCTGTTTTATAAACTAAAATAATATATACCTAATCTGAACTACATATAATGAATAGTTGATTGATTGTTAAGTAAAACTCATATATCACAAATAAAAAAAATAATTTTTATTTCCTTTATTTTGTTCAGAAGTTGGACTATGTCATAAAAAAATAGGAAATTTTAATATTAAATGCATTATTCTCTCTGCACAAAGAAAGATGGAAAGGGCGAAGCTATAAGTTCTTCTAGGTAACCGGAACTGATCATTAGTATTTGGTCTCAAAATGAGGGAAAACCCGAAATTGGACCCAAAAATTGGAAAAATACATCAAGTGAACAAGAAAGGAAGTACCAAAATCTCGGAAAAGAAAACAAGGATCAGTATCAATTATATGGCTAAACGGATATATAGTAGACAGATGAACAGAATATTTCAAGATGCTGTGAAAAGGGGCTCAAATGCTGGAGCAGTTTGGATGATATTAAGGGGTCAATGCAGATTTATCATGGTGAAGACCATTTTATCAGGAAGAAAGATTTGTTTGAAGCAATTGGCAAGTCAGCAGGTCTGCAATCTTTCTTTGTGCAGAGAGAATACTGCATTAAATGTTAAAATTTCCTATTTTTTTTTAGATATGGTCCAACTTCCAAACAAAATAAAGGAAATAAAAATTATTTTTTTTATTTGTGATAAATGTGTTTTACTAAACAACGCATCAACTATTCATTATATGTAGTTCAGATTAGGTATATATTATTTTAGTACTGAATGGTGTGGCAGAGGCCTGTAGTTACCTACGCCAGTACCGCTTTTCTGCTGCTTAAGTGCATTTTCTACAGAACTGCTTCAAATATTTTAAAAAGTAATCAGTGTTTTAGAAAGAGAAATATATTCCTGAGGTGTGTTATTTCAGCACTTTTGCGTTTTTGTTGGCCATTTAATTACAAACGATGCTTGATTTTCAACTTGAATTTTGTTGTTGAAAAAATTGACTTTACTGGTGTTTTTTATTGCCTAAGCCAATTATTTTTAAATATTTTTTCATGTTTTCTTATATTCTGACTATCCAGCTTTATTAAAAGACCAACTATGACGAAATTAAGCCAAATGTTGATTCTCAGTGACCAAGCAACTAACTAAAGTCAAAGTTGTCAGTCTGCCATGTTTGAACGCCATTTTGGGGAAGTTTGTTCACTTTTTTTGGGGGAACACTGGCTTTTTTTTTAATGAATAGTTATAAGGAACACAACGATATGCAATTTATAGGGATGTGGGAGGGGGATGGGTGCACGGTAAGGGGGGGTCTGGCCCACCGTGTAACAGTGCTGCTTGGAAAACTTCAAAAGCTTGCGTACCTTATGACTACTGGAGCTATGAGCACTACTCCCACTGCTGCAATGGACATTTTCTTGAACCTGACACCGTTGCATTTAGAGGTGGAATCACATACTCTTAAAACTGCTTAGAGAATGGATACATAAGGAACGAGATCGTAATTCCTGACATTTCAGGGACATGGGTTCATTTTTGACTTGATTGATAGCAACGAGGTGCTCACGATGAACTCATGAAGTTGATAAATATAGAGACATACTCTATGGTTTGATGATAGGCACGAATAACTCTCACCGACCGTGTAATGGTGTTAACTGTTAGAATGATGGATCCTTGATGGAGCAAGGATCAGAGGCTGGCGTCTGAAGAAAGGATAAACCTAATGAGGGAATATTCATATCTCTAGGTAGACATATGTCCGTCTTTCAGGCTGAGATTTTAGCTATCCATTTCTGTGCTCAATCATTAATAAGGGAGGGCATTATGAATAGATTGATCACAGTATATACAAATAGTCAAGCGGCAATTGGGGCCCTGCATAGTTATGCATCCCGCTCCAAGTTGGTAGATAAGTGTAAAGGCTATCTGAAATTTCTCTGTAGTATCAACAAGGTGATGGTTGAATGGGTGCCTTTGCACTCAGGCATTCCAGGTAATGAGAAAGCCAATTGCCTTGCTAGGAAGGGCTCTGCACAAGTGCCAGTTGCACCGGAGCCCATCTGTGGGATTAGCCTTAGCTGCGCCAAAAGGTATATTAAGGCAATTGTTGGTATTAAATTTAGGCTATATTGGGAACAGACTAGGAAACAAACTCATTCTAAATTGTTCCTAGTAGGACCCTGCCAAAAGATAAGTGTATCACTTCTTATGGACAGGAGCACCATTAGGTGTGTGATAGGACTGTACACTGGTCATTGTCGACTCAATAAGGACCTCTTTAACTTGGGCTTAAGTGAGACTCACACCTACAGGATGTGTGGCTTGGAGGATGAAACAGCCTATCACATTATCTGAAGATGTGATAATTTGGCTTGACTGCGATATTTTCACTTTGGGTGTGATCGTATCACTGACTCTAAGCTTTGCAAACTAATAGATCCTATTAGTATCAACAAGTTCGCAAAGGCATCTGGCCTGTTTTAATAGAGATTTAGGATGAGGCACAATAGGCATCTATGGGCCTCAAAAAAAACACCTAGATAAGGAATTGTAAACTGACAGAGAGGCCGGTCTAAGCTTCCATGAGTGGCTGGTGTTAAAGAAGACTCAAGGACCCTGCCTAGAATTTGGAATTTGAGGACAGCTGCACTTTACAAATTAAACTGGTGGAAGCTACTTGAAGAGGCCTGGACCCAGTAATAGGTTGTCATGCTGTAGGTGTGAAGGAGACTTTATCACTCTCATTTCTTATTTTAGAATATATTGAACGATATTATAAATTGTGTTGTTCCTTATTTTCTTCTATATAATCAATTTTATATTAATTACTATAATTCTATCAAAAGTATATTTTATTACATACTATTATATCCTTGGTAGTACAATGTATATTGGAGATGAATAATGCTTGGTATACTATTGAAGGTAGTTGAAATAGATTACTTCACCAGTTAAATCAACAGCAACATAAATTATTTGGCTACTTAAGAAAATATAAATAAAAATAATTAAGCAATCTATTACTAATATTTTTAAGAATAAAAAAAATGTCAGAATGTGCATTCAAAAATTTCTTTATTGAATTAGCCAATGTTTTGACCCAAGCATGTGGGTCATTATCAGGGCTGAAAATTAAAAAAATATAAAATAACATTGGAAAAATGATGAATATAAAAGTGTAAGAGTAATAAGAGTGAAGAATAACAGTAACAGGTAATGGTAATGAGAGTAAATAAATGAGATAATAATAATAAGAGTAAAGAATAAAATCAGAAAAAAATACTAATATTTTTGTTGTTTTTTATCTGTTTAGTATTTGTTTGTTTGTTTTTAAGAAAAAATATCCAATTCCAAGAACCAACATGTATTGTTTTGTCGTTTTTCATCATTGAAAATGATTCTTTTTTGGTGGCTATTAAATATAGTACGGCTTCATATTTATTTCTCTTTTTTAACAAAGGTCAGTTATGTTATTGCTTTACATAAATTGATAGTAATTAGATTATTTAAACAGATTTCGTTTAGATTTACTGAGAAAATACATATAGTGATTTATAATAATTATTATGATATTT